AGGCACCTTTATGTTTGTAAGCGTGATGCTATATGAAGAGTGGTCTTTGTTCATTGTCAAGTAGGTGGACCCTGGCTGAGCAAAAGACACAGAGGGACGTCTTCGTGTAACTCAGCTACTTTGCATGACTGGAAGGATGGAAAGATGATATTGAATACTATTGACAATGGCCCATGTCTTGTGAGCTATCAGCCATTTCCTCACAATCGACACCGTTTTGCATTCTATGAAATGTGAGCGATTCTCCTGCTCCAGCCCATCATTTCCATGATTGGATTATCTTGATCCGAGTTGATTTGACTGAGCTACGCTCAAACAAGATTACATCAGTTAAGCTAGATCGACCATGCCATATGTGTGGATTGATGTACTCCCTCTTTGACCGTAACTCAATCAAATCAGCTCGGATCAAGAAAGTTGAACGATGGAAATGAATGTCTGGAGCAGGAGAATTGCTCACATGTGATAGAGTGGAAAACAGTGCCGATTGTGAGGAAATGGCTGATAGCTCGCAATCCATGGGCCATTGTCAATGGTATACAGTATCATCCTTCCATCCTTCCATTCATGCAAAGTAGCTGAGTTACACGAAGACGTCCCTCTGCATCTTTTGCTCTGCCAGGGTCCACCTACTTGACAATGAACAAAGACCACTCTTCATATAGCATCACGCTTACAAACATAAAGGTGCCTGTATCTCCAACTTTACAATGAAGCGTGGGGTCTTTATGAGGACAAACCTACTTGGCTTGGCCAACAGCACTTGTGTGCCAGTTTCACGAGCAAGGCGGCCATTCCCAGATTTGCCAAATGTCGCCACCAGCCAAATTGGAATCGGGTCGACCTCTTGAACTTTTTTTTTGGTTGGTAGCGAGATTTGGCAAATCTTGGAATGGCCATGACGAACATGAGATTTGGGCGGTATATGCTTTCGACCCCGGCAAGCAACTTTGTTCTATTAAAGACCCCACGTTTGATTGTAAAATTCTGAGTGACAAGTGCCTTTATGTTTTGACTATGTTCTTGTGAGCGTGATGGAGCTGCTTCCTCCTAATGGATGGTGTCGAGAGCTCTATTTAAGCGAGGTGAAGAACTGAATAAATAGCACATGGTGGTTACACAAACGTGTCCTTGGCAGGTGTTACTGCATAATGGATGATGATCGATCATTGCTACTTGCGGTACTCGAACATGTACGCAGACATACATTCAAGTCGCTATTCAGAATAGCCTCCTCTTTCGTAATGGGAATGTGATTAGGCGTACAAGTGATTGGTTTCATTGTTAGATATCATCATCCGCCTTCATTTGGTTGATCGTCACTGTGACATTGGACCTTTTCAATAGGGGTAACCCCTAATCATATTGTGTGATGATTCACAGCTCATACACATCACCTTCTTACATTCGATACCTCCATGATGCATGTACCTCAGTGCCATGGTCAAATGTCGCATGCTGAAATTGACATGGTGCAAATAGTAAGTCCTCCTGGTATGCGGATGCCACTTACCTTCGATCCCCACCATACACTGTATGCGTTTGTAGATGTCGATAGCGATTACGATGTGGCTTTAGTTGAAGCTGCTATGGACGAGAAGGGTGATGGCTTGACTCTGGTCATCAAAGGGAGGGACAATAATGATATGGGGAAGATTCCTACAATGATGAAGAAACGCATAGATACGAGAGCCGTTGAAACAAGCGTTCCACGAGTATACATTGTTACATAGGTTTAGCAACCATCCTTTGATTAGGGAAACTTGTGGATGCGTTTGATTGCGACACTCATATGGTCACATGAATTAAAAGGGGATGAGATGAGCGAGGTAGCAGTGGTAATGGCCTATATATGATTTAGGTTAATGTGGTGGCGGGTTAAGGTAGTACAAGTGTGATCTGCGTCGGTGTATGTGTCGGTGATGGAGATTTCTGTATCGCTGTACTACTCAACAAGTTGATCGGATCAAGCTGCATAAAACAAGATAGACCGGATAATTTATGGCAACAAGTACTATATACATGCCTACATAGCTTGAGATGCACAATGTATGTAATGGATGGCAGGGGGAAGAGGGGCGATGTGATTGTATGGAAGGTGAATACTATGGAAGAGAGACGACGATCTTGCATATATTGTGCAGATGATAGTATTATGCAAGAGAGCTGCATGTATTATATAACAACAACAAATGAATATTGGCGGTGATGGAGGATAATAGAATGATAGCTCATACTTGAATTTGAATTTCTAGTTGGTTGGGAGTGCCACACACTTGAATGTCAAAAGGGAAGTAGAAAATAGCCTATTTTAATATGATTGGTCGTCATGCCATGGATGCCATGGTGCTGTTGGTGTGTGCTGTGTGTGTGTTGTATCTATGAAAGTGTGCGAGCGTGTCGTGCGCCCCTAACAACAATATTTGGCTTCCAGCCTCGCTTCGTTTGCTTTTTCCTTCTTACTCCACACACACACACACACAACACTCTCACACACAACACTCTTTATACCACGGCTTCTTCGGAAAAAGAGAAAAGGGAGAGAGGAAAGAAGCATGACCTCATCCGTGGACGCCGACATTGAGAAACGATTACTGCTCGACGACGACGACCCCTCTACACCTCATCACACTGCCAATGACCAGCGTTGGGAATATGCCACCAATCAGTATACCCAACTGGAAGTCGACGATTCCGAAACGACTCCTCTTTCAAGACCCATAGGAACAGCAACCGATGAAACGGATATCGAGGCTACCGAAGAACCAAAGTCGTATCGGTTACCAACCGAAGGTGGTTCCATCTTTGCCAGCTTTGTATATATCCGTACTCTTCATTGGAAACGAAGGCTTACTTTTTATCATCATTCATTCTCTATGTAGCTCAACATGGCCAACAGCATCATAGGAGCCGGCATCATTGGTCTGCCATTCTCATTCAAGGAAGCAGTAAGTTGGAAATTGGGTAATAAAAAAGGGGATGTGGTGGGACAAGGAGTAGTAGTAGTAGTGGTAGTAGTTTTGTATAGCGCGGTTGCAGGTCCATCATCATACATACTAATCATTTAATCTGCCATATAGGGGTTCTGGATGGGTATCCTTTTACTGCTACTCCTCACAGTGGTCGTTGGTAAGTAATAATGGTACTTGTATTAAAGATGAAAGGAGGCTTTGTATGTCTCACATGGCTTTTTAGATTGGACGGTCCGACTACTCATGTACAATGGGAAACTAGCTGGCCGTGCTACATATCAGGATTTGCTCGCCTTTTCATTTGGACGAGGAGGACTTATTGCTATATCCATCTTTCAATTTGCCTTTGCATTCGGAGGTACTTTTTACAATCACAACCATGAGAGAGAGCGAGTATGTGTGAGGGAGAGCAACAAAGCTAACAAGATCCTTGTTGTTTGACATACATAGGCATGTGTGCTTATTGCGTCATTCTTGGTACGTGGTTGTTGTGGTGGATAATCGGTTGTGCAGAATTCTTATTGAAACATTACAGGCGACACGATTCCCCATGTGATTAAATCACTTGTTCCCAGCATCGACCAGCTTCCCATTGTATGGATCTTTGCAAACCGCCGATTATGCATCACATTTTTCACTGTATTTGTGTCTTACCCACTCTCGCTTTACCGTGACATTTCGAAGCTTGCAAAAACAAGTGGATTGGCCTTGATTGCTATTGGCGTCATTATTGTCAGCGTCGTTATTGAAGGCCCTAAAATGCCGGCTGAGATCCGTGGGTCTCCTGACCAACGCTTTACGTTTGCCAATGACGAAATATTTCAAGCCATTGCCGTTATTAGCTTTGGTATGTCCGTTGCACAAGCTTGTTTCCCAGAGCAAGTGCTAATTTCCGTTTTTAGCTTTTGTCTGTCATCACAATAGCTTTTTGATATTCGGATCGCTCAAACAACCATCACTCAATCGATTTGCTATGGTCACCCATTGGAGTATGGTCATTGCATTTGTTACCTGTTTCATACTCGCTGTATCAGGTTACGTTGTCTTTACGGATAAGACTGCAGGTAGGGATGATGAAGATGGGATAATGTGTGTGCACATCCAATAGGCTAATCTTTGTATAATACGTAGGCAACATCTTGAACAATTTTCCGGCTGACAATGTACTCATCAACATTGCACGACTTGCCTTTGGTCTCAACATGTTCACCACCATACCATTGGAAGCATTCGTATGCCGTGAGGTAAAATAAGGCTACTCTCTTGTTGCCATGATACCAAAAGGGTGAATACTTACTTATACATCCAATATAGGTACTCGAGACATTCTTTTGGCCAAATGCCGAATTTCAATGGTCACGCCATATCGCCCTGACAACGATCCTTGTGCTCATTTCCTTGACAGTATCGCTGTTGACATGCAATTTGGGTATTGTGCTTGAACTCACCGGTGGATTTTCAGCGACGGCACTTGCCTATGTACTCCCACCCCTTTGTTATCTCAAGTTGGCTACGGGTTCTTTATTCCAAAGGAGCAAGATTCCACATTGGGCATGTCTTGTTTTTGGCTTGTCTATTATGGTGATTAGCACATTTTACAGCTTACAAAAGGTGTTCACTCCTCAATACGATTTGCCTTTGGATGGTGGCAATAGCAGCTCAAGCGGCGGAGCAGCCACATGCGACTTATAGTACCATCATCATGATGTCCTTTATCTTTTGCGTCGTTCTCTTGTACAAATCATACATAGATTCCCCCTCCCCACCTTGCACCTTTATTTCTTCAAGCAAAGCAACCCCCAATTCCATGATTGAACTCTTTTCAACATCCTATCATAAAAAAGCTGGTGATCCATTAACTTTTTTTTCGGAAATATGGGATTGTATTATAAATGGTTAGCTCTAATAGTAAATGGGGAGAGGCATACAACAACGCAAGAGCAAAAAAAAAAGCCATATACAAAAAGGGAGAATAGGTATAGATAATAAGAAGCGGAGGGAGGGGGATGAATATGAATATTAAAAAGAGGTAAGGTTGTGAGTGTGTTATGACCATTGATCTGGATGATCATGATCCATCACATCATCTATGGGAATAGCAGATGAGGAGGAAGAGGATGTAGATTGTGGAGGTGGTGGAGGTGGTGGAGGTGTGGCAGTCCGTTGTTGTTGTTGTTGTTGTTGTTGCTGCAAAAGAACGAGTCGTTGCAGCTGTTCAGGAGAAAATGATGCAAAGGACGATGTCGTTGTATCGTGTTGTTGAGCATCAGCTGCAGCAGCTGCTACCATTCCCATCCATGACAAGTTGGGTGCACTTCCACTTCCAGTAGCCGCCGCAGCAGCCGTAGCAACACCAGTGGGGACTGAAGGTGGATGTTGAGGAGGTCGTTGGTTGTTAGGTAATATACTCCTTGGATGTTGTGGTAGTATCATGGCAGCAGCTGATCTATAACCATCGCTTGTATTGGATTGTTGAGGTGGTGGTGATGATGCTGATATGATGATTGAATTATCCTTCTTGTTGTCATCATTGCTCATGGAATGGCGTCGTTGTCGTTTACCAGTAGATACGCGTGGTTGTGCAAATACAATAGGTCGACTTGTAGTAGAGGTGGATGAATTTGTAGAAACCATGCCTGCTGCTGCTGCTGCTGCTGCAGAGGTAGGGTTGGTTGTAGTCGAAGTCACTGGTTGGAGAGATAGCTTGGCTGCTGCATTAGGTGCAATGCTGATCATGCCTGTTCCACTGGATCGTTTCCCAATCACACCCATACTCGAGCCTTGAATACCACTGCTTGTGGATGAAGTCGTCTTGATCTTGCTGCTACTGCTACTGCTGCTGTTATTGCTATTGCCTCCTTTGTCACCATTGCTATTGTTGGCTGCTGCTGCCGCCGCTGCTGCTGCTGCATTCTTGGCTGCTGCTGATGCACCGCTACGATTACGCTTCTTGATGACATCGGTTTTGAGACTGAGTGGCCGTACAACACCATGCAATTTGAGGAATAATCCACATGCATTACACAAAGGTTGCCCTTCTGGATCACGACGCCACAATGGTGTAGTGGTTGTACTGCAATTGGCGCATTTGGTAGTAGTCCCGCCGTCTTTTTTAGAATCATCCGATTTCTTGCTACTGCTCCCGCTCGATGATGGTTTATTGCTGATGCGAGGTGAGTTATTGTTTGTAGTGGTGGGTGTCGATGCATTGTTGTTGGAGGATGAGGAAGATGGCGGTGTAGTAGTAGTAGTAGTAGAAGAAGTAGAAGTAATAGTAGTGGTTTGGGGTGCAATGGGTTGTGGTATAGAATGTTGGAGTGGATGAATACCTATACATAATCCTATTTCAGTATATATGGATCACTCTACAGGCACACACACAAATGAAAATTACCAGTAGCTGATGATCCACCATGATGACCTCCCATAGCAGCAACCAATTGTCCTTGAGTCATATGAGCAAGTGGTAAGTTGGCACTTTGACTAGCTTGTAGCAATGAGGATAACATGTTGGGTTCAATGTTGGGTGGAGATGTACCAAGAGTTGCTGCATTGGCACCAGAATAATACATGGCAAGTAATTCCTCAAAGCTCATAGCACCGGGATTGGCTCGAACACCACCACCACCACCTCCTCCTCCTCCTCCTATTGACGCAGGCCGATGATTTGTTGATGATGATGGTGGTGGTGGAGATGTATTGGATGAATCAAGGGGTGTAGAAGACGAAGGAATGTACATAGAAGAGGGTGACCGCGCCTGCGTGGCCGTGGTATTGGTATTGGTGTTGATAGCACTTGTACTATTGCGATGGGTAGCAGCAGAGTGAAACATGGGATTGACACCTCGCCCCTGTTGTAACGATTGAACCTGGGTTGGAAATGAATGGCTCAGGAACGAAGATGCATGATGCTGATGACCACCACCACTGTTGTTGCTAGTTGAATCCACCGAGTTACGATTAAAAGGGGAAGGCATTGAGAGTGGAGAAATAGGATCCATATCATCTTGGTCCATATCAGAGTCATCTGCAGGCATGTCGACGGGTATAGTGATGCTGCTGGTACCATTCACTGCGGGAAAGTACGGGTTGCTCATTGGGGTTGTCTCGGCAACGGATACCTATAACGCGCGCGGAGCAAAGTTAAATCTATGGGATGATTCAAACACCTCTCACTCTCCCCCGCAGGAATATCCCTTTCTCTCTCCACACCATAGGGCAACTCCCCCCACCAACATCCCCCCTTTCATCCGCCACCATACATGATACGGTAGAATAGGATACGATGGATATATAAACTACTTACATGAGCTGGTTGTGGAGAAGAATAGGTGGGTGAAGATGTGGATGATGACGATGATGTAGCACGTGTCGATCCATAAACAAATACGCTCTTGTTACGTGGGTGATTAGTGGATGATGATTGTCGATGTTGACGATGGGTATTGGTAGCAATGCCAGGACTTGCAGAACGTTGAAACGGAGGACCCCCACTTAAGAAATCAATCATGTAAGGTGGTGCAGAAGAGGATAGTAATTGAGATGTATCATCTGCTGGTGGAGGTGAAGATCCTATGGCATCAATCGACATGTCGTTGTTGTTGTTGTTGTTGTTGTTGCTAGTCGTCGTAGCAGCAGCAGCAGCAGCAGCAGCAGCAGCAGCAGCAGGAGAATCCATATCCGTGGGTGCTGTGGTTTCACTCGAAGGTGTAGAAGGTGTAGACGACCTTGAACGATTCTTGTTGAGTGTCATGGCCATCATACGCCAAGTCAGATTCTCCATGCGAGATGCATTGGGTAGAGTGTCCTTTGCTTTGGTATACAATCGCCATACTTGAGTTGCCAATGGGTCGTTCTTTTCATTGTCACCAGCTGCGTCATTGTCAAGTGCTGATTCGTCCTTGGCTGCTGCTGCTTTGGGTTTTCTGGGTGGGAACAAGGAGTCGGATAAAAGAGTTGCAGCAACAGAAGAGGGCGTTGCTGCTGATGATAGGTCCGTTTTTTCAATGTCTTTGAGTCGTAGTGTGCGTTGTTGCTTAGGCTGTTCCATGATGATATCGCATTGCCTTTGTATAAAGGAAGAAAGGGGGGAAAATAAGCTTGTAAAGAAAAAAAGGGAAATAAAGTATGCAGGTAAAGAGAGAAAAAGAAAAAGAAAAAGAGAGAGAGAGAGGGGATAACCAAAAAGATCAATGTATGTGTGTATGTGTGATGTATTCGGAGTGTGTGCCAAAGGATGTGTGTGGTGTGTGGTGTGTGTGTGTGTGCGTGTGTGCGTATGTGAGTGGAGTAGTAGTATGTACGTATGTACACTTGCAGAATGCCTTTCACGTGCCACATGCCCTGGGGTCTCGAATGGGTTTATTTGCTTGGATGGGTGGGTGAGTTCCAATGATCAAACAACACATGTGTGTAGAAATTACTATGCTATATTTGAATCTACCAATTCCTGGTTTATGTATAAAAGCTTGCTCTCACGCACATTTATGTGATCGATCCTTCATTTTGCATAAGTCAATGAATTAAGCTGAGTCAGTGCTTTGCTAAAGAGAGCGCCGACAATAGCTATATTACTCCCCCCGCTCTTTGTCTCCCTCCCCCCATACGTACACACACACAAACACCCATACCAACTCACTCCACCACCCATATATATTTATTGTGACAGGTGATCCATGTGCCATCTTACTTCATCCCGCTCCCTCTCCCTCTATATATACGTGTTGCAGAAAAACAAAGTTCAGCCTCGCAGCTACTTACTCAATCTGAACTTTGCGTGGGAAACTTTCTGCAATGGATCACTGATCCGTGTTCCCTCTTGCAGCACCTTGATGCTTTTCATGCTTGCTGTCCCTGAAAATTCTACCTGACAACGCAAATAAGACGATGAAATATCGGAACACACTACTTCCGACGATCCCGTCCGTGATCATCCTTCACACACAACCCACATGGTTATATATCTTCCCGCATAAACCTTGCATCATTCATCTCAACCAATCGGTTTATTCTTCACTACCCTTATTTAAATAAGCTCGATTTTTGGCTGGTATTATTATCCTCCTATGACCACCACCATGTCTCATTTATCACCCCTACTTTTGCATTCATCATAAAACTTTGGTTACTACACTCATACATAGACGCAGCTTGATTTCTTGCTACAACTAGTAAAAGTTGTTCATAAAGCAAGAAGCAAGAGCTTGCTGCTGTCACCCGAGATGTGTATACGCAAACGAATCATACGTTCAAACTATCAAACACTAAGCTGGTTCTTCATCATTGAAGATGCATGTGAAAAACCGTACACCACATAGATTATGGATTGTGGTACATAGCTGCAATCACAAAATCAGGCTTGTAAAGTAAAAACGTATAGCCGTCATCACCATCATCGTCACTACAACAATCAAATGGATCCTTTGACCGTAAAAGGATGGTATGTGCAACATCACTGATGGGATCAATACGTAACAACTACTCCCTTCTTTGCATGATACAAGCGATTTGATCATGGACAACACCATTCAACTAATGTGAAAGAGCTAGTCATTCATTGTGAATCTGATGCCATCGTAGTACATCTATCCCATTTACTACAAGCATTTCCTATCCGCATCAAAGATGCCATCACTGCCATTGTATCGTTTTTTTCCATTTAATCTCGCTGCATTGTTACCTCAGCACGTTTATTATCCTATGAAAACGCAATGTCTAGCTCATTATGGTTCTACTACTTGACCCCATCAACAATCAATGAACGAAATCATGTGCGAGGCTGATGGGCTGCATCTCATTGGATGATGGGATTAGGGCTACACAGGCACCACCAAAAGTTAAAGCCGCGCTTGGGCGATCCTGGGTTAGAGTTAATACGCTTGCTTCTTTCCTTTTGCTACTTGAACCGATCCCCGATCTAGCGTCCTTGTTCCAATTCAACCTCATTTGTATGTACATCATAGAAGACAACACGGCATGCTTGAATGACTAATGGGAGGGCTTTGCAGAGGGTGAAACGTTTGAGTAACACTCCTTTTCCGCTGGCCGTGCACAAGTGACAATGGCAGAGCAGCAACAACAGTATGCCTTCAACAATGACCCAAGACTACAATCCGGATTGACAACTGGGGTGAATGGTGGTGGTGGACGACCATTGCATATCATGATACCAAGGCCTCCATCATCACAAGAAGTATGTTGTATATAGGAGAGGAGATATGGATGTAAAAGGAAATGTTGGGTGTGGGTATGGTGATGAGGGATCACATGAGCCACCATATTGTTAACGCATGTTTCTCGTCTCGACATGATTAGCCGAACGGATACGGAATGACAGCACCTGGATATGTACAACAAGGCTATCCTGCTAATCCAGTGTATGGCGGAGGATATCCCGGTAGTAGTAATCGACCACCGCTGCCGCCACGGCAACCACTACCAGCATCAGAAGGAGGATGGAAAATGTCACAGAGACGACCACCGATGCATATGCCAATGCCTGCACCACAACAACATCCATCACGACCACTCAATCAAATGTATCCATCACAACCACAGCAACCACAACAATATCCACCTATGCCATCACCATCTCATTCAATGCCATATCCTCCACCGCAAAGACCTGATATTGCACCTTATCCATTACATCCACCCATTTCACCACGCTTTCCTCAAACAATGGATCATCAACGACCACCACCATCACCATTAGATCCTGTACCTCCATTTCATTCATATCCACCACCAGCTACTCCTACGCACACACATCACCATCATCATCACCACCATTCATCATCATCACCAAATTCAATGTATCCTCCTCCTCCTTCTACAACTACTTCTGCAGACCACATGTCACCACATGGTCATTCTCAGCCTGATGCCGAATTGGTATCATCACCAATCTATCCACCACCATCATCAACAACAACGATGAATACACAGACCATAGTGCGTCCTCCTCCACCACCACCACCTCTACCGCCAAGAATGCCAATGCCAATGCCGACACCAACACCGAGTCGTAATGGACATCGTTATCAAGCATTCCAGCCACAAGTTGCTTATCCACCACCTGGTTACTTTCGACCTCCTTCTCAAGATTTTATTAGTCGATTCCGATCATCTACTGTACAATCATTCCAATCATCAGCACCACAACCACAACCACAACCATCAGTACCACCTACTTCGACTGTAGAACAAGCTGAGGAAGAATTAGAGGAGGCATTGAAGAGCACTTTGAGACGATATGATAGTGGCAAATACACAACATCATCATCGGATACCAGTGATGAAGAAGAACAAGACGATGATGATGATACAGCAGCAACAACACCCACTCAATATAGCTCCAAAAAGCTACGAGAGAAACCTTTACCACCAACTCCTCCACCAGCAGCTGCTGCAGCTTCACGATCTACTCCTCCACCACCACCCGTACCAGCTTTGTTGTCAAGTGTATCAAGATCCTTTGCTTTGCAAATGAAGGAAGTTGTTAGTTTAAGACAGCTTTCTTTCAGCAATGAATATCCTAACGCATTCACTGGGCAGGAGGCTGTGGTAAGTAACTGCATTGGGAGAGTGTTGTGTATATCAAGAGGACAGTGGATCTCATCTTTGAGAATGTAGGATACCATGTTGGATATGTTGCAGGATCAATTCCCACATCAAGAGCACCTACGAGAACATTGTTTGGCAGTGCTTAATGCCCTTATGACATGCAAACCTTTTGGATTGATTGAACCAGTGGACGCAACCAAGAAACTACGCAAGCATATCGTATACGATTCTCCTGATGAGACCTATCGACTAAGAACGGGCATGACCATTGGTGTCTTTACGCCACTCACAAAGTGTTACGTGGATGGATGCGAACCTGGACAAGGTGGTTGTTATGCTCCAAGATGTCCAAACAAGCCTGCTGTACAGGAAACTGATTTGCTGGTAAAATTAAATGCGTGGGATTGCTTCGAGGTCCATATACGCTAACGCATGATGTGCTTAGTCACAAGAACGGCTTATTCGAAGCATCTCGATGCGATCATCCATGAGCCATGAGGAAGGGGTAAGTGGCATTGTTGTAGTATTAAAAGGATCAAATGGAGCTAAATGAGGGCAATTTACAGGCAATGACCACGGATAGTTGGGGCGCACGTATGGCACCTGATTTTTATGAAACGATTGATGCTCGTGAACGGGATCGGCAAGAAGCAATGAATGAGATTATTCATGGAGAAGAGCAATACTTGAAGGATATGGAGCTTTTACAGAATGTAAGGAGCCAATTAAAAGGCATGGACAACAATGGGCTTACTCTTTGTGTCCTATTTTTATAGTGCATTGTGACACCTTTACAGCAATCCAGCGTCATTGATCCAAGTGAATGGGAGCTATTTTCACGGGATGTATTCAACAATCACCAAGAGATTTACGCTTTGAGTATGGATTTCTTCAATGATTTATATGGTGTCTACCACGAGCATGAGAACGAGTGTCTTCCTGGCATTGGCAGCATTCTTTTGGAGCACTTTCAACGCTTTCGAGACCCGTATGCATTATATGTGCCCAATGTTCACCTTGCTGAATACATTGTTGCCGACCTTAAGCAAGCCAATACGAATTTCAAGGACTTTTTGCAGTCTCGGTTGACCGATCCACAACTTAATCGGCATTCTTTTCGCCATTTCTTGTTACGCCCTGTGATGCGTATTGCTCGATATCCTTTGCTCTTGCAAGCGTTGATCAAAAAGACCGATGAGGATGATCCAGAGTATGAGACGTTGCAAGAATGTTACAACATCATATCCGAAGTGGCTGCTTTTTGTGATCAACTTGCTGCTGGTGTGAAAACACGTGTTGAAATCCTCTTGTTGAACAGCGCACTTACATGTCGTCAAGGTGAATCCTATGATCTCAAGTTGACGGATCCGCAACGCAAGATTTATTATCGTGGTGATTTGCGACGTGAGAATTCAAAGTTGGATGTATTGGAAGTACACGAAAAGTACATCCACATGATCGTATTTGACCACATTGTGCTATTAACCAAGGCACGCAAGACAAGTGACGGCACCCAATACAAGATTTGGCGACGACCCATCCCATTGCAAATGTTGCATATCCAAGGCACCGATAATGACTTTTCGCTTCCTACCCAATACTTGACAACGCTTGGCAGCACAGCACACAACATCCATACGAGTCTACGTACATCGACAGGATTACGTAGTAGCACCATCATGAATAGCACTACCATGGTGCGTAATGCACACAGCGCATTATCCTTGGTCCTTACTCACCCAGGTCGTCACGGTGGATCTTATGCATTTGCATGTGCTGATGAAGCTGAAAAGTTACAGTGGCTGCATGCATTGAAACAAGCTCGTTCTGATATGAAACTCAAAACGGATGCGTTTAACGCTATTAGCCTTGAAAGCACGTTCTTTCGTGATTATTCGGCGTCCTCTACGATGGAAGGATCTGGCAAGGTGACATCATCTGTTCCTTTTGGTAAGTCAATGAGGCGCAGCGGTATAGTAGAAAACTCACATGGTATTATGTGTATGTAGTATCCGCTGTGGATGGTGTCAAAATGCTTGCTATTGGCACGAGCACAGGTGTCTACTTTAAGCGCTTACCTGAAGGCAGGGCACGCCCTATTCTCTCCTTGAAGAATGTGACACAATTGGATGTGATGCAGGCTCAACAAATATTACTTGTGCTTGCTGGTAAGTAAGGTTTATTATAACATGTGACAAGAGCAATGGCTTGGTGTTTCAGGTTTCTGACATGTTTTTTTTTCTTAGACAAGGTGCTTTATGCATACCCCTTGGATGAGTTGACAAGTACCAAAAATAGCAAAGCACCCGATCGGCTCAAGCAAGAAATCACCGACCCAGTGCATTTCTTCCAAACAGGTGTTTGCAATGGGATGGAATTATTGGTGGCTGCTAGACAACGAACCGTATCGACCAGCTTTGTTGCATTCAAACCGGAACGGCATGTTGATAGTGATGGAAGCCTCACGACACCCACCTCGTCGTCATCATCCCACCACCATCATCATATTCGGCTGCGGACTATCAGTCAGCGTCATTTGTTTAGACATCACGGGTCGCGTTCATCTTGGTTTTCTACTTACAAGGTAATGAATGAATGCCGCCGCATTATTTCCCAAAGATGGCACCATCATTGACCACATCACTCCTTTTAGGAATTCTCTGTGGGAGCCCATGCAATTGATATTCATTTCTTGAAATCCAAGTTTGCCATTGTGTGCGACAAGGCGTTTGAGATCATTGATCCAGAGGATCTAAGCAGCAGTCGCAGTATTCCCAATGACCACGATCCTCAATTCTACTTTTTACAACAACGCAAGGACAATTTACGACCACTTGCCATGTACAGAATACAAAGCAAGTTTTTGCTATGCTACAACAAGTTTGCTTTCTATGTCGACAACCGTCGTCAGGGGCTCATCCCTCGTGATCGGAGGTAAGTTGTACTTTTTGGATCTCTCCAATGATGATGGCTGACACCTTGTATCAGATCGGCCTTGTTATGTGAATGGGAATGTTATCCAGAAGCTGTGGTGTATCATCATCCTTATATCATTGCATTCGATCAACGTTTTGTTGAAGTGCGCCATGTTGAAACGGTAATGGCTTGATGTTATGGGTTAGGATTCTATGTTCTAAAGGCTTCTATTATTTTGTTTCTCGTAGGGAGATCTTGTTCAAATGATACCTGGAAACGACTGTCGTCTCACGTATTATGGTAGCAGTGCCGATGGAGATGGTTCGGGAATGACGATCCAGGGATGCATTGTGCATGCAAAGAACCACCATTATCAAGATGTCTTTTACCTTGAACCTCACAACGTTGAACAACAACAAGGCAACCATGACGATGACACCTAGTAACATCAACAACAACAACAATCCACACCATATACATTTCAATTGTACAGTCTAGCATATATTCATCCATTTCCTTTTAATTTTACATTGGCTATCTCTTCAACAACAACGTAATAGATATTGTAGTAGTATTATATCGTGTTCATGCATGCCCCTTTTTTCGCACTGCTCGACGACATGCACGTGCAGCTGACATTGATGTTTACAGTGTGCCTAATGGTAGTAACATGCAATGCAATAGCAATCGATGATAATGTTGGTGATGGTAGCACGTATAAAGTGGGGTAACCAAATAAGAAACAACATAGTAATTAGCATGCAGATGGGTGTACCGCTTTGGGCGGTGGTACCGAAGACAGGTACGCTGTTGTTGCATGATCGCACGAAATGCAATCTGTAACACTTTGGAAAACAATAACGGTTTACTCCTTTTTTTCCTTTCTCTCTCGCTTTTACATTCATCACTGTTTTCTCCTCTTTATTTCTTGACCTTTTCTTCTTCCTCCTCCTCTCCTTTCCTTCACTTCTCTTTTTCTGTCAAACACCACATTACGACCCAAACTCGGCAATGTCAACCACGATCTATTACGATTGGGTCCAAGTCGTCGATCCCATCTCGCATCGCACATTCTTTGCCAACCCTGTAAGACGACGACAACAACAACAATGATATGTATAGTCTTGTATATTGATGAACCCTATGTAGACTACAGGAGAATGGCTCACCGACAAACCAGATTGCGGGACAATGTAAGTTCAATAAAGAAGTATAAAGCATTGCCTAACGAATGACATTAGCAAACCTGTCGACCCTGAAGGCGGATGGTGGGAATTATGGGATGATATCAAAAAGATGCCATATTACTATCATACAACGACAAATCAAACACGATGGATTCATCCTCCAGCACCTGTCATATCCTTGGTTAAGATTCAACAAGAGGTTAGTTTGTGTCATGTATACCTTGATCCATTTCTTCTTCTTCTTTTCTCCTACTATTCTCCTCTTGATCTCCCTGGCTCTCTCCCCCTTCACTTTATACATGACCCCTTCTCTACAACCCCGCCATCAGGTTATTATATGTATGTGTATTGACATGTCATGTTGATCTCTAGTCCAACATTCAATTACATGTGGCACGACCTGCTGATGAAAGTTGCAGTCTACTTGATGATACAATCCCCAAACGCAATAGCCGATCATTGGATTTGACACCCATGCGTACAACGGTTGTCCCACCTACCAGCAAACATCAACGTTCACCATCCGATGGCACCGGCAGTATACGACATGCTCCTTCTACAAACAACAACACCACCACCACAGCAATGTGTCAACGACAAGATTCACAAAACTCATTATCGGATGTATTACCTGGAAGCAGCTCATCTGGTCTATTTGGTTTTAGATGGGCTCGTAAACAAAGTGTGGTATGTGTAGAATTGCGCGAATGCATAGTTGTTGTACTGATCTTGACGCATGATTATGCAACTACTAGTGCTCCGAAGAAATTGCTGGACCCATGCGCCGTTTATCGACATTTTCCGCTCTTAAACACACAACACCTTGGAAGAATTTGGTCACTCGATCCGTTGCAGTGAGCTCACCTGTCAACAATCCAGGTACGTAAGGATACGCCATTTATTATGATTGTGATTGTTGTTGAAGTAATAATGGCGACGATCGTTATTAGATGCAGCTGAAGTAATGCGACCTGGTGTTTCTTGTTCTTCAACCGATTCATGCATTGTGCATGGAGGATGTCTGCTGGATCAGGCTACCATCAACGACCACCATACTACTACAACAACAACAACAACCATGATGATGGGAGGAGAAACACGTAAAAAGTAAGTTGCATGCTTTTTGTATATGATCAAGATCGACATTACTGATCCTTTGCTCTATAGACCAGCACTCCCTACCAACTTGCAACAAGAAATCACCCAATTTGCTATCGATGGATTCGCCAAAAAATACTTTGCAACCCATAAGCGAGGATTGATCTTTCGACGACAAGTTCCCATGAATGAAATGTTGCAGTGGACACGCGATGGCATTAAGCAACCTTTGATGATGTTGAATCGCGATCTTCACAAGGACGCTCTAAAGTGCTTCAAGACCATTCAAACCATCATGGGTGATCGACCACGTCATCGACAATCAAGCGAGATTGACGAATACCAATACATTCTAAGTTGTGGTATCAGCAAAGGCCAAATGCGAGATGAGATCTACGTCCAACTTTGCAAACAGTTGCACAAGAATCCAACCATGTAAATGATTAAGGAGGAAGAGAGAGAAAGTTAGGAGGGTACACACGTACATATGACTGACACAATCCATTTATAGCAAGAGCATTCAAAAAGGCTGGGAAATTTTATGCGTGGTGAGCATGACTTTTCCTCCATCCAAGAATTTGGAATCCTATCTCAACAACTTTGTCGACCAGCACAAGAAAATGACATGTGCCAACAAGGTGGATATCATGAGCGAGCATGTGTCAAGAAAATTGGAACGTATATGCGCACGAGGAGCCAAGGGAAAGGTCTTGACGGCAGCTGAAATTGATCGAGCCAAGGTAAGAAAGGACCTCCTAAAAACATCCTTCTCCCCTATGTCTGATCCATCTTTTATAATGTAGGAGGCACCCTTTAAACCTTCCGTCTTTGGTGAAAGTCTCGATTTGATCATGTCATTACCGATCCATTGCGACAATGGGCTCAAGTTACCCAAGATCGTACCTTTTTTGGCAGATGCTGTGCTACAACTCAACGGCAAGCATTCGGAAGGCATTTTTCGTGTCCCTGGAGATGCAGAAGAAGTGACCGACTTGGTATGTAAGAAAGAGAGATGTATCATGACAAGGTCGGCTGACACGGATTGAAACTTTAAAATATAGCGCATTCGCATTGAGAATGGCAACTACGACGCATGCGGTATCACGGATCCCAATGTTCCCGCATCACTACTCAAATATTGGTTACGTGACCTTGAAAAGCCATTGATTACTGCAGAGTACTATGACAAATGTATCCAATGTGCCGAGAATCCTGAGGAAGCGATTGCTATCGTGAATGCATTACCTGAAGTGAACCGACGTATTGTCATGTACATGATTGCTTTTGTACAGGTTAGTTTTTTCAATGACGAGATCCGGTGATGATGACATGCTGCTGCTGCTGTGCTGCTGCTGCATTCATATGAACAAGTGACTCATTATGTGATATGTATCTTTTATAGGACTTTAATCAAGAAGATGTGACCCAGCATACACGAATGAATGTGCATAATCTTGCCATGGTGTATGCACCCAACTTTCTCCGATGTCCTTCAGACTCGCTTACCACCGTGTTTGAGAATTCAAAGTATGAACAAGCCTTTGTCAGGACCTTGATCACAAACCTCGAGACCGATAAACACGCTTGTGCTTATGCCGATATTTGCCCCACTGGTATCATCATGAAGAAGCAGCATTAATATCCTATAAGAATACCCCACCACCACCTCATATCAACATCATGCAACAATCATCATTAGCAGCTTTACCCATTACCGTTTATATTTCATGTATTTGCTCCCCCCATCGTTTCATCCACCATCACCATCACCATTCGTTTTTTCTCTCTCTAATGTAATACGCAGCAAACAAGCAAGCATATCATTTTCTTTGCAACCCATGTGTGTGCGTGTGTGTGTAAAATCTAGTGTTGTGCGAGGAACTCGATCTTCCAAAAATGGATAACTCACGCGCACAGGCTTTGTTTCTTTGCTCTCGTGGTGGTCGTTTTTCTCTCTTTCTTTTTCTCTCTCTCTTCTTTCTTTTTGTTGTTGTGCCACACCATTCACTTTTTCTTTTCGTGTGCTCGGCCACGTTGAACATGGATCATGCCGAATATTGGACACCCAACAATCCACACTCTCCCACACACAGGTCGCCCGAGTTACCACAGCGGACATTAACTGGCATCGTCATGGAGCAATACAACAGCAACAACGCATCAAGTGGCGAGGTGGCTCCCACTCCTACTACCACCACTACTACTAATCATCATCATCATTATTACGTGCAACAAGAAAGACAACAACAACAACAACGTCAATATCGTCACTCTTTTGTGGATGAACAAGAACCACATCCTGCTGTACGTTTCCAGGAACAAAGTCCCACCACACCAGGACCCACAAGTGCTGGCGAGCAACCACCTGCTTATGATACAACAGCTTGTTATGAATCCACCACCACCACCTCTTCACTTTCCACACCTCTTTCGTCTTCGGGTCGACCCACTCGTTATGCTGGTGATCATTTGGATGAGCTCGATTTCACACGCCATGGCTACTATCGCCATGACGACGACGATCAAGTAGAACGACTTCGAAGCACGCTTTCAAGTCTCAACACCAACAGCGCTTGGGGCAGTGTATGGGATGGTACATACATATACATTCAAGCAGAGAGTGATATCATTTCTTACATAAGCTATCTATCTATCTAGACTATCAACCCGAGTACAAGATGTTGCAAGAGACGTATTACACGAAAAAGAAAGACATCTTTGCCAACATGGAGCATACTATTCAAGATTTGAGAGAGCTGGAAGCCAAGTTTGATAGGACAAAAGAAAACTTCCAAGGTCACCTGGCAACGGATTATAGCGAGTTGTGCCGTGGCCTTATGAACAAACGCAACCGGCTCGATAGGGAAAAGGCTTCATTTGAGGCATCCACTGATCACAAGGCTCATGGTAAGTGAGTGACACACACACACAAAACTCGCACACGGTCCACCCACCAACCCAGTTGTATCATCTTTTATCTATAGGAACAACCACTTTTCAGCAAACCGATAAGATCAAGCTCAACATTGGTGGAGAGGTTTATCAGGTAATCTTTCAAACTTGGGGAAAAATGAACCTTGTGTATGATATTCACATGCTTTGCCATAGACATCTTTGAGCACCTTGAAGAAGGATGAAAACAGCTTATTGGCAACCATGTTTTCAGGACGTCATCGTTTGGTAGCCGAGGAGGATGGATCCTACTTTATTGACCGTGATCCCCATTGCTTCCGGATGGTGCTCAACTATTTACGAGATTCAAGGGTATGTTACTACAAGCAGGTGCCTCTTTCCTCTTTCAGTCGTAAATGACTTTTTATCTATGATAGATTCCACCCGCAGTGCTGCAAGATGATGCCTTGTGCCAAGAGCTCTTGCAAGAGGTATATCAATGATTCGGCAAAAAGACGTACACGTACCTGACATTTTATTTACATAGGCCAAATACTATCGTATTGAAGGTCTTGTTCGGCTTCTCGAACATCACGAGACCACATAACACCTATCACGTAAAAAAAAAAGTTTACATCAAGCAACACCTTATACCATTTCTTTCTCTCTCTCTCTCAAGTCTCTCTTATTTTATCCCCCCCCCTAACAACATCATATCACCAACTTTATATATAAAAGAAACGAGATACCATCTTTCATCTTTCATTTTTCAGCCATAAGCACACCCAGAGCATGTTCCTGGTGGTAGTGGTGGGAACGACAAAGAGTGTAGTGTGACACATTGTGTGAATGAATGTGATAGTCATTCATATAAACAAACAACGAACCGTGCGCACACATAGAATAATCGAATACATAGTTTCAAGGAGGTTGTTCTTGTTGATGCGATTGAGACCTTGCGTGATGCTGCTGCTGCATGCAGCCATGTGCAGCATCGTACATGTACTGCAACAAATGATAGCAGTAGTAGGTAGCAGCTACAGTGATGGTGGAGCAGCCTACTTACATGTATCCAATGACAGATCGGTTGTACAAATGAACATTGACAATGTTGTTGTTCTTGGTGTAAGATTTTCATTATGCACATTTTTATGTACAATGAAGAGGCCATTGTTGTACTAGGGTTTACCATCATCATTACCATAACTTGGCTATGGATGGATGTATGCAGGGACATTGCTCATTGGTTTTACCCAAAGAGAAAGGGAGACCGAACTGACAGCAGTGCTCGTCTCTGGTTTGTGTAGAATTGCGGCGTTCCAAAAGTGGAAACTGCATTTTGCTTTGGCTGGATCCATGGAATTAACAGATCGGAGCATTGATAAGAAGATACATGTGGGGGGCCCATAAGGAGAAGAGAATACCGCCTTGGTGCAGGCACCTAATAATTTCATCGTGCACGTGGTGCTTCAACGTAATCCATTGAATCAATGAGAGACGTCTTTGTTATCCATCATCACAACAACAACAACAACAATGCATCATGATCATAATGGCGATGATGATGTCAAGTCAAATGCCGAGGGAAAAGTGATGCAGCCCATGTGTGCTATATTTTCCTCTTGCGATATTAGGTTAAGCGTCGATGGTATCAATTATGGGATACGTGGTTGTGTGGAGGTGTGTGTGGTGCGTGTGTTGTGTGCGACCAGGGCAAAAAATAGCATCCCGCGGAAATCAAGGAGGCCAAACCGCGGAACCTGTCAATCGGATTGGACACACCAATATATAAAGCAACAACGCATTCAACATCCTCCATTTTGTTATATCTCTTTTTATTCATTCATAAACATACAATACACATCATGGTTGCTGAAATCGCTCTCTTTGACGAATCTCTTATCTCTCCCCAAGTCCAAGCCGCTTTACCCGAAGGCTACACCTTGCGTCCTTTGCGCGCTAATGATTACGAACGCGGTTTCTTGAAGGTCTTGGAAGTCTTGACTGAAGTTGGTAACCAAACCAAGGAAGAATGGATGGGTAAGTTGCTGCTTTATTATAAATGAAGGATGGATGACTCATATAAACGATTGTCTTTTTCATTAGAACGCTTCAACTATCTCAAGCAACACAACCATGAATGTAAGTTGTCCTATTGATGATCCATGCAAGTCCGACTCTTACACTCTTTTGCTTCTTCTTTTCCAGATTTCACCATTGCCATTTGTGATGACCGCATCGACAAGGTGGTTGCTGCAGGCACTATCTTTGTTGAACGCAAATTTGTTCACAACAACGGTCTCGTTGGTCATATTGAAGACATTGCAGTAGACGGTCAACAACAAGGCAAGAAGCTTGGTCTCCGCATTATCCAGGCACTCAAGTACATTGGTGCAAAGCGAAACTGCTACAAGGGTAAGTTAAAAGGAGAAGGGATGGGGGATAAAAAAGGATGATAAGCTCACATCATCATTGTAGTCATCCTTGATTGCTCTGCAAAGAACATCCCATTCTATGAAAAGTGTGGTTTTACACAAAAGGAATACGAGATGGCCTGGTATGTCACCAAATCCAACTTGTAGAGAAGAACAACAGCATCAGACATCACCCATATTACTGTACACAACACACTACATGTCCATTTTCACTCGCCCTCGCCCTCTTCATATTCCCATCAACAACATCATGATCGTCATTCCATAATACCAACCAGCTTCCCTCTTGTTTTTCCCTTTTTGCTCTTTTCGCATCATTGATTTCTTTGTCACAACAACAACAACAATACAACCAAACGCATTTATCAAACAAGCAATGTACTCGCCATGAGCTGCAAAAAGGTCCCTGAATGTGTGTGTATGTATGTGCATCAACAAGGAGACTGTCAACGCATAAAGCCCCTGCACTTTAAAAAAGTATCATAGTAATGATGGATCTGGTATCCATGGCAACAAGAGATAGGATACATGTGGTCCACAAAAAATAAAGAACATACGTCCGGTGCGTTGCCCATGACCATGAATTCTCCACGTGTGGGATAACCAGTGTCGCTATTGGGAAAAAAAAGCGAGCCATCCACCATCCATCCATTCTTTAATTCGTTGCTTACATATCCCTTTTCATTGCACATGCTCCCCTTTGCTTTAGAGAACCCCCTTCTCGTGAACATTTACTGGCTCTCCCCGTTACCCCATCCTACTACGTACTCCTCTTTTATCCTTTTTCTTTTGTCACTGTTGCGTGTGTGTGCGTGTGTGAATCATTCTTCTTCCCCTTTTTTCCTTTCACTACAATCTTTCCCGGTCTTGTCTCCTCCTCTTTTATTTGCCACCAAAAGTACATCAAAGAATAGAGACGTAAGATGGATCCTTTGTTCGAGAAGCTAGCAAGCTATATGGGTGGTCAAATCACAGGAGATCAACTCAAGTTGATTACCTGTATCCTATCAACCTATCCAAGTGCCCTCCTCTATCGTCGACTCCCACCCGATCAACCCATGATCAAGCACCTATTCTCTATTGCATTCACGGTCATATCCATGGTGGGCGTATTACGGCTCTATGAAGGCTTTCTCCACATCACCATGACATGCTTGGTTACGTACCTCTTTATGAAGTATTACGATGGTAAAAACGCCCCCTGGATCAATTTTGTGCTTGTAATGACAAGTATGGCTGCATGGTAAGTTTTTTGTAGTAGCGTAAAGAGGATACAGTGATGGCTGATCATGTGTGTGTGTGCATGTAAAACTACGTAGCCATATTGATCGTCAAATGAAGGGCGTGGAAGGTGATGGCGAGTTGGATTACTCAGGTGCATTAATGATTGTATCCATCAAACTATCCTCGTTTGGATTCAACATACGCGATGGAAGGATGGGTGCTGTCACCGATTACAACAAGCGTATGCAGATCAAGCAGTACCCAAGTTGGATCGAGTATTTTGGTTGGATCTTCTTTTTCGGTGGTTTCCTTACAGGACCAACATGCGAGTACATGGATTACATCCGTTACACGCATTACTTTTTCTTATCCAAAGATGCACACTTGTCACCATGGCCTGCCACTATGCGTGTGCTTGCAAAGAGTTTGGTCATTATCTTGTTTTTGACAATGGTGGCACCCTCCTACAGCTTTGTCCTTGCCTTGGAACCCAGCTTTGCAGCACAATCCTTTTTGAAAAGGTAAAACGAAAGCACCCTTCGGATCATTGATCCCCTTTATTTATGCACACACACACACACATGTGGTATTATAGACTTTGGTTTGTGTTCGTGGGTGCCACATCTACGCGATGCAAGTATTATTGCGTATGGTCACTTTCTGAAGGAAGCTGTATTTTGAGTGGATTTGGATACAATGGCATGGATACGAAAACAGGGCAACATCGATGGGATAGACTAAGCAACTATAATTTACGCTATTGCGAACTCGCCGACTCTTACAAATCCCTCACCAACAACTGGAATATTGGCGCTAATCATTGGCTGAAGCATTATGTCTATGTGCGTCTCGTTCCTCCCAATACCAAGCCAACCACCTTAGCAACCATCATTACCTACGTCGTTTCCAGCGTATGGCATGGTTTCCATCCTGGCTATTATTGTAAGTTTGTCGATATCCCCTTTCCAAATGGATGCATGAATTGTAATATCGGTGCCATCTTTTAGTATTGTTCATCAGCACAGGTCTTTATCAAATGCTGGGTCGTCGTATTCGTCGTTGTGTTCGACCCCTTGTTATGACACCTGATGGCAAGGATCCACTTCCAATGTTGAAACCAGTGTACGACGTATTGGGTATTATATGCACAATGGGCACTGTCGATTTCTTGGTCCCGCCTTTTGATTTGCTGTATTGGTCGCGTACGTGTCAAGTATGGCGTGCATTGAATTTCTTCCATGTATGGGTGTATGTCGTTGGATGGGCATTGGTATTGATGGCTGAACCTATCCTGCTGGCACGTCAAAAGGCACGCCAACCAAAAGTCGTTCCACAACAACACAAGCAATAAAAGTGTCTCAATATCATCATCATCATCATCATCAATATCCACACATTTTATTTGGCCTTTTTCGTCTGTGCATTCTTGCTCTTTGCCATAGCTAATCCTAGGAAGCTAAAGATCACCGTCAAACCCACAATGAGAATCACCAATGGTATACGGATAGCATATTCCCAAGGTGGAAAGTAGTTTTGTAAAGGATGGTCCTCATCGACAAATGGCTATCATCATCATCATCCACGCCCATATCAGTTCCAATTCAATCCTTATCCAAATGAAACACATACCATGACAAGAGACCACAAGGTATAATATACAAAGATAGCAATCGCTGAAAAGAACGCTACAGCGCCAACTGCCTTGTCTGTGCCTGTGCTCTACAATGAAAAAAAGTCGTGTGTCAGGATGATCCGAAACATAGCACCCATTGGGACCCAATGCACAATAAAGGGGCGATCCCATTCCCAATTCGAACAAGGCTTACCATGACTGTATGGGTAAAGGATTGACAAATGTACACACAAAGAGAGTGAAAAAGAAAGAAAGAGAGAGTGAGCGAACGTGTGGTGATAAAGTGAAAAGCGCGGCAGGTGAGGAAAAGCAATTAATGGCAGGTATGGAGCACTGAGTGCCAAATGGACTTTTTTGGTTGGATGAGAAGCTATTCAAAGCGCCCTTTTCAAAATATGCAGCACACAACACACCCGTCGTTGCTCGCTGTCAAATCATAAACCAGAAGCAATCATGCATCGTCGTTTGTGATCTTCTCCTTGTTTGCTTCAAAACACAAAAAAGCACCTGATGTTTACAACTTCCTCTTCTTGGTTATATAACAGTCGCACAGACTCATCACCCTATTCTTGTTTACGCTATTGTATAATGATGCATGATGTATTCTTTTCATTTTGGCAAAGTACAAACATGAGTGAAAAAAGATGGCTAGGTATGCGGTGGATGGGGGATGGGATGATGAAGGAGGTTGGTATATTAAAGCGATTGCTTTGTGTGGGTGCGCTTTGGTATGAATGTATATGCAAGACGAGAGAGAGAAAAAAGTTGGCTATACGGCAAAAAACGACCGAGAAAAGAGTTCTTTCACGGAGTCGTAGCCCAAATTGCAATCATGATGTCCTTCCAAAAAGTAAACTTGGCTTCCGAGCTTGATAATCGACAAGGTAATAACTCGTCTTCTTCCTCCTTGGTACATGTATCATCCTTGTCGTCATGGTGGTGTTCTTTGTTTTCTAGTTGGGATCGCGTCTTTGTCTTTTGTACGGTGGGGCAATCGATGCATCGAGTTGATAATGATTTCTCCTTGGTAATAAAGAGTCCATTGTAGGATGAAAAGACGTCGTCGGATGTATTAGTTTCATAGGTAGTGTTCCTTGTTGTTGTCTGCATAATGGAGGGAAAAAGTGGGTAAAGAAGAGAAATAAAATAATCTGCGACCCGAACACCTGGCGCTTTTATCATCACACACACGCACGCAGTAGGAGTGAGAAAAAAAGGAGTGCAAAAGATGTGGTTGGTAGAAAAACTCACCCGCATTTCCGCGCAACAAATGTCTATCCCGGTTCAGCCGCGACCCGAATTACCGCCCATTTGACTCAATTGCTGGCACTTCTTGCATGACTCAATCGGAACAAAACCCGGATCCTCGAGGCACAACGATAGCTTTGCTTATTGATCTTAGCCGTTGTCCTTTTTAAGATTCATCACAGTGATTTCAAATGTGTATTTATTAATACCATATCATTCGCAAGAGAGATAGTCCTATAATAGAAAGGGAAAAGCTTGGATCTTACACCACCGCAGTAACATGTATCTCGGCTGTGACACATTTGCTTGGCATGTAAACATCAGCTGCTGCTACATAAGCGCATTATCTATCTTGGTGGTTGGTTTCACAAAGGAGAACGAGAAGGATTACAAGTCATGTGGAAAATGTCAAGCTTTATTTTTTGCCAAGTAACATTGCACGAAAATCATCTTGAGATTTGGGCTTTGCTGATTCTTCTGAGGCTGATTCAGTAGGTTCACTTGTTGTTGATGCATCTTGATTTTGTGGTGTTGGTCGGGTAGAAGGCATAGCCAACCTGCCAGCACGTCCTATTCCACGTCCAAGGAGTCGTGTGGGACCTTGATATCCTCTTCCTCTACCACGCCCTCTACCACCTGTACGAGTTGATCGATTGGCTGTGGTTTCATCTTCATTCGTTTCAATACGACGACGCTTGGTCTGAGATGGTGATGTCGATGGAGCATTGTTATCTTCAATTGTTGTTGCTGGTGCTGTAGTAGTAGTGGTATCACCCACATGCGAGGATTCGGCTGATGCTGCTGTTGCTGTAGCGGTATCATCCACATGCGAGGATTCAGCTAATGATGATGATGATGCTGTTGTAGTAGTAACTTCCACCTCCGTATCAGCTTGAGGAGGCTCAACATCTTCTTGTGCATTCTCATCCATATCATCCGCCTTTCGTTTGACAGGTGCTCGTGATGCGTATTCAGCCGATCGTGCTTGTTTCCTGTTTTGCTTCAGCTTGAGGCGATGCTGGGCTTTCTTTTGCTATAGATCCAATTGTTAATTCATCACCCCATACATCATTGTAGTAAACCAACCTTTTCTTTGAGTGCTTTTTCCCATTCTTGTCCTTGTTTGGCTTCTTCCATTGCATAGGCAGCCTAAAACGAAGATGCATAAATCCATCCATTCGTTTGATAAAAAAGTACCTTTTGTACCACGTACCTGCCATTGTTGAGTCAACATCTTTGTTTTCTTGTTGATACGGACGAGGGCATCTTGCATTGACGTCAAGGATCCAACTTCGTGTTCCATATTTAACCATGCATGCATCAATCGTTCAGGATCATCTGGTTGCTTGGCAATGGCACGCTTGAATAAAGACTCGCACTTTTTAACATCTCCAACGGATCTAATCCAAGATGTTAGCGGGAGAAGTTGATTCCAAAGATAAGCAACTACGAACCTTTCAAACTGGATATACGCCAACCATGCTTCCACGTTTTTGCCAAACTTATTGACGACCTTTTCCCACAATCCCCTTACGTATGCGAGGTCGCCACCATGTGTAATCTACAGAATCATCATCAATTGGATGCCAATTCACGTACGTTATTATTACAAACCTCCACAAAAGTAGCGTATCGTTCTAGGCGGAAATAAGGATCGCTAGCATTGAGGTCTGTAATAAAGTATAAATAGCCTCATTAAGGGGGGTATATGCTCCTCCACTTGGACTTACCCTGAAGTTTTGCAATGCCGTCTAAAATTGTCAGGCGCAGTGCCTTCGCTGGTACCAGAGGTGTGCCGTGTTCATCAACGCCATCTATCACAAATGATTGCATTACTACCCATCAACGAATACACACCATTTTGTAAATTATACTTACGATCTTCCACGTCCAAGTCAATACGTCGCCGGAGATAATCACATTTACCGAGGTAAAGAGCAATGATATCCTCTTGGCTTGCCATCAGTGTCTTATTTTCTGTGCCAGCCTTGAAAACCTCTATGAAGTGCACGTGAGTATGTATTCTTCTTCCTTGTTAAGAAACGGGGAGTAACATACCGAGAACATGACTAGGTTCCGCATCGCGAGCTTCCTATATAAGCAAAGTACTGTCAGAAGAAAAAAAGTCATTTAGATCCATCCTTCGTATGCTTACCAAGCTCCTGGCGTGATGTGTTAGCAAGACACCTGACCATGGACAATTACGGATGGCTCTTTTGGTTACTGACTCCAACACAACAGGTATACGGGCACGATCCAGCTATATACATATCCTCTTGTTAGTATATCATGAACATTCACACGCATCGTAACGAGGACTACTCACCAAGAATACAATGTAATCATCCCAAAGAGCAACATCAGTGCAATACAAAGCGACAGCGCGTTCATAGAGATTTTGGGTATAGTTCAGAAAGGACTTTTCCTTGAGCTTCATAGCCTCGATGTATTCGCAAAACATCGCCAAGCTATAACCGCTCTCAGCCTAAAACATGCACAACGTTACATGCTAGCTCATTTAACAGCACCCTCCCTACCCACTTACCAGCTTGAGCTCAAAGTAATCACATTCATTCATCATTGCCTTTGTTTTTGAATACACCTTGTTGGCCCTGACCATGTTCTTCTCGTAGTTTGCATTATCCCACTTGGTGTTGAATGTCGAATATTGGCTGAATGTGCTCTCATGATCTATAAGAAGGTGGTGTGAATACAACGGTTATTACCTAGATTGAACATCCCCCATTTACCTGTATGAAGCGTGCCCAATCGATCGAGATAATCCTGCGTCACTTGATCAAGCTGCTCTGATGTTGGACTATATACCAATGATTTAGCATCCAATCTCTTCTCGACATACCCCCTTCATCCTTCCAATACCTTTCAAGATGCTAAATAGATATGTAAATCAGTTGAGATGAAAGAAGGCACACACGCGTCCCGCTTATTACCTCCAACCATTCGACTTGGAATTGAATATATGGGTTCCAGATTTCTTGACTCTGTAAAAGGATATTAGTCTTTGCATTGATCGCATTCCTAGAATCACAACTTACTTGAGAGATATGCCACTTTGTTGCTTGTACAGCCTTTTTGAGATTGGCACGAGTCCTATTGACGCGGTCCTCGTTATTCCATTGGTTGTCAAAGAGCTCCAGAACATATTCCACAAATGATTTCCAGATGGGGATAGCTACAAGCGTGTTGTTGTGAGCGAACAATGACATCCTGAGTATATGACATTGACTTACAAAGATAATCCTCGCTGGCTTTCTCGTACAATGACAGCACTTTGCGAATGCCTTCTGTATCTGTTGCCGCAAGTTTATAATCTTTGATCCAATCCATCCACATACCTATAGAAGAAACAAGGTTAATATGGAATCAAAGTGATGGAAGATGTCACTCACTTTCTGTAAGAGGATACAACTTGTGCATGTCTTCACGTGCGCTCTCGGTGAACTCTGGCATGTTGAGATATTTCAAGCACTCCACTAGCTTGTAGTTGAGCTCATAATTGGTGCTGTCTTTTTTATGCTACAATGACGCATTGTTAGCAGGCCCATTGAGTGCGAGCGCAAGTCGTGTCGTATCTATACCTCTTCCATGAGACCAGGCAAGTCATCGAGAGCTTTCAGAATTTCTTTTGTCACGCCGTTCTCGGTATTCTCATTCTCTTGTTGCTCCTCTTCCGCTGTCGTCTCGACTGCTGTTTCATTGGTGATTTCCCAATCTCCAGGTGCGGCTGTTTCTTTTGGCGTATCAGTTTCCATAAGGACGTGCGTGTGCGTTGTGCGAAGGAGAGAGTATCCACTGCCGCAGAAAAATCCTGCTGTAGTCAAATCCCATTGAAGCTCCGTTACTGTCTCTTTTTGTTGATTTCTTGGATACGTCAAGCAACGCTGCATGAAATTGTCTATACGTCGTTTATATCTCGTACGGTCCATAGAGCCTTCTCCTTCACAATTATACATGCAATACATGACTTTAGTAAATCATCTTCTTTGATTGTATACAAGAGAATCATCATCGTGTATTGCTGTGGGTGCGTGTGTTGGTGTAAAAAGGAACAACAATGAGTGATGCTCCGTAAGGAAGGGTTGTTTATCATGAAGAAGAACCAAACGCTATAATTGGATCAAGAGCAATCATCGACGAAGGATGACAAGAGCAATCTATGTGATGATCCATTGCCATGGATACCAATACAATCAAGGCTTACCCTATTACAAAGTCGAATACTACAATGACAACGATGACGACAATGAAAGGCAGGATAACAATGAAACACTAAGAATGACTACAACAAGGGTCAATTCTTGGTCTTTGATTGTGTAATCAATCAAGGTGGTATCATAGAGGAAAGATGCGTGAAATACGATAGGTGGCAACTCTCTAATAGCAGCAACCATCTATCACTTGCGCCCATAACAAAAGAGATTTTGTTGTATCAAACTATCTTTAATGTCCTTTTTGTGTCTACTTAGATACTATGGGATGCCATAATAGGATTCTAGTTGAAGTGGATCACATCGCTGTGCGTGCATTAGAAAGGAAGCAGTAAGCTAAGTGGCTGGTCTGGGATACAAACACTGCCGGACTTGCACTATTTTTTTCAGCAGCTCTTTCAGATCTTTGACATTTCCACAATGGCCTCCGTATACAAGTCAGTCGAGAAGAAAGTCAATGGCTCCAGCAGCAGCAGCAGCAAAGATAAACGGGTCAACAAGCAACGTGTCTTGATGCTCTCCTCGCGTGGTATTGTCTATCGGTAAGCGATCCCTCTTGTAGACTTTTGTTTGATCGATCTGCTAACGGCCCAATGGGATAGTTACCGCCATTTGCTCACCGATCTCGAAGGTTTGATGCCTCATGCCAAGAAGGATTCGAAATTCGACACAAAGAACAACTTGTTTGTTTTGAACGAGCTCGCTGAACTCAACAACTGCAACAACTGCGTCTTTTTCGAGGTGCGAAAGCGACAAGACTTGTATTTATGGATGGCAAAGACTCCCAATGGTCCCTCAGTCAAGTTCCACGTTCAAAACTGTGAGTGAGAAAAGGATGAAAAGAGAGGAGTGTATGTATGTATTGATAAGCGCTATTGTTGTATAGTGCATACCATGGATGAGCTCAAGATGACTGGCAATTGCTTAAAGGGTTCTCGTCCTATTCTTTCATTCGACAAGTCATTCGAGTCAGCACCTCACTGGGCATTGCTCAAGGAACTTTTGGCTCAAGTTTTCAATGTTCCCAAGGGCTCTCGCCGATCAAAACCCTTCTTCGATCACGTGCTTTCATTCTCTATTGCAGACAACCGCATCTGGTTCCGAAACTATCAGGTAAAAAGGGAGAAAAAGGAATGGAGGATGGTCCTATGAATGATGTTGTAACGCTTTGTATCATTCAAGGTTGTGGAGAAGAACAAAGAGAATACTCCTGGATTCACAAGCAAAGACAAGGGTGACATTTCCCTCGTTGAGATTGGTCCTCGTTTCTGTTTGACGGTGATCCGTATCTTTGATGGCTCTTTTGGTGGTCCCACTGTTTACGAGAATCAAGAGTTTGTGAGCCCCAACTTTGTAAGTATCTCGATGGATTGGCATTTGAGATGAGAAGGAGGTGTTGACTTATACATGGTACTTGTATTAGATCCGTGCTGCATTGCGTAAAGATAAGATTCAAAAGTATCAGAACCGACTTCAGGCTACGGATGAACGCAAGGCCCGAATTGCGGATACCAAGATGGAAGAATCCGAATTGAGCGATCGCAAGGTCTTTCAATAGATTATCCCCACCTTTCAGCATCATACATTCAACAGCCCAAACAGATGAAACCTCCCATTTTTCTTTCAATTAGCATGTTAATACAACAATGATTCCACATTTGATGATGTAAAAGCGAGTGAGATGGATATATATGGGAGAATCTATTATCCTTGATGATGCTGCTGCTGCCAAGAAACGCGATTTGCATAAGGGTCATGCACTTTCAGGGTCAAAAATTGATTTGTTGTGAAGGGGTCTAACCGCCACAATCGATCATGGTTTATTCCTCTTATAGCTGCAAACACGCCACAGCTATTATGGCAAGGGTTAACTTAGTGCCATGGCGAGTCTACGCGAGCTTGTGGTTGTTAATTTATTAAAATCGTTACACTAACGACGATAGTCAAATGTATAACGCTATTATGTGGTGGGGTAATAGAGCGTCTGAATGATACTAATGATTCTGGATCGTGCCTTGGCATCATCAAACTTGAATATGCATTGTCCTACAAGCAATCTTTCTTAGTATAATGCTCCTAGTCAGCAATTGAGAACATTTAGGGACCATGATGTATGATGTACGTCCCCTTACTAACCACGTGGGTTTACTACATGCCTCATCAAATGGCACATTACACGTGTCATTCAATGCAATGCTATGCAAACGGTCATTGATTTATGCTTGAAACCGGAACAGCGGGAAGCCATCGGCTTGGAGCGCAAGGTAGAAAATTGATTAAAGGATACCGAGCAAACACGAAAAAAGGAACCAACAACGCAGCCTCCGGTTGTATAAATAGAATAGCCCAATATTTGACACCTAAGATGTCTGAAGAGGATGACTTCATACATGAAAAAAGGTGCATGATCAATCATTCTTACGTTGTAAGCTATCATCCCTTTGTTGTAATGCGTTGCAATAGAGGTGGGTTGCCATGGTATTCATCATGTGAGGATGAGAGCACAATGGCCGAGGCACATCCCAGCGTGTACTACCACCTTTTTGCTATTTCTATTACACAAACAGCGATCCCAATAATTAACCCCGAAAGGTACTCACATGTTGCAATGCCGCCTTGCATACACAAATACATCGACCCATACCAACGTGGTAAAGAGCATGCATGCTAATAGTAGTAACTAGAGACTAGAACCTAAAATCATGTTTCATTTCGTGTTTACACACCGTAGCATAGTCATGGGTTACTTTTTTCATCCCACGCTTGTGTATACGCAATGCCAACCGGGTGATCGCCTTGTTGAAGCATTTACCTGGTAACTTTCTGTCACCCACGTCGATCAAGTTTTAACATTCTCGGGATATGCGTATGCCAAGAAAAATTTTAAAGCGAGCAGCAGATTGCAGATCGTTTTGTGTAACAACGCAAACAGGCATGTGCCCGATCCAGGTAATTGCGACCAAACCATATTCTGCAAGTCTAATTTACTTTGGCATATAATTGTCATCCATACCTCTACTATTACAGCGCGCGCGTACACATCATAGAGATCGACTCTTTTGTGTAGTACGACATAAAGGATACTTTACATCATCATTGTAAAAGAGAAGACCATAGATGAAATAGTGAATGATACATAGAGACATACATGGAGGATGTGTATCTGCTGAATTTTTATTATGGAATACAGGAGTCGGATTTCAAGGAGGAGGAAGTGATGAGATGGAGGGAGATGTAACGATTAAGCGAAAGCAAGAACAGCAAACAAGGCACTGGCAAAGAGAGCACCATTGATGGATGCCATAGAGGAAGCAGCTGATTCACCATCACCAGCAGGAGTAGAGCTACCACCGCTAGTCTTACCACCATCCTTGATGTATTGTTCAAAGGTGGGGAAGGTGATGGAGTCTTCAACGTAGGGGTTGGTGATGTTCTTGCAGGTGGCAACATCAATGACGTGATCATAGGCACCTTTGAGTCCCTCGTAGTTTTGCATAGCCATGTCCATAGTCATGTTGTTGATTTCGTGAGAGAGGATCAAAGCACCAGATTCAGCGAAAGAACCATTCTTGCCCATCTCAATAAAGTCCTTGTAGTTTTGTTGAACGGTCTCAGTAGTAACACCAGGCATGGAGTTGGCAGCCCAATCATCAGTATCGATGTTCCAGAGGATAGCAGTAAGGTTGAGTTGAGTGGCAATCCAACGAACACGGTCATCGATATCGCCTTGAGCCTAAAAGTCAAGGAGTTAGTGTCCTTGAATATATGCTACAATGCAATTCAATCACTTACAGGTCGCCAATGTAAAGGCGTCAATCCAGTGACATACTTGATGGCCTTGGTGGAATAATAGAGCTCGGCAAGCACTTCTTGGTTGGTAAGAGTTGTCATAAGCTTGTGGGACCATGTGTGACCAGCAATATGATGACCATCCTTGACACCACGGAGAGCACCATAGGGCCAAGCGAGGACATTGGAACCAATGTAAAACATGGATGCCTTTTGCTTGTTTTGCTCGAGGAAATCATAAAATGCATTGTGGGAGCAGTTGGGACCATCATCAAAGGTCTATGGTGATGGATGTCAGAATACAAAGGATGTAAATGTGGCGCAATTTTTGCTTACCAAACCAAGAGTCTCGGGCTCATCACAATAATAGATATCAGCATTGACATCCTTGAGCTTGGGAACGGTACAACCAGAGCTACTCCACCAGCAATCAGGATCGTTTTGAGTATCGTAGCCTGTTACATTCTTGTGTTTAGTACGAATGATTTTACAAGACAACATTCTTCAATGTATGAAGCTACCTTGCATAACAAGGCCACCATCAGGGCCAATAGTGCGAGGCTGAACGTTAGGAGCCTTGGACCAGTCAATGGAGTCCCAAAGGGCCTTGAACTCGGCGCTGGTGTTCATGCCGTTGGTGGTGGCAGTATCCCAAACGGTGGGCCACTCGGCCTTGTTGTAAGTGTAATCCGATTCATAGTAGGTGCATTCTTTAGCGGGATCATGCGAGGTGGTTTGGTCAATATCAGGGATGTTGATCTTAGTAGGGTCGGTGGTGCTGGTGTAGTTGGTAGTAACAGCTTGAGCACCAACAATAGCTGCTGCTGCAATAATGGCGGTCTTGAACATAAGGAACGACAAAGGGACAATAAATGAACGAAATAGGGGAAAATGTATCGAGTAAGTGGAAAAAAAACAGCAATTGAAGTGATTTGTTGGGTTGTCGCCAGGGATGGCTTTTTATATACTAAAAAAGAACCCACAAAAAGAAGGTAAAAACGAGGTGAAGATCTCGTTAGCCCGATGTTCTTTTTTCGTATCTCGGTGTCAGTGTTCCAAGGACATGAGAGAATTAGTGTAACACGCGATGGCCTGAAAACTGAAACTTAGCAACATTACCGAGCCTTATTAGTCCGCCACTACCGCTCTGATCCCCCCAATTGACCCATTGTCCATACCCGGTTACTGTGCGTTGTCTCAGTTTTTTGTTGCTCCCTAATTTTAGATTCCCTTATTCTCGATCCTTGTCCCCCTGCTGGCTGTGTGCGTGAAATCACTCATAAACGTATTCTCACAATAGAAGCATCATCTGTCACTCTTGCGTCATTCCTTTTGATTTAAGCACTTTTTTGAAAGATTTACAATTGTAGCTAAGGTGCGTGTGTATGTGTGTTTGCAAAGGTGGAAAAGGTTCAAGTTAGATTTTTAGAGATCTTCATTCCGCAAGAGTCTAGACATTGTAGCGGGTAAAAGAAGAATCCAAAGCGAAAATAAAAAAAGTGAGAGAGACAAAGAGGGATGTATGAGTGTGTGTGCGTGTTTGGATGTATATAAAGAGAGGAAGATACACGATTTTGGAATATAAACGAGTTGAATAAGAGAGATGTGTGTGGTGGTCATGCGTTGTGTGTCATACAATGACAAATGTCGATCCACAAATGTATGTACGTTCCCAGCGCACACACAACATAGGATCCTGGGAATACATTTCATCGCTTGAGGGACGAACCAAACTTGCGTTGAAACATGACAAGGTCATGAGTGATGCGATCCATCATTTCCAATGTAGATTCAGGTGGTAATACTTGTTGGTGTTGTTGTTGTTGATGTTCCAGAGCGGGGATCGGTGTAGTAGGGCTGACGCATTTTTGATGATCATCCTCCGCCAGGGGTAGCGTCGATGCACTGCTTAAAGATGATGATGCGGAGGAGGTAGAATTTGATCTCTCCCTTCTCTTGGTTGCCATATCAATTTGTAGCTTGCTGACATAATCCAATATTTGTCGTGCTCGCTTGTTCATCTCTGTGATCGACATTTTTGGATTTGGATACTTGATTCTGGCAGGTGGTGATGATTCGCGTACTGGTAATCCATCTTGATCCCAATACGGTTGATGCAAAGAAGGCATGTCATCAGGTGTAGATAATCGTGGTGATCCCTTTTTCATACGCTTCTCTTGTTGCTGTGGTGATGGACCATTCCTACTCCTTCCATTCGATGTCTTTTTTGTTGCTGATGAAATGGTATTGTTGGAAGGTGGTGCAGGTGTCCTTGGTGAAGAAGGTGATGAAATGGTGGTAGTAGTGGTAGTGGTGGTGATGCCGTTGTTGTTGTTGTTGCCAGTGGTGATAGAGGTGGTCATTGCGTTGGTTGAATGTGCTGTTGCATGGGTGGCAACGGTTGCAGGTATAGATGGAGTGGTCGATGTTGCAGGGGAAGTTGATCCTTCATCTTCAGGTGGTTCATCCTCTGTTGTATCTTCATGTTTATCGGATGCTGATGCTGCATTATTCCTTTGAGATCGAGATGAAGGGCGTTTCCTACCACGTCGAGAGGTATCTTGCCGTTTCCTCCTTTTCACAGGGCGATGTTCTGCATCATCTCCATTAGCCGGATCTGAAAAAGAGACGAGGTGATGAGTAAAGTATGAACATGTATAAAAGAACCCAAAAGGGTGTTACTTACATTGGTGATCCTCCTTTTTGTTGTTGTTGTAGTTACCATTCGGATCATATGCTCGTTTATATCTACCATTGAATATAACTCAGCACATAATGCTACGTACTAACCTTTTCTCATATTCCCACAACCCCCATGTATGAGATTGCTCATCCCCCACCCCATTCTCAAGTATGAACTTACCGGCCATGGCTCTTGTACAAGACATGATTATCGGGTTGACAATGATCGCAGTAATAAAGATCGGGCATATCACTCTCAGTCAAACCCACGCAATCACAGTGCTGCCATACTTCACATCGATCGCATTGAACCATCAGACCCACATTATCTGCATAGGTACCTTTATGAGTGCCACGCGTTCGAGATAAGACATAGACCCAGCATGATTGATAGCTTACGTTGTTCTCCACAAAGACAACGAGTGACAGATCCACCATCCGAGCTTTCTTCTTGGTCAAGCTCCTCGTCGTCGTCGTCGTCGTCTTCAGCAGTTGAATGGGTATCGTGTTGCAACGATGGAGGTGGTTGGGTCACTGTAGTCGATCGGGAAGTTGATTTCCTTGGTGGCTGGGTGCGTACGCTACGACGAGCAGGTGCAGCTATAGCAAGCAGACACACACACACACACAATGGGTCAATGTCGCGTGCCAACTTGAAGCCATGTACACACATGCACCCCTTTCGTATACACTTACTCATGGTATATATGCTCAAATAAAACAGGTACGAGTAGTTGTGTGTGTGTATATGAGAGAGAGAATGAGAGGTGGTTTCCAAATGACAGGTGTGCTTTGTACAAAGAGCCACGCTAACGACAAGGTATGTATAGGCGGAATAAAGAAACAAAGATGGTAAATAAAGAGAAAGGTGGGAAAAAAAGTTATAAACAAAACGGTTGAACAAGCTTTCTTGGTGTTGATGAGTGAGAAGAAGGAAAAAAAAAAAGAGACAAATGCGGGACCTTGCAAAGTCGTCGTTGTATGAACTCTGCTGCCTCAGGCCAAGCTATATGCGGCGGACTTGAATGGCTAAATGATGATTGGTCCTCAATCCATGGTAAGCAAGCAGAAAGCAATCGCCATAACCTTGTTAACGTCGATGATCATTCAGGGCAAGGGTTGATCCATAGCGTCATAGCTGTAATAGTCATTCTTTCACTTTGAATAAATCATGTACGATCCCATCTTCAAGGGTATTTGGCAAAAGAAAGAAAAAAAGGGTCATCCGATAGCTCCGCATGTGCCATCTTTATTGGGTAAACTCGATCCTAACATGAATTTCACCATGGCCGGTGGGATATAAAGGAAGCCACTGATCAATACTAGTCACTTGGTCATTGGGTCGTAACAAATCCCATAGATTCCATTGGCATTGACCAAGCTCCACTGAGTGACTGAAACGGTTATAGTCTTTCACCTTAAAGTTGATAGGCGTTGGCTGTGCAGAAACTTGACATCGGAATGTTTCATTCCTAAAAAGGATCATCCATCATTAATGAATTTTTTTTCTTGGACATTCGTGTGTATCTTACCATTGTGGAGCAAGTGTTTTCTTGACATGTTTGGTCTTGAAGACCTGCTTCTTTCCCAATCGTAGTCGCACATAGGGGTCACTTGTGCCGCTCTTATCAACGCCACGCAATGATCGTGCTTCAACGAGGCATATTGACACTGTGCCATCCAATCCGGTTGCAGTACCATCACCATGTTGCAGCATCTCATCATTCATCGACATGGTATCCACGCTATGACGCTCCTTTGCAGATAGAATTGAAGAGGCTTGGGATTCATTTCTTGTATGGCCATTACGACTTGTGCTCATTGTGGGTGTACGGTTGATAGAGCTATTACTGGTGCTGTTGTTGGGTGCAAGTGGTGATGATCGAGCAATCGGTGCTGGTTGCGGTGTCACTGGTAATTGTTGTTGTTGTGATGGTGGCGGTGGTGGTGCTACGTTGGTAGGGGAAGGTCTTGCAGCAGCTGAAGCCGGTGAAAGAAAAGAGCTGGATTTGGTCATTGTTGGTACACGTAACGAGGTGCTTGTAAGATTCATGTTGGTATACGTGCGTGTATCACCGAGTACTGATGTATGTGTCTTTTTCCGGATCAACAATTGTGGTTGCCATAGGAACCGTACACGCACATAACCACTGACGCCTTCAATACCATCCAATGGGATCTTGACTTGTTTGGCCACAAAACTCTCGACAAAGTCACCACGAATGGAAATACCACCAGAGCCCAATGGTTGATCGCCCATGAACTGATTCCAGTCGAAAACTTCAATTCGGAAACTTGCCGTGACACGAGATTGCTATATACCCAAGGGATGAGCTTTTTGGATCCACACATGATAAGCACAATAATCACTTACGATTGGCACAATAAATTGCTCATTCTTCCAAGAAGGATTCACCGTCTTTTTCACTGTTGCACTCTTGTGTACTCGCTCGCCATTCACTGTAAACACCACATAAGGATCACTCGTGCCAGACTTGTCGGCAGCCATCAGATCTTTTGCATCCAAAAGCGTCACTGTCAATTGGCCTTGGTTGTCAAGGCTCTCGTTTGGATTCAAAGTAAAGTTGACAAGAGGCGTGTAATCGAAGCTGAGGCGAATTTGTCCACCTGGCAAGGTCGTGCCCAATAGCTCAAACCATTCACCTTCATCATCATTTTCCATGCTACGACGACGTGCTTGAATTCTTCTGACAATGCTGCTCACGGCTTCCACCCAATAGCCAATCTTGATATCATCCTTTTCATCCGCATGCTCAGGCTTGATTTCAATGGCCACACGTGAAAAGTCGGCTTCCTTGACAAAGGCATCACCTGTTTCATTGAATGCAAGCGTGCGACCTTTCATTTTGGCTGTTTGGAATTGAGGCATCAATGCATCCACCAAGAGCTGACAATAGGCTGTGCTGGCACTTGGGAGTCTAACTTCATGAATCTTGACCTTGAGTACACCTGAATTGTATGCCATCAAGTCGACCAAATCATCAGGGGTATAGCGAATAGGTACATTATGCAGGTCATTGATAGGTGGTTCCTCCACAACAGGGGCCGCCTTTTCCTCATTCTCATTCTCGCCATCATCTTCTTCCTCCTCATCTTTGGGCTTTGGAAGTGTCAATGTAGGATAAAACTCGGCAGTGTAACGAAGCTCGCCCTTGTCAGCCTTACGATCAGCAGACTTTAATGGCGCCCATCTATATTATTTGTTCATAAGTCATATGCACACTTGAGATGTTAGCAATGAAACTTACTGATCAATGACCTTGCCGGTTGGCTCATACCAGCGATTATGGCCATCCGAGCACTGCTTGACAATGTCTTTCATACGCAAAATAGTAAAGCCAAGCGTACGATCCTTTGTCTTTGCGTTCCAATCCATCACTTCGAGCTTGAGATCTTCCTTATCAGAGTGCACTGGTACATATTGAGTCTCTCCCCATTCAGGATCCAGGTTGTTGTCAATAACTTCAGTGCGTGTACGCACTTGAGCACCTGCCATAACTCGAACGTATGGATCGGATTTGCTGGTGACGCCTTCAACATTCTTAAGATCCCGTGCACGCCAAAATGTCAAACGTACCACACCGATAGGTGGAGCTGTAAAAAGATTAGCATAAAAAACCCATGCCATGCTTCCTTTTCAATTACTTACTATACAAGCCAAGACCTAGTGCATCTGATAATCCTGACATGACTACAGGCTTCCATTGAACACTGAGACGAATACGGCCTTGTGCTGGTTGACCGTTATCATACATGAGATCCCACCATCCATCATTCGTTTGTAGCTGCTGCATCATTTCCACAAGATACATTTTGAAAACACCAAGGGTTGTATCTTCGGCAAAGCTGATGCTATCCTTGACTTCAACACGGATGTAAACGGCCGTTTGATCCAACACCACAACTTCACCCGATCGCTCAAACTTGGGATTGGCTGTACGCTTGAATACGGGTGTCTGTATACGCTCAGCGCCATTGATCATCACTCTCACATAAGGATTGACACGTGCGGATTGAAGGCGTCGGCATTCGTTGACAGTAAAGCGTAAAATACCAGAATCTATGCATATAAAGATTAGTGATCAATGCCTTTATAGTATTACGTATATGCAACTTACTCGATTCAGCAGCTGGCTCTACGGTACCATCGTCACGTGGAATAGGTTTGGACACCGGCATATAACGCATGTCAACCTTAAGCTGGCTGCAGGGTTTGCCATTGTGCAACAGATCCAAGTCACTTTTGAAAAGGTAATTTAGCCATCTCCCACCACGTGATGTATTCATGCCCATGTATGTATGTATGTATGTACTTACAGGCCTTCCACGCTGTAATCGACATCCGATTCCAATTCGCTTAGTTCAAAGTGTGCACGTGCAATACGTCGATCCTTGGATCCGGTTTGTTGATTACGTAGTTCAAGCGATAATGTCGAGCTGAGGTTGTTGAGCATCAAAAAGTGTGTCTCGTTCCAGCGAGGTTCAATGGTATTTTCTTGCACAGTGGATCGTCCAAGTTCTTGTGCCTTATCAAGGTAAAAGCGAACATACGGGTTCAAGGTGCCCGAGATATCCTTTGCATTGATGGGTGTGGTGGAATAAACCGTTACTGCCAAGATGCCATTGGCTTGAGCTATGCACCAAAAAGGTCAGCCCTTATCCATGTGATGATCTTTTACTACACTTACTAATATCCAATTCACCCGAAAAGAACTTGTCAACATCAAAGGAGAATACGTTGGGATAATACATCATTGGACCTAGAATGGCATGAACCTGATCGCGAACAAAGCTTTGAAGGCCGGGAATCTATTATCTTCCATGAATATCCATCCAATGCCAGCCATTCAAATACAACTTACATTGGTAACGTCAATACCAAAGGTTTCACCGCCAATAGGTTTGAGGACGTAATCGAACTTGGGCTTTGAGAGGAAACAAGCTTCCACCAACTTGATATGAGGGAATTTGCTCATAAACTTGAGCTTGACACGCATCGATCCTTGGAAACTCATATCTTCCACGAGGACTGGAATACCCGCACCAACCATGCCCTTGCCAAGACGAATGGTGAGAACGACTTTGGGATTGACCTTTCGCTCAACTTGTTTCTTGGTCATATCTGACAAGTCATTGGGTCTAAAAGAGACGATCCAATCCATGCACTAAGGTAGGTGACACATGTTACACCATCATGCAAAATGTACATCCGCACCCCTTTTCCTCTTTTTTATACCACCACCAAACTTACCACAGTATCTGGTTCTGGTTCTGAAATGGATCGTACACTTTCCACACGAAAAGGTTTGGTGCCCAAGGTAAATGTTGTCAATCGTACTGAATCGAGGAATCCAGGAAGATAATCCACCAAGTAGGTGTCAATGTTCTCAATCACATAGGCACTCATGACAGGTTCGAAGATGAGCCAAAAGCGTTCCAAAAAGTTGTTGAGCCATTCAACGGTCTCTGCGCCGGCTTCAGTAGATCGTAGTCGAGTAAGCTCTCTATCAATGTCATCTCGTGCACCTCTCTTGAATCGATCAGTGGTTGTCTTGTAGTAGGTAGCTATTATATACAAAGTCAACATGGATGATACCTTGTATGGGAACATACGATAAAATACTTGCCTACAAAGAGACATCCAATACAAAATGTGACAAATCCACCACCGATTCTTCCAAGAAACCAAAAGATGGTCCCAATGACAAAGATGGCTGCCGTATTGTTCCACCAGCGATTGTAAAACAAGGTTGCCACAGCTTGTTCCAAAGGATCATCGAGCTTTTTTTCAGATGCTGCAAGTAAGGGTGGGCCTCCAGGATTGGGTGTGCTTGAGAATGCTGTCCAACCCACTCGATACCATTCTGGTATACGTGACGAAGCCGTTGTTGTTGCTGCTGCTGCTGTACCAGAAGCAGTGGAAGGTGTGCGGGGTGTACGAGGGGTGGTCGTAGCACTACTTGGTTGTCGAACATGTGTCGTTTTGACGGGAGCAATGGGCTTTTTTTGTGCTGCTGTCAGGGCTTGTCGAATTTGATTCACGTCATTGGTGCCGAGTTCAGTATGAAGACCACCACGCTTGTTGCCAAGGTTGCGGAAATCCGGCAAGAGGTCAGCTGGAATGGCGCGTTCAGCTTGGGCTCGTTTGGCTGTAGGACTTGAATGCGGTTGAAATGAATGAACAGGTGCCTCGGCTTCGCTTCGAATTTGCTCATGGACGATACGCGTGGTCTCTTGTTGACTCAATGCCGGCACTGCATTGTCTACTCCATGGGGATTGCCGTTTTGCCCTGTGGGTTCACCACCAGCACCATTCGGCGTTTGCATATTGGGATACCCGTGCGTGCGTGCGTGATAAAAGGGAAAAGAAATGAGCCTGTTGCCGATAACCCGACACTATTCTATGTATATCCTTACTACCTCCCCGTTATTTCTCCCATCCTATCATCATTCGTTCTCATATCCCCTTTAAAGTAATCGCCCTTGTAGTTGTAGCAGTCGTAAATGTGTATTGTCTATATGATAGCTTATTTCTCATTAGCCATCTCATGAATAAAAATGGTTGCTATTACTACTACCATCATCATCATCCTTCTTCGCTTTACCCTTTCTCCCTTTGTTTGATGGCTCATTCACTTTGAAAGTAGTCTTCATTGTTCACATACTTAACCTAACCCCCTTCCTTCAACAAAGAGCCCCACACATACAACATCATCACCGTGGCGTCATGTGCACCCACTACAGCAGATTTATATATACACACCGGACCCCAACTTCCTATTAAGCGATAAACCTGTTGACACACTACTCCATTGCTGTCAATCTTCATACTTGCAACAATAAACAAATGCAAGCTTTGTTACAAATACAATACATCATATGATACATTCTACGTTACTCTGATGTAGGTCCTTGAGCTGGTAATCTCATCAGGTTGCCCTGGGCAACAAGGATCATTTGTTGTTAAAGGTAAAATGCAAGGTGGTTCTCATGTAAATAGGTTCAAATGCCATGCACATGAAGAAGAACATTTGGATGGAAAAGGAACATGATGACAACGTATGCTTTTATGATATTCGACTGCTGGTAATGGTAGTAGACTACACTATTATTGTACTTCAAAACCTACTCTACTATAGAATTGCATAAGAAATGGTCTACAAGAAGAAGCCATGCTTTTTCATCATTAATACGATGACATGTTGGGCTATGAATAACAGCAAGATGGATGGGCTGGCAAAGAGTATGTATCGGTTGCAGGGCTGTGAGTGGATGATTGAATAGCGGAGAGCCGGAAGCTGCGAGTCAAATTGCCGAGCTGGATATGCAAGCCATTGCCCTTTCTTTTTCCATCCCCTAAAGAGATACAATGGTAAGTGTGTGAAAGAGAGAGTGAGAGAGAAAGGAGATATGATTTACAACAATGGATGGATGGATGGATGGATGTACTAATGATGATGATGGATGATAGGGTCGCGTTAGGTAAACGGATGATATACAATACACACAAGCACATGCGTGAATGGGATAATTGACATTTGCCACATTGTATAATAGAACCAAGACTGTCAAGAAGGCCTCCCGCGTCTTGATTGAGAAGTACTACCCTCGTCTTACTTTGGACTTCCAAACCAACAAGCGTATCTGCGATGAGGTTGCCATCATTCAGTCCAAGCGTCTTCGCAACAAGATTGCTGGTTTCACCACCCACTTGATGAAGCGTATCTCTCGTGGTCCCGTCCGTGGTATCTCCTTCAAGCTTCAAGAGGAGGAGCGTGAACGTCGTGACAACTACGTTCCCGAGTTCTCTGCTTTGGACACCTCGGCTATTGAGATCGATCCTGAGACCAACGTATGTATCATAAAAAAAGAGGACTATGATGATGATGGATGTGTGTAATGACTCAATGCCTTCTTTTGTTATATAATAGGAATTGCTCAAGTCTCTCAACTTTGAGAACCTTCCCGGTGTCCAGGTCACTCAACCTGTTACCGTCCAAGCTCAGTCCGATGTCCGTCGTCCTCGTCGTGACAACCGTCGCCGCGATTAAGTTAGTTCTCACTGAAATTTCAACACGAAAAACACCATTATCAGTGTGTGTATCAGCAAAAAGATTTATACTTGTGGATCAATGATGATGATGATGATGGGGATCTTTGTTCGAGAGTGGATCGGTCATGTACCTTGATGCAGTAATTCCGTCAATGCGTATTGTGCCAGTGCCACAGGAACGTGTATCGTGTCACAGACTACAGAACCCCATGTGCTCCTCAGCAGATTTTCTTTTCTCCACCAAAAGCACTATTGTGTATTGTTGATGTTTATGATCCTATCCCCATGATGGGCGTTTGTATGCGATATGCATTGACCATTGTTGTATGTGATGGGTTACTCGTTGTGTATGGTGATCATGGTTACCTAATAGCTATGTACAAAATAGGTATCTCCGATAACAATCGAGACCGGATGCAGCAAATGAAAATGCCAATGTTGGAAAATCTTGATCATCTTGGCCATCGTTTACCGCGGCAAGCAGAGCATAGTTATGGCGGGGAGATGTAAAGACAACAACCCAAGTATGATAAAGCAAATCTTGTCGATAGGCTTGGCGCTTGAACCAAAAACAGCAAGGCGCCAAGACACCATCATCCCAATGATGAATCATGCATCCGCAACCTATAAAAAGCTTGGTCATTCCTTGGTTCGTTTTATTGAACACATCTCTTTTTCTCTTTCTCTCTCTTTTATTCTCTCCCCTCACCCTGATGGCATCTTCATCTTTTACATCAGGCAACAGCTATACGTTCAAGGTGACCATCGGCAACGAGACACGCCGTTTTTCGTTACCCAAGAAATGCACTTCATGGCATACGCTTTGTGCCGTATTATGGTCATCATTCCAGAATCTCAACAACCAAAACGACTTGGTCCTTTATTATCGCGACAACGATCACGATGTCATTACCCTCTCGAGTGATATGGAACTTGCCGAGTTGCTACGACAACCTGAGGCGGTATCATCGAATTCAGTTGTACGACTTTATGGGGAACGACGACAAGACGATGCAACGATGGCGTGGGTGTTTGCACCTGAAGAGGAGACGATGATGGGGCACAGCAATCCTTATGGTGACAACACATTAACACCCCATTTGGAAAAGGTTAATCAGGTGGACGGTGAGCAACAACAACAACAACAACAACCGGCTGTAGAAGCCGAGCAACAACAACAACAACAACGTGATCCATTTGCAGCAACGTTTGAACAACTTGGGCAGCTGATGGATCGTTTCAGGGACACAATCCAAGATAATCCCGAAGTCATGCGTGTCATGAGTCAAATGGCAAGCACGATTACAACATCCATTTCAAACAATACTCGTATCAATCTAGCACCACTCGAGGAATGGCTTCAATCCCTCAGCCAACCACAACAACAACATCAACAAGATGAAAACTTGTATCCAATGCCACAGGAAGACGATATATGGATAACAAGAGCACAGCAACCACCCCTCGAAGATCATGATCCACCACGATATGAAGAACCCACTGAACCATATCCACTCTATGATACCAAACCAGCAGTAGCAGAATCATCTACAAGAGGTGGTGGTGGTGGTGATGATACAATGTTTCCTTCTCATCACCATCATCATCCACCTCCCCCTCCACCTCCTCCACCAGCACCAGCGCCAATGTTTATGGAGTCATCTCTTTATCCACCACCGCCCCCTTTTATTGGTCCATTATGGTCGCGTGTTTTGAGAACTGTGGGATCATCTCTTGGTTGGAACAATGGTCCACAACATCATCATTACAATGCAGCACGATATTATTCACCACCTATTCCTCATCCTCATCATCCACCACCACCACCTCCTCCGCCAATGCCAATGCAACCACCTCCACCACCACCACCACCACCAGCAACACAGATGCCTGTACCACCACCTCCTCCTCCACCACGACGTTGGGATAGTGGTCGTCGTCATCATCATCGTCATCACCATCATCAACGCCGTGATGATCATCGCTATCCATCACCTTTGCCCCATGATTTCGAACATGATAATAGATGGGATCATCACCCACATGGTTATGGCAAACATTATCAACATCGTCATCATCATCATCCACCATCGTCAATGCAACCTCCTTCATTTTCTCCTTTTGATGCAGCAACAGCAGCAGCAGCTGTAGCTTCTTCATCATCCACTGCAAGACAACATCATCATCATCATCACCCTTGGTACAACAATGATCATCATGAATGTCGACATACACGATCTGAGTTGAAAAGGATGCGTAAGCAAGAAAGGAAGGAACGACATCAGCTACGAAAAGAACGACGTGCTGAAAAGAAAAGGCTGCGTAAGGAAAAGCGTAAAATGAGACATCAAGCTCGCAAGGATCGACGACGTGGTGGTGGTGATGTGGCGGATGGTTACGATTCAAGTACAAGTACAAGCTCATCGTCTTCCAGTAGCAGTAGCAGCAGCAGCAGCAGCAGCTTATCATTGCTGTCATTGTCAGATGACGATCATGCGCACGAGGAACTTGCTTATCGTGTGGAACGACTACGTGTCAACAACAATGACTCCCTCAATAAGCCTGCCGTCGACATCAACAAAGAAAAGAAGCAACAATGACCACCAATTTTATAGTTCTTTATTCCATGGATAGTCACCCCTACTTTAGCCTTTCATTAACTAACTACATTAAAAAAAGGATATGCAGTTGTGGTGTTACACAAAAACTTGGATCCAGCGCAGTGTTATGAGGGTAAAATCCAAACGCATGGGAATGATTTTGAACTATATCACCAACATTGACAAGGGGCATTCCCTTGCTTGCATGCAACAACATGTGGTGCTGTGCTTTAAGAGTAGTAGTCCATGGAAAGCCAAAGATGCATAATGAGCCGTGACTGTGCACGGACCATCGTAAAGCAACTCGAATTGTCAAAGATGTACGGGCTCGCATTCCTTTCCCCCTTTTTGTCAATCCTCTTTTTTTAAACCTTCCACCTCTTACTACCTTGTAACAACAACAGCGCTTGAAATCTTGATTTTGTTTTGTGCCAAGCATGCTTTCCCATGCGAATGCATCATCTTTGGATACTACTACTACTACTGCTCGACGCTGTTTTGCGGATAATCATCATCACAACCAACAACAAGAACAGCATGACGTTTGTCAAGAGCCAACTCGACGTCCCTGGTATTTTGATGATTCGGGACAACTTGTTAGTCCAAAAGGAGCCTGCTATACTATAGCTCCTTCCATTCTCAAGTCTCAGTCTCATGATGCATTCAGCTACAACAAGCCTTCTTCTTCTACAACACTTACTTCGGTAACATCCTCCTCCTCCTCCTTTGATGAGTGTTGTGGTCAACCCAACAACAACAGCAAGGAGCATGATCATGATGATGGACAACAACAACAACAACAACAACAACACCCTATGACAACAAGCCTTGCTGGTGGTGGTGGTGATAAAGAAAAACGAGAGGATGGATCCCCTGGTAGTACCACACCCACCTTTTTGCATGCTCAGCATCCTCTTCATCAACACCCTCATCAATCACATCGCAAAAAGAGGTCCCGCCGGTATCGCGGAAGAAAAGGTATATAAAAACGAGATTTTTCTTTTTGTGGTTGTAACCGATGTTCCCATTCTCACACCTATTATTTCCATGCATGCATCATCATCAGGAAACAGCAACAAGGATATCAAAGAAAACAATGCTGAGACCGATACCACCAAAACTTTAGCTTCACCTTCACCCCAACACTCATCTTCAACTACAACGACTGCTACTACTACGGCAGATCAGCTGACGTCGCGACTGCGGTCTCTTTCAATGTCATCTTCCACCACCAGCTCATCACCAGCCCCGCCAACATTGTCATCAAGTAATACCACGACGCATCAATCAAGCTATACTTTTGATAAGAATGTGCTGCTGCCATCATCATCATCAGCGGCTGCTGTGGATCTAATGGAAGAAGGCCATGATGTCGTCGGCAGCTGCGGAATCGATGATCGGAAACATTCCGAGCTGGGTGGATCACATGAAAGTAGTAGTACGTCGCAACAACAACAGGCAAAAAGCAACATCACCACAGAAAAGAAACAGCGTTTATACAAGACTGAGCTTTGTCGTAATTGGGAAGAGCTTCAAATATGCCGGTAAGTCTATTTGTGTTTGTGGACATGTTTATGCATTGGCGCTATTGTTGACGAAAAAAAAACAAAATAGGTACGGTGACAAGTGCCAATATGCGCACGGACAGGATGATCTACGTGATGTCGAAAGGCATCCCAAATACAAGACGCAAGTATGCCGCACCTTTTATCAAACAGGGACCTGCCCTTATGGAACACGATGTACCTTTCGCCATGATGAAAATGGGTTGTTGCTTCCTGCTTCTTCGGCTTTGATTCAACAACAACGACCCCAATTACAACAACAACCAAAACTATTTCATCATCATCGCAATAATCGCACTTGTACATACATGACCCCAGCAGCTTGGATGACGATGACGACCCATGCCGATGCAGCACAGGTACCACCTTCTGACAGCTATAATAACAACAACGTCCTCCTTTCTTCCGATGCCGAAAGCTTATTGCCGACCGGGCTCTTGAGCGACCTTGATGAACCACCATCGCATATTCGACCACCCGTAGTAGGTTCGATGATGTTACCTTGTATCCCATCCTCACTTGTTTTTCAACATGGACACCAACCACATCCACCCTTCAACCATAATATTTGGAAACAGCATCAACGCAATGACAATGAGGGTACCCATGGCACCAACTCCTCGTCCTCCTCCTCCTTCATCCCTTCTTTTCTTTGAAATTTCTTCATTGTTTGAATTGCCCAGCCATTGTTGATGCCATCTCTTTTTTATCTATACACAGCAACCACCACCAATCTAACTTTATTAGCTTGCACCTGGATCAAGTACCCTTCTTGCAAATGTCCTTTTGTTTCCTTCCATATATATCATTCTTGCAGACAGACACACACATGTATCCTCCATTGTTTTGCTCTCTTTCTTAAAATATGAAAGAACAACTCCTCTTTGACTTTGACAACTGAAACATGCCACTTTCTTTGTGCTCTATGTCGCTTTCCTCAATGTCAAGAATCAGTAGACACGATGATGATAGGGTCAATGATTACAAGGTTTATTGTTACAATGGCGTAAATCCTCCCTATGCTGTATGTAATAAGCCGTAGCCATCCCAAATCGCAAAGCATGGTGTCGAGTTGTATTATGCTCTTGGGTCATCTTTATTGTCAGTAGTTGTAAAAAGTCGAATGCCGATGAGATATCATTTTGACGATGCTTTCATCAGAGCATACTCTTGATCCAATTCATCCTCTTCCTTTTGTGATGTAGTCCCATTGATGCCGACGGGATGACTCGGTCGTGCTAATTCACGCATGTCAATAATTGATCCCATAAATGCCCTGATTTCATCTCAACAACATTTACCTTGCCGTCGTCTCGAGTTTTCATGGCGTGAAGGTGATCCCGAGGCATGATTCCGATCAGGATGTCGTTTTCGAAGATTGCGTTTAGAATGATGAATACGATGATAGGCATCACGAAAGAGATCCTTGACATCCAATCCATGGTCTCGATCATCACGCACCAGTTTCCTGCGATCATCAATGGCAGCCATGATGGTCTCATGCAATGATTGCCGCTCGATTTCATAGTCTTGTTCTGCTGCGTGCATATCCGTTTGGTACCGGTGCTTGATACTTGCCACCTTATAGTCGTACATGCATTGGGCATCCGAAATGGTGATTTCTCGTTCCTTTTCAAGATCGGCCAATTCATCCATGAACACTTCATGAGTACCTAGATTGGGATGTATATACATGAATACCATCAACATCAATCATCATATGAGCTAGTTTACCTTCTTGGATAGTACGCAACTCTTCTTGGAGTGATTGAAGCTTGTTCCGATAAATACTAAATCACCACCCCCCAAATAGAGGATCAGCACATGACCTAATCCCCCAACTCAATGCGCCATTGAAACTTACACAGTGCTGTGTTCCATAAATTCTCCATTCATGGTGATCATCAATTCATTGCATTCACGTAACTTCCTCATGGTCTTGCTTTGATATACATCGGGTGTCTCTATATAATACCTAATCAATAATCCATGCATATACACACACATGTATATATGTAACCATGCTTTTACCTTGATCCCATTGGGAATGATATGGATCATAATCATATGTTGTAGCTGGTGGTGGTGGTTGTGGTGGAGGAGTATGCCATACCGTGGAAGCCGTGGATCTTGTACCTCCTCCAGAGATTGGTTGTTGTTGTTGTTGGGATGCATGATGAGAAGGGATCTCATCGCGCCATTTTGGAGGAGGAGGTCGAAACGGAGATGAATGCATAGAATATGGTTGGGAATGATTTACTGTGGCGGTTGTTGTAGCGGGTGGTGGAGCTGGTGATGACATGTATGGAAGTGGGGGAGGAGGTGGAAGAATGGATGATGATGATGTTGTTGTTGTACCTGTGACAGTTGTAGGTGGTGGTGGTGGTGGATGATGAGGATGATGCATAGTAACACTACTACTTGTTGTTGTTGTTGTCGCAGAAGGAGGCGGTGGTGGTGGATGATGATGATATGGATGATGACGATGAGGAAGATGATGATGAGAAGGAGGTGATGATTGTCGATAATAAGGTAATGGAGGGCGTTGTTGTTGACTATCACGCCTTGTATCCAACGGAGGAGGAGTGTGTAGTTCATGACGATATTGTAATGGCGACTGTTGTTGTTGAGGATTGCTGCCCATGGCCGAAGTTGGACCCGAGTATTGAGGCGGCGGTGGTGGTGGAGGCAATCCCGATGGTGGGACTGGTGGGACATGGGCATCAGCACCTGCTTGAGCTACGATGTATCCAAACTGAGGAAGCATGGCTTATGGACAAGTTGTTGTATAAGGTTGTAGGGGTGAGTGAGTGTGCGTGCGTGTGTGTGTGTGTGTGTGTGTGTGCGTTTGAAGACAGACACGGCGTGAAAGGAAAAAGGAAATGGAGAGGAGACAACTTTGGAGGAGATTTTTTAGGTGTGTGCGTGCCTCCACGCTTTGTGTCACCTATCCAACGAGAACAGACCATCCACACAACCACTGTAAATGATACAACTTTTCCTTCCTTCATGTTGCCATGATACTATCATCCACCCATGATACACAAATTACACGCATGAAAATCCTTCTTAACTACCTCTGGGGATTATGTATACATTCCATCGATGAATGTACTCTCTCGTCAGCACACATGGATATGCAGCATATGCATATCGGTAATGTTTATGTCAACTTTTCCTCCTTGATTTTGTTTAATTAACCTCGTTAGACATAGTCAGGTGCACATTTGCTCTACCTTGCATAGCCCTTTCTCCGCATGAATCATTTTCCTCTCTCGTCGATCCTCATCCTTGCTTTGCCCATTCCCCTCAACCCCCCACCTTCTCATAAGGCTCATCACCAGCAGCAATCATTTACTACTATAGCTGAAAACATTCAGGATAAATGAGTATACAAATATGCATGCATTTGATGCATCAGCACTTTTGACGCATCTGGCATGTGCCTGAGACACAAGCAATAAAGCCTACACGTATCTTATGATAAGGTATACGTTACCAATGTTTAAAAGTGTAATGGTTGTGGAGTCACTAGCACTATGAAGTGTACCTCATAATGCTGGCTGTTTCATACATCCCATTGAAGGCATTTGAGTCACATGGCCTTTTATGAGTGGCATCACCTTGTGAAAAAAGCACGTGATCAAGCAGAGATGGGATTGTCCAATTATGTGATCTGTGTAAGCATCGTATTAACAATATCCATTGTTGGCAAGTGCCAATCAATCTAACCTGGGACATGTCTCATTCTTTTGTATTTATATGACAACACGCCACATGGACAATGAACCACCAGCGAGAGAGAGCGAGAGATCAAAGATAGATGATTCATATCGGACAGGCTTATCCTCGTGATATTTGATCCACCCATTTAATTTTGATATCATACCTAGATATCCTCGCCATCGCGTTACACAATGTTGATGTTGTCAATGAGTTGCCATGGTTACCTTAAAAGATGGGCAATTCAAATCTTTTTAACGATGATTGTTTACATGATCCGCGGGATGCTTACTTGGCTCTTCTTGTTGTAATCCGCCAAATGGGTTGGGGATTGTTAAAAGGCGCGGCCTTCCGGATTCACACGTGGGTCCACATTACTGGGTCATTTAAACATCTCTTCGCAGTTTAATGCGGAACATGTATACTCAACATCCCCCTCTTGATGATAGTATGATGGACAAATGGTCAACCATGGAAGCAAGTTTGGGGGGGTTGTATGTCAGCGGAGTGTTTGCTAACAAAGTGTGTGATACCTCATCTTGTGTACGACCGCCATCGGTGCAACCACGCATCTCGATTAAGCCTATCAAACGGGTTTGTAGGACAAGGCAGCTCCTTTCCATTAAGGATGTAGAACATTTATCCGAGCATTGTGTATGTATGTGTATAATCGTTATGCGCATTGAGACCCAGGTTGTTGGATCATCCCGGCTCCATGGATACATTATTTGTATCATCAAAGGGCACTCATCTAGAACAGCGGGTTGTGGTTAAAGGCATCCATTGAAAAAATCACCGAGGTTAATATTCATCCAACAAGCCGAGCTTTTTTATACTTTAACGTCAAGCTATCCTTTTTCCTTTGTTGTTTTATTATCATGCTACGTACCATTAGACCCATTGTTTATACCCGCCCAATGTGCGGTACCTTCAACCGCCGCTATTGTGTCTCCACAATGCAGCAATATGGACCACGACGTTCATTTGTGGATGCTTCACCATCATCAACAATGACGGCCATGCGTGGTTTCCAAGCCAGCCTTAAGCCGCTTGCCATTGCCACGGCAACCATTGGATCCTCTGCCTTTCTCAAAAAGCCTGTGCTTTGTCAACAAGGTAAAGAATCAATGCCAAAATTACATACGCAAGCTAAAAACATGAGCCATGTATGTATACAACAGCTTATGCCAACATCCCACCAGCTGCTCCTCCTGCTACTGGCATCTTTGATGATAACCCTGGATCAGCACGAAAACCCACCGATGCTGAAGTAAGCAAGAGTCTTTTCCATACGGGCGAGTTATCATTTGGTGCGGTCCTTGGCGTCTGTACGGGCTATTTAATTAAAAAAGTTGGCAAGCTCTTTGCATTAGCTATTGGTGCTGGTTTTATCTTTTTGCAGGCAAGTCTTTAAAGCCCAAATCAATGCCTATACATCATGCTGATGGTAGTTTATATAGTACATGTCATTCAAAGGATACATCACTGTACATTGGGATCGCCTTGAGGGTGGCTACCAACGACGCTTGGATGTGGACAAAGATGGTCGGGTGACTCATCGCGATATTCGTAGTCATTGGGACCGATTTGTCGGTTTTCTCACACACAACATCCAATTCAAGTCGACTTTCCTTGTTGGTCTCTATACAGGTATTCGCTATGGATAGATAACACCCATCGCCATCTTCCAGATAAAGAATAATGATAGCCTGATCCAAAGATGTCATTCTTGCTTTGTCAAGCTCTTTTCCCACGAAATGTCAATCGTATCATAAATGAATACGTTGCTGCGGTTGGGTGTGCGTGTGTGTGCGTACGTGTGTGTATACGTGTGTGTGTGTGAATGCAGATGACAAGATGTTGGGTATGCCATGGGAGCAAATTACACATGATATCATGCACAAGTAGCTGGATACGGCAACCCATGTCTAAAGCAAAGATGGGATCATACAACGTTGTTCATGAAAAAGACGTCCTTGTTAATGAGCTGTATGTTGAGTGTGCCTGAACCCTACATAGCAATGATCCGATCCGAGTATTCTATCATGATACTAAGCACCTATAGGATGGATCTGGTGATGTGGAGAGGGCATTGATGCTCTGCCACATATGGTGTTGATGAGAAAATCGAATACTTGGAAATCAAGATTCTCAAAAAAGCAAAAACAAAAGATGTGGATATGGCCAAGGGATTGACAGCAATGTTCATGGATGGCCAAAGATGGATCGGAGAGAAGACACTCGTGGGATTCCTGCTTAGAAATTCGAGATTGCTTGGGAGTTTGGCTGTGGCAATTGTCGGATGACGCCGGGAAGCGGGAAATTCAAGCTGCATTAATGGAATACTTGGTCCAACTATTCATTGTCTTTTGCTGTCAAAAGACAATAGGCATTTGCATGGATGGATCTATTACCCTTTTACGTAAAAGAAAAAGTATATTATGGGAATATGATCATTTTGGGAAGAATTAGCTCTTTATACAGACGTTGGCCTTGTTTCTTTAGCGCTAGGATGCCTTTGCCATTGGTTTTTTCTCATGGACAAGGAGGAATCGCATTGCCATATGGAGTTTAAGGCGGAGTGAGATAAAGTGAATGTGGGGAAATAATGTAGCAAACCACAGGGTATCAACAACTTGCTCACATCTGTACGACAAGAGGTACAAGGCTATATAAGAATAACCCTTGGATCCATGACGTACCAAGATTTCTTCGCAACGCAATCCCAAAGCCGGCAAACACCCTCACACACATATCCAAACCACCCATTTTCATTATTACATGAGCGAAGTCAAGGCACAGGTTGAATACCGTGAAGGCAGCATCGTCCTCGATATGGAGAAAACAGGAGCATCATCAACATCAAACCAAAGCACAGCAGCCGTTGGTGCTCATGGTGCCCAAGGTGCACCCGTATGCAATGTCCCAGAGCATCAACGCAAATTTGGCAATCCAATGCCAATTGGTATGGGCGCGTAAGTTGAAAAGAGCCTCTACTATGAATTACATTTTATATACTCATCACTTTTGGATTTAGCTTCGCTGTTGGTGGTTTCATGGTAGGCTTATACAACACTGGTCTTGTTGTCCACATCCCACAGGCGATTATGGGTGTCGCTCTTGGCTTTTCAGCCATGGGTCAATTGGTCTGTGGTATCGCTGAACTGTTGCTAGGCAACACCTTTGGTGGTACATCCATGTTGACATACAGTGGATTCTGGTTCTCATATGGCATTATGTTTTCGGGTGGTGGCGGCTTCTTTGACACGGCTATGGAGGCTGGCATGCATGAACTTGAAATGTGTCTTGGTCTTTGGCAAATTGCCTTTTCCATACCAGCGGCTATCTTTTTCGTTGCTACCTTCAAGCAACCATGGATTGTACGTTTCCTTTTGTTCTTGGTCTTTAGCGCTTTCTTCTTTGGTGGTCTTGGTGCATTCACCGGTGTCACTGGTCTTACCGTAGCCGGTGGATGGTTCTCATTTGCCCTTGCCCTTGTTGCCTTTTACATTATGGCAGCACTTCTCTTTGCGGAAGAAAAGATTATGAACTTGCCAATGTTTTAAGATCATCCAAAAACGAGCTCCTCTCACCTACTACGCTGTGCGTATTGTATAAGCATCCTTTGGTATAAAAATATCATCCCCTGCTGTTATTGTATATTCAACTTACCATTACGTCGTATTAATACAAGAGTTATTTACCATCAATAACGTGTTCACATGAGCTCATAACACCTTTTCAGTAAATTTTGCATATGCAATTGCTGATTCCAATATCCACACCCAGCAGCTTATTATGCAAATAAACGCTGAGCACCAACATAGATTATTGCTGAAGGAACATTCTCCACTTGTCGTCCAGCAAATGTTATTTGCACCACGTGCTCTATCGCCTTGTAATACTTTTTCTCTCTTTGAAAAGCGTCCGTGCTCGTGGCAAAAGCGTCATAGCTATCCGTACGGGGTTGTCAGGTTAAAAAAGAAGGTGGCGTGTAATAGGAAGGATGTCTCAAATCGGTTGTGTAATTACAAATGGGCGGGCATCCGTGCGTTGTGTTGGTGTATGACATGGAACCCCTATTTAAAGAGAGAGCGAGAGAGAGAGATTGAGAGGGGAGAGGAAAGCTGAAAAAGAGTATGGTGTGTAACTCTGGTGCTGGTTTTTTTTCTCACACATGGTGTTTGGAAGAGATGACATTTGTGGCACTGAGTTTCAGCGAAAAGGGGGTAGTTGCCGTTTTTGTGAAGATGTCCGGTACACAAGTAACCAAGAGCTTGCCGATCATTTCACCACATTGGGATGGTATCGAATAAATCGCAACGCACTCATACAATGATACACTTTAATTTAGTGTGTGTTCCTCCCCATTGTTTTCTTCCTTCCCATCCACTGGGGTAAGCAGCCAACGTAATGCTGTCGCGCGAAAAAAGCCATTACTGACACGCACACAAACCCGCTCTTTCCGCCCTTGCTTTTTTCCCCTACTCCCCCTAGTTGACTCAAATCTTTTTGCACTCTTCACTTCTTCCCACCCCCCTTTCTTTTTCTTTTTGCTGCTGCAACAGCCAACCAGCAGTAACGACGAAGGCTGGTGTGCAACCTATTTTTAACTGTCAAAGAACCCGTTAAAGGTCGAAATCTCTCTTTCTTTCCGCTCTATTTCACTTTCTTTTTTACTTTTACCTTACGTGTGCCCCAGATGTTTAGTTACATGAGCCACCCAGCACCACCAGCACCACCTCCACCTTTCCCTTTTGACGACAAACAGCCACCAACCCATCAACAGTCGCATTTTGTACCCACCACGAACATCACCGCTATCCCCACGACCGAGCAACTACCGCCACCATCTCACTCCTCGCCCTATTTTTATTATCCATCGTCATCCACATCGTGGCCATCCGCTACTGCAATAGCACATGAGCAGCAACAACCACAACCACAACAGGATCAATCACCACAACATCAACAGCATCCATTATCCACCACACCCCAAGACCACTTGACTCGCCCCAAATTGACCACATCCATATGGGAAGATCAAAACACCATTTGTTATCAGGTGGATGCACGCGGCATTTGTGTTGCACGGCGACAAGGTAAACCTTGTAAAAAAATTTCAAACACGACCAACGTGGCAAAAGAAAGAAAAAACGTTGGTCCCCTATTTCTCTCACACAAGACATGCTTACGTTTGATTTGTTGTTATAGATAACGACATGGTGAATGGTACCAAGCTGTTGAATGTCACTGGTATCTCAAGGGGAAAGCGGGATGGTATTCTTAAAAACGAACGGGGCCGTGTGGTTGTCAAAGTCGGTGCTATGCATTTGAAAGGCGTGTGGTAAGTGCACTCCCCCCAACTCTTTGATTCGAAACAGAAAAAAAGAAAGAACGATAAAACTCAACGACTTCTCATAGGATCACGTTCGCACGTGCCAAAGCACTTGCTTCACAATTCAACATTGACAAAGTGCTTCATCCATTATTCGAAGACGACCCTACCCTATTCTTTGGTCATCAGCCGCCTTTTTCATCATCATTTTGCCCACCACCACCTGTGCCAGCAGCACCCTTTTATCTTGCATCGCAACAACAACAACAACAACAACAACATCAGCATCATCAACATCAGCCAACAACAACAACAACAACATACCATCAACAACATCATCCTCAGCATTCATCCAACGAAACGTCTACTATTAGTACGACAACGACAATGACAACGTCGCCTGAACATCATATGCCAGTGTATAGCAATAATAGCAGCACCTATAGTCACACAACACAACAACAGCAACCATCAGACGAATGCTGGGATCTTCAACAATTGGTGTTGGGAAACTCTTCAATCTTGTCTGACTCGGCACCTGGCACCCCAGATGTGACAAACATGTTTCCTCCACATGATGTCTCAGCTGCTATTTCTTCACCTGCAACCACAATGGCACCTTATCACTACTCGTTCGCATCCATGATGACCCTTCCTTCATCACAACACCAGCATCGGGATGACTTGGATGAGTTGTACCGTTTTCATCCACATTAATATCCATGTTGCTTTTTGTTTGATCCGCTTCGCACTCACATATATATCGATTGACGTATCCAGCACATAACGCGCTCGTAACTCCCTTCCACTGTCTCCTTTTTTTATTATTCAAATGTCTTTTACTCTTTGTTGTTGTCTCTTTTGACCTTTTGTTTCATCACCCAACCCCGTGTCAGTATAGTAGTATACCAGCATCTCTTGTCTCTTTTAATTGCACATCTTTTTCTTTTCCTTTTGCATATGGCCCCCATCATAGTCTCTTGTTTATAAAATCCAAACTCGGCGTGTTTGTTTATATGTTTTGATCCCAGATGTGTTTAAAAGGCATCTTACTATTGTATTAGCATCAATGAAAGGACGTGGTAATGTGTGTGTGGGAGAGAGAAGGGGACGTAGTTTGATGACAAGCGAAAATTTGAGAGACTGGAGATGTGTGTGGAAATGTAGGTAGGCTAATCGAGAGACGTCGTCGGCGTAACATAATGAAAAAGGTACATCAAATAAGCGAGGAGTGGAAAAAAAGATCTTACGACTTTCCGGAAATCAAAGACAGCTTCGGGCTTGTTACCAAGGATCTAAGTAAAAAGGTTAAAGGGATGAAACATTTATGGTGCGCATTGCTTACCCTATCCCTCAGCCAACAAGTGCCGTATTTTCCCTCGCTTGATCAGGCGTAGATGCACCAATGATGACGCTCGTAGCATTCGGATTGCATAAGCACCAAGCAATAGCGAGTTGTGCAGGTGTACATCCTATCCGCTGTGCAAGTTGCTAGCCATCACCACAAAAGCACGTGAGCCTTTCCCATCGATACACAACTTGATCCATGCCACTTACAAAAATAAGCTCAAGCTTTTCGTCACCTACAAAGGAGTCCCAAATTTCCCATCAGACTGAGGATGCCTTTTGCCTACAAACGTACCTACCGCAAAGGGTCCACCAAGGAACACAGTCAAATGTCGCTAGACACCAATGAACACACCAAGTGGTAAAGCAATGAAGTGGGCTACATAATAGGTGAATCCATGAGTACCCTCAAATCCCATAAAGACTCTCCTTGGACTTACCAAAGGCCATTGATGATTGATGATGTGCATACAAGTAGAAAGAAAGGGCGTATGGTAGTGGGCGTGGGAGATGTTGTCATGATGGATCGAATTCATAAAGTTGTCAAGAAGGATCTTGAAGTACTGAGTCGAAGTGATGGCTCCATAATCCAGCCCTCATCTCTCATTTGTGTTTTCCTTGCATACTAGCTGCATTCTTCGACTGATCTTCGTCTCGTACAATCACTGTCGATGACTTGGTATCGATACTGGGGTTCTTTGAGGTCATGATCCACGATTGTTCTCGTCTTCGGGACTCTGGATACTGCCGTAGCGCCAGCAGTTGATCAATCCCCGTTTGAAGTAGTTCAATATTGTTGCTTGGAGAACAGCTTATTCGTAACACATCGGCCATGTCGTTGTCTTGCCATGTGCAAGGTAAGATCCGTAAAGCCAATGGATTCCAACCTGTTCTTGATCCATGACAGCATCTTCTTGCCCCGAGCCATGAGGTCGAACTCGGTGATTCGTACAGAGTCAGGCCATTCCACATGACCATCGCCGTCAAAGTATCCAAGCACCCACAGGAGATGCTTCCAGACATCCTCAATGTCGTCGTTCTCGAAAGCTTGAAGTTGCTCCATTTGGTGTTCTTCTTGTTGCTTGAGGGAAATCCCGCAGAGTCAAGAAATGGCCCAAGCATACTCCGCCGCGCCAATCTCCCTTTACGCCCACTTGTTGGCTGGCGCATGAAGCTGGGTAGAAACAAATTTCAGTAGGCTCAATAGCAATGATGAAATAAATAACGTACTTGAAGGTTGCAACCTTTATCCCCACGAATTGGAGTAGGTGCGATGGAGAATCGAATTCGTTGGATCGCAAATGGAAGTCGTGGTATTTGCTGCAATTGGCTCCGTCAGCCGTGAACATCCCCAGAAAGAACCAGCGTCTAAGATTCTTTGGGTCCTTCAACACCTTCAAAAAGGTTGGTATGTGCACTCTGGATTTGTAGGTTTTGGGTGCACGGGTCGATTGTGATGATGGTGTAGGTGTTGATGCATTGAAGTTTTCATCTATAGAGAGAGTTGATATTATTGTTATTGATGATGCACATACAATCAAAATCAGACTCACAATCAACATCCGAATTTGGGTCGGCTGCTTCCTGTAATGCCTCATCCTCATCCAACAACAAGGTTTCCGAGTCATCTCGTGTAGATAAAATAATAGCTGAATCTGATTTCGGTAAAGGTTAGCTTGAGTGCTTGAGTGGAAAGATCGCCCTTGTTTACCATCCAATAAGATGCCATCATCATCGCCTGGTGCTGAGCAATCATTTTGTCAGTATGGAGCAGGATAATACATGATCATATAATATACCTTTTTCTTTTGCTTTCGAAGATTACATTGACATGTGCGGGTAATAAGACGGCCCTTGGATTGTACAATGCAAGATGATGCGGTCGCGCACGCATGCACTTTTGTCACCTACAAAGGAGTCTCAGTCTCGGCATCCTTTTTGATGTATAAATGATAGCTATACCTACCCCAAAGGGTTCACCAAGGAACACAGCGTAGAGCAATGATGTGAACTATATAGATGGATGCATCATGAATACCCTCATTTTGGGAATCACATAAAGACTACCCTTGAAACTTACCAAAGGCCATTGATGATGATACGAAAACAAGTAGAAAGAAAGGGCGTATGATAGTGTTGGTGACCACAGCCTTGTTTATATGTGAGTGGGCGTGAGAATTGTTGTCGTGATTGATCGAACCGATAAAGTGGTCAAGCATCTCTTGGAGCGCCGAGTCGAAGTGATGGAAAATCATAGCTGATAAATCCGCCTGCCACTTGAAAGGTCTTTACATTAAGTATATCCGCGCACGGACCTGTTGGCCAAAGTGAGACTCATTTGTCATCTCATACTCATTTTCTGTAACCCCTCATTCCACTCACTGCTGCCATTTAGGTTTGTTGTATTCATCCCTTCCACTACTTTATCTACGACTTCGCTTGAAAAAAAAAACAGAATTTGACGGCTGGGTTTGTAACGGTGGGGGAGGGAATAGCTATCTTCATGCACGTGTCACCACCATGCCTTTTTTGGACACCATTACCTCTTGATGACCATCCTCTCCTTAACACTATACCACTAATGACAACCAAGATCCTTTTTTTATTGATGGGGAGTTCAACTTTTACGAAAATCAAAGACGGCTTCAGGTTTGTTGCCAAGTATCTAAAAGTGATGAAAACGAGTCAATGACCAAGATGAAAGAGCTCCCTATCCTTTTATTTACCTGATCAAGTTCCTTCATTACGTCGTCTGTCATTAGATGTCGGATCTTGAGCGCATTGATGTTCTCTTTGGCTTGATCGGGCGTGGATGCGCCGATAATCACACTGGTAACATTTGGATTGCATAAACACCAAGCAATGGCAAGTTGAGCAGGTGTACATCCTAATCGTTGTGCTATTTGCTATAGTAGATGCATCATCATTAGCCTACCATGTATGATATCACACCCATTGAGTAAAAATCACTTACACAAACAAGCTTGACCTTTTCGATTTTTCGTCTTCCTTCTTCACTGAAAAAGCCGGCACGTAACCGATTGATGACCGGATGATCTTGTATGGCAAGCCGTGAATAAGGTGGGATCACTCCATCATTGTATTTGCCTGTCAACAAGCCTAGGTTGTGCATCATGCTTCAGTCATCACACCCCAATGTCCATATAAAATCACCATCCTACCCGATGCCAATGGTGACCAGACGCATGTACCCATACGGAACTTTTGATACAATGGCAAATAATCCTTCTCAACGCGCTCTCGATTCAGCATGTTATATTGTGGAGACTACATGAATCCATTAATATCCATACAACAACCCTTTTCTCCACGTATATATACATACCTCAGTGATAGGTGCAATCAATTGTAACTTGTTGGCTACAGCATGTGCTTCCATGATCAAGTAAGGTGGCCATTCGCTAGTTGCCCAGTAGAGCGCCATTCCCTTGTCAATGCACCAATTGAAGGCACGCACAATTTCTTCCATAGGGGTATCGGGGTCTGTCATATGCATCCATGTATGAGTGGATGATGAATTTGATTTGCCACCCCTGATACAATACCTGGTCGTTGTGCGTAAAGAATATCGACATAGTCCAGCTGCAGTCGTTGAAGGCACGCGACCGTTCCCTCAAACACATGTTTTCGTGATAAGCCTCGATCGTTTGCGCCTTTTCCGCCCCAAAACACCTTCGCAAGCAGTATAAGCACACATGGCAAGATGAAACACACTATTTCCCCAAAAAATACCTTAGTGGAAATGACAAAGTCGGATCGTTTGAGCCCTTTTTGGTTACGCAGAGCAAGACCCAGATCAATCTCGCCTTGGCCACCTGAGATAGAAAGAGATTGAATGATGAATAACCCTGGTATACATACTTTTATATACCCAACCCCATCCTACGGCTCGCGCCACCTACCTGCATGAGATTCAGCAACGTCGAAATGGTTGATACCAAGCTCAAGGGCTGTTTTTACAATCTCTGTCGTCTGTTCTACAATGGGCGATCGTCGTGTCAGCTTTTCAGCGTTTGTGCGTATATATATGTATGCGACATACCAGGTGTAATTTGGCCGCCTTTTTTCGCGTATACGAGGGAGAGTTACATTAGAGGAGATGCTTGCCATCAAGGTGGTTCACAGAGCGATTGGTACGCGTGGATATTGGCTTACCAAAGGTGATCCAAGATCCCAAAGACAGGATGCTCACTTTGAGACCAGAGTTGCCCAAATAGCGATATTCCATTTCCGGTTGCTGTTGTTGTTGTTGCATGCTAGGGCGATGAAGAGTAACAGTGTCGGTGGAAATGAAACAAGATTGTGGAGGTATGAAAAGGAAAAGAGAGGAATAAAGGATGGTAGGCAAGATACGGAAGGCAAGGAAAAATAGTATAAATGCGTTTAATGTAAACTTTTATCCGCCAGATCCACACTTTCACTTTCACTTTCACTTTTATTGTACTTATGACATCAATGGATTGGGACAAGTATCTGGGATGGGAAGATCGGTGGGTTTCACACCTTTGGAATGCTTTGGCTTATGCTTGCAATTTTCGCTATCATACAATAGGTCTTCCGTGCCCTTGACTTTTACTCCAAATGCATCTAGTTTGACGGGATGTTTCAGGTCCTTGTTCCTATCCCAATCTTCAAGTAGTTTTTGTAGATCAGAAACTCGGTCGGCAGACTCGTTCCTGAATAAAAAAGATTAGCCTTCTTATTGCATGGATCTCTTTTTGATGATGATGATGATGATGATGATTCTTTACCAAACACTGCTAGGAGAGCAACATTGTAGCTGACGGCGAGTCTTGAGAAAACGAGCAAGATAATCCTTTTCACTCTCATTGGCCCGACGTGCACCCGTTAGTTGAAGAATTCTGGGAAGGTTGATCTGCGGCTCAACGTACTATGGCATACAAGGATATCATTAGCCAATCAATCGCAATGCTCTCGCTTGTTCTTTTGGCCTTCCCTATTCTTCTCCCCTTCATCTTTTTTCCGTTGCGCTGTCCCACACACAAAACCCCATCCAATGACAATGCAAAAGTGATTGTTTTACCTGCCATCCATGTTGCACGATCGTATCTAGATTGGAGAATAACAGCATAAAAGACTCAGTTTTAAATGATCCTGTGAGCACCCAACAATGGGCAAATTCCCACATCCGCATGATTTGTTGCTAGGACACTTACCGTAAAAAAAGGCCTTGCCAAGGTTAGAATGGACACCCACACTTGCAGCATACTTCATGGCAGGTTTCAAATACATGGCATGACCCACGTCCAATTGAGTTTGAATAAAACGTGCATCATAGCAAGCGGCATGTTGCCATGCCTTCATGTATCCATGCTTGTCAAGTTTGGATGTATCAGCTCGACCACTATCTCCAAAGTCTAATTGGCTCAACCGTTTAAGCTCTTTGAGACTCTTACGAAGCTTGGATTTGGGATTGTGCTTCAAGTATTGCTTCACCACCGTGTAGGCATCATTGGTACCCGTCGTAAAGCCAATGTAGCCACTACATGGCTGAGTGTGAGTGATCCATGCCCCCCAACGTAATATACCTGGGATTTACCTTGTGTAACCACGACAATCTTTTATGTTCTCCACATACTATGATGCGTGTGAGCACTTTTTCAATGCTATGCTTTCTCCTTACTTACCCCATAACCAATGCTCGTTCCCCCATTTTCAAACCTATGATACGCCATTTGTGACAGATAAAGTTAAATGCAACATAAAGGAGATGAGCTATTCGTTATATGCCAAAAAGAGAGAGAGAGAGTTGATCATCATCACATACACATTGGTGATAAGCTGAGCCATTTTAGTTGTATGATCGTCAATGTCTTGGTCTGGCAGATCAGAAATGTCGTAAAATCTAGGATGGGATGATACATCAGTTGCCATGGCAACCGCTACACATTAAAAGACGTACGTGGTGCAATTGCTTAATTTGATGCCATTGACGCTATTATCACCATGCTTGGAACCACTGCTAGAGCCGCACTTTTCCTCGTCCGTGGTTGAATCAAACTCAAATTTTTTGCAATGGTCGCCACCATGTGAGTATTCACCACTGCAATACTTGTCCGATGCTGCTGCCAGCAGCAGCAAGGATTGAAATACAAGGGTTGTGAGTTGCCAACGCATGAAAAAAGGAATGTCTACTACTGCCAAATGGTATATACCATCGTCCCCCTTTTTATAACGACGACGGCTGCTGAGTTGGATGATGGTGGTGTGCCACTTAATTAAGGAGGGATGGCCATTATGTCCCATAGTTTCCTAGATCCAGCATTGTCCGACAAAAATGACAATTAACTAGCACTGTACGATGTTGTCGTCGTTCCCCTTGTTACCCGAGATAATGAATTGGTGACACACGCACAATGAAATAATGTCGGCGTGTGCAACAAGAAAGCCAAAAGGTCGTCGTCAAAGAGAGGGCGTACAGACGTACAAGCTGCATAAGCATTTCATGGTGATGATCATAAAAAAGCAATTTTCACAGCTATTTCATGCGCATTCGTCTCCCAATTACTATCGTGTCACCATGCTCTCTCCTGATCTTTGGTAGCAAAAACCAGTACCTGCATCATCCGCAAGAACCACATGATGCATGCAAATTGACAATAAATCATGGATTGGATGTTTGGATGCCAAATGGTATATATATACAAGTACGAAATTATAGGTAAACTAATAAGCTCGCTTCTTGGGAGCTGAGGGTTGAGGGAATTGGGTTTCGTTAGCATGGGGATCAAGCTGTACATTATAAATTGAGTCATAGGAGGGTGGTTGCTCCTCTGGCTCATTTGGCTTGTGAAGTGACACTGCTCGTGCAGCCATTGGGGTAGCTGCTGCTGCTGCTGATGATGATGATGTTGTTGCTTCATCAGGCTCATCGGGCTTTTGTGTGTAATAACGAGGAAGGGCATTATGGGTGGAGGGTGATGATGTTGCATTGGATGAAGTTTCACTCGCAATACTGGATTTTGTGAGTGAGTCTTAGTATCAGCCATCTCTACTCTTGAAAAAAATCACTTACGATGATGGACGTTCAGACCTCGCCTTTTCTTTTTCCTTTTTATCCTTTCGATCATTGTATACTGAAGCTGCCTTTTTTGCTGCCACTGTAACAGATCATTAGACCATGCTCATACATGGGAGGTATTTTGTGACACTTACAGATACCCAGGCCAACAATGCTGCCGATAGGACCATTCAATGGGATGTCACCACTCTTTGTCCGAATCGTATAAATAGCATTATTAGCTTGTGAAATTTGGCTATTCATTGTGTTGTTCACTGTGCTGAATGCTTGTGTTGTTTGAGTGTTAATGGCATGGGCTGCGTGGGCTGCATGATTGCTCATGGCATTGGCTGTTTGTGTCATTTGTTCCCTCAAAGCCGCTACTAAAGGGAGTACATGAGTCGAACGCATGTAGCATTCAAAGATAACTACGACACATACTGCTTTGCATGGATCCACAACTAAAAGAGTTACGATGGCGATCACAGCCTGTGTGCCATCGTTTGCATTCTCTAAGCTCACGCTTTTCTCGTCGCCTCTGTTCTTTATGTTCACGCTTTGCTTGTCGTCTTTGCTCTTTGCCAGTAAAGACATCACAAGCGCTACCACTCTATTCATGGAACAAAATTTAGCATTATTTGTGGAGGGCGCATGACATGCTATATATGGTTAATTTTGCCCGCAACATACCGTGGAACGCCAATTCTCAGAGCTTGATGATGATCCTTCGCGCCTTGGATGTTCATGATGTGCTTTACGTGAGTAATGGGCGTACGATGATGAGGATGATGAAGAAGAAGAAATGGACGATGCATCTTTTTTGGCATCACTCATGGCTAAGAGCACCTCGTGTGCTTCACGAACACTATTGTTTCTAGAAGCCAACACGTGCTGGATCGTACTGGGATGGATATGAGGGAAAATCTCACTCAAAGTGGCTTCCTGGGGTGTCATGATGTTGTATGATGAAAAATGCGGGCACAAAACGAGCACGATCTCGAGGTTTATATATTACTTTTCTAGGAGGAGGTGGCTCAGCAGGATACATGAATCGTCTTGGCATGGCAGGATGCCTATTGGCCACCTGAATAAACCTTTGCGCAACCTCGGGCAGTATTTACCCCGTTTAGGCTTGTGTCACTTTTCGTACATGCTCAGTGTTTGAAAAAGTTGATAAGGTTTTGAAACGGTAAGGATGCATGGTTATATCAAAGATACGTTGAATGATGATGATGATGATGTTGTTGCTATTCAAAATGACCATGGTTGCTATGGTTACAATGGCAATGTTGTTGACGTGATTTTTGTAATACGACGAGGTCACACGTGCCAAGCGTTTCACGATCAACAAGTTTTAGATTGTCATTGTCCGCAGTATTGATCATCACTTTAAACAACATTCCACACAACAGAGACATATGGGTAATAATATTCATTAAATGCAAGTGTATAGGGATGATGATGCAATGTTGATCTATCAAGTCGTAGTATCTCAAAATAGTTTGTACAATGGGGGAGGTTGTAGTTATGCCACTGTGGGTGCTTGATTGTCATTGTTGGATCCTTCTTCTTCCACCTTGGCCTTTTTGGTAGTACCTTCCTTGTTGGACTGCTCAGCAGAGTCCTCATTGTCCCGCTTCTTTTCATTGTTCTCCTTGTCTTCCTCTTGATTCTTGTTCTTTTTGTCCTTCTTTTTGCCGTATCCTTCAGGAAGAGGAGGACGGATATTCGGCTATACAAAAATGATCAATACTTTTATCCTGTGGCTGATTGTCACACACACACACACACACCACTTTACCTGACAACGCCAATGACCATATTGACGAATACCCTTCTCGTCCGGTTGACCACTCAAGTGTTCTTCACCAATTCTCTTGCGATCTTCTTCAAGTCGATCCCTTAGCTGAAGCACGACATCGTATGATTCCTGCCAAGTGCTTGCTTTTCCAAGACGTTCACGTAGATCCTTGTGATGAGGCAAGCTTGGATGCATAACCTTGAACAAGTGGCCCTTGATGATACCATGTCGCAACTTTGGGGTATAATCACGCACAATTTCCAGGTATTCCTTTGCCATCTCCCAAGTACAAGGAGGCATCTTGCGATCCATGAAAATGGCGGGGTTGTAAAGAGCACCTTCAGCTGTCATGACACCATCGACACCCGTGTAATCAATGCAACGTTGGACATCGTCATAGTAGAGAATATTGCCATTAGCAATCACTGGGATCTTGAGTGCTTGTTTGACTGCTTTGATCTTGTCCCAATCGGCAAGTCCAGTATGATGACCCTTTTGTTCACGCAAACGACCATGCACCGTCAACAATTGAGCACCCGCCTTTTCAATCATCTTTGCATATCGAATGGTCTTTTCCACGTCGGTGAATACCCGGATCTTGACAGTGACAGGGATAGCAAGTTCACGATGCAATGTCGACACCATCTTTTCAATCAATTCCCATTCATCCTGCAAATAAGAGCCATAGAAACCACGTTTGGCGATATGTTGAGGACATCCAAGGTTGAGATCGACAGCATCGCATTCATGCTCCACTAGCTTGGCAGCACGCAACAAGATATCAGGATCATTGGCACAAAACTGTACAATGGTGGGCCTGTCGTTCTCGTCGGTAGACCACTGATCAGCTCGATACTTGTGTCCTTGCTGGGGATCGCTAAACAAGCGTGCATGGAACATGGGAGTATAGCATGCATGTGCACCATAACGCCGAGTCAAGATACGCCAAGCCTGTTCCGAAGCATCGACCATGGGAGCCAAAATGAATCGAGGAGAGCCAAGCGTCTTTTTGAAAAACTCATAACCTTCCAATTTGGGTGGCAATGTTGCTGTTGTTGTTGTTGTTGTTGTTTCGGTGGTGGTGGTGGTAGTGTTGTTGTTGTTGGTGGTGGTGGTGGCAACAGCAGCAGCAGCAGCAGTGTCAGACATGGTGGCCCTGATGGATCGAAGTGGGAGACGAGACAATGAGTGAAAGCAAGAAAACAAACGTTGCATCCACAAGGAGCAAATTTTCATCTGCCCTGCTCGCCAGCCCTGCTAAATTAAGCCAATGGTCCTCATCTTTTACTGGCTCATGCTTGAAACAGCTCTGCCTGACACCAATGGCATTGTTTTATAGTAACCTCCATCCAATGAATAAATGGTCTCCATACAAAGCATACATTTTATTGCCTATAACGGGGATAAAGTTGATACGATGGAATTCTCAACATTGGCTGAAATGAATTTGCACGTGGGTGCGTAGTACCATGGCCGATATATACAACAAGGACAAAAGGACTACGATTAAATGTGATACAACATTGCCATGGACACACAAAGTTTTCTGCAAAATGATGGTCGGCACAAAGAAAAGCAATCAAGGAGGAGGAGGAGGAGGGGCAAGCATTGAATCGCCCAAAAAAAGACTATTTACACATTTAGTATCGCTTCGCTTCTTTTTCTTGCTCTCTCTCTTTATCTCTTTTTACAACATGATCAATACGCGGATAGGTCGCTTCCTACTCCGTGTCTTGCTGCCAATCTCGATCGTCTGTACATTACTGCTCGTTGCTTATCAAAGTGGGTCCTGGGACGCCGCATCTCAACACCGAGTCCGTTATCATCCAAAGCCGCGCTTGAATGGCACAAGAGAGAATGCTGCCTTTGTCGTTCTTGTTCGCAACGAAGACCTCGACTCCATGCGAAACACCATGCAACAACTCGAGTCTCGCTTCAATCGCAAATACGGCTATCCTTGGATCTTTTTAAACGATCAGCCCTTCGATGACCGCTTTGTCGACTTTACTAGTGGTCTGGCGTCCGGCGAGACATTCTATGGCACCTTGAACAGCACCATGTGGGGTTACCCTGATTGGATTGATCAAGAAAAGGCTCGTGCTCGTCGTGAAGCCATGGAACAAGATGGTGTCATTTATGGTGGAAGCGAGTCGTATAGGCACATGTGCCGGTAAGTGGATCATCATGATGACGTTCGTTATGGGTCCTAAAGGCGTATGGGGTAGTTTCCAAAGCGGCTTTTTCTTTCGACATCCGTTGTTGGATCCCTATGATTATTATTGGTAAGTAGTGAATGGATGATCGATACGTGTATATAACTCATGTTGGCAACAACCAGGCGCGTTGAACCCCATGTCAACTTTCCTTGCGACATTGATTACGACCCATTCCAAGTGATGCGTGAAAGGGATTTAACCTATGGTAAAGGATATCGAGATTCATTTGTGACACAACCCACTGACAACCTTTTTTGTGTAGGTTGGGTGATTACCATCAAGGAATTTGAAAAGACAATCCCAACGCTTTGGAGTACTGTCAAGGAATTCATGAAGGAGTATCCACAATACATTGTTCCCAAGGATGATCCCGAGAGTCTATTGGGTTGGATTAGCCCTGATGGTGGTGATACATACAACCTATGCCATTTTTGGAGCAACTTTGAAATTGGAAACTTGGCGTGGATGCGATCACAAGCTTACCTTGATTTCTTCAACTATCTCGACAAGTCGGGTGGATTCTTTTATGAAAGGTAATGTCTACTTTTTCGTACCCAGATCAGCACCAACACTAGTGTCAATAGATGGGGTGATGCTCCCGTACACAGCATTGCAGCTGCATTGATGCTCAAGCGATCCCAAGTGCATTGGTTTTACGATATTGGCTATTTCCATAACCCATGGACCCATTGTCCCAGTGAGCCTAGCTGGTTAGGTATCGAGAAATGCTCATGCGATCCATCCAACAGCTTTGGTAAGTGATCCAGCAAATGTGATTTCAAATTCCTATCATTGACCACCGTTTTATAGATCGTCATTCATGGAGCTGCACACCTGAATATCTTGATTTTACCCGCACAAGTCGACAGGATTATTTGATCGCACAACGCAATTGACCTTTATTCCCCCCCCCCCACCCACCTTCTCCAATGTACATTTGCCCATCAACAATAACGGTAGAATTAATGCCGCCTTCCCGTAGCTCCCCGCCATCGGAAGAATTACAGTTACCAAATGCATGATATCGTTTCAATAAATCAAGCCATGTATCCCACACGCCCAGAACATTTGATCTTTACCAAACAGAGAACGGGTCGGTCGTCATGACGACGATGTTTGTTTGTCTATATCCGATCGGATCAGATCCTGTTGTACAACCACATTCTTTCAATTACCATAAATGTAGTATCCATGGTTCCCCCCCCCAATAGCTACATCTTTATTCATTCATAAAGACATGCAAATGGTATGATAAACGAGCATTCTTGATACATGTGCGCATAAATGACACGCGCGACACGTTGTTTCATACGCGTTTACGCGCACTGATATGGGAGCACCGGGTCGTCATTATGAATGGAGCATTCAATAACACCACCACCCTCCACAATCACATCACGTAGCATTCATGGTTGTATTAAGCATCCATGGGCTCAAAGTAAACGGGGGATGGTGCCGATGGTTACATCGCGGCTGTGTCGTGCTTTGAAGCGCGAAAAAAAAAAAGTGGACCGAATTACGTGACCATTTGTAATAACGCGAAGTGTATAAAAGGGGGCCACCTCAATGAGGTCCTTGGTGTTCTTTACTCCTCTTTTCCTCTCTCTCTCTCTCTCTCTCTCTCTCTCCTCCTTTTAAAAGTGCCATGTCTGCTACCATTGATACCACTGAAAAGCTCGCCAAGATGTCCGTCAAGGATGAAGTTATTGCCAAGCCTTACAACAAGTATGACGAAGAAGAGGAAATCCTAAAGGAAAACCCACGACGCTTTTGCTTATTCCCAATCAAGTACCATGAGGTAAAAAGAAGAAGGAGCCCTTTATGCAATGACATGGAGATGCTAATGTTGCTACTACTTTCAGATTTGGCAATTCTACAAAAAGGCTGAGGCTTCATTCTGGACTGCCGAAGAGATTGACCTTTCCAAGGACCAAAATGACTGGGAGAACAAAATGACCAAGGATGAACGCTTCTTTATCTCTCGTGTGCTTGCCTTTTTTGCCAGCTCGGATGGTATTGTCAATGAGAACTTGGTGGAGCGTTTCTGCAACGAAGTCCAAATTGCCGAAGCAAAGTGCTTTTATGGATTCCAGATCATGATTGAAAACATCCACTCTGAGACCTACAGTCTTTTGATCGACACCTATATCAAGGATTCTCAAGAAAAGGAAATGCTCTTTGACGCGATTGAGACAAGTAAGTTTTGGCGCCGATTTTTATTTTTTCGCGTTCGCGTCGCGGTCTTTGAAATAGCTGACCCCTGAATTTTTTTTCTTTTATAGTTCCCTGCATCAAAAAGAAAGCTGACTGGGCCTTCAAGTGGATCTCATCCAATGGCTCCTTTGCCGAACGTCTTGTTGCTTTTGCTGCTGTTGAAGGCATCTTCTTTTCCGGCTCTTTTGCTTCCATCTTTTGGCTAAAGAAACGTGGTCTCATGCCAGGCTTGACTTTTAGCAACGAACTCATCTCCCGTGATGAAGGCCTTCACACTGATTTTGCTTGCTTGCTCTTCTCCCACTTGCGTAAACAACCCTCCCATGAACGCATCCGTGGTATCATTGTCGAAGCCGTCGCCATTGAACAAGAATTCTTGACCGATGCTCTCCCTGTTTCCCTCATTGGTATGAACGCCAAGCTCATGTGCCAATACATTGAATTCGTCGCCGATCGCTTGCTCGTCGCTTTGGGTCTCCCCAAACACTACCACTCTACCAACCCATTCGACTTTATGGACATGATCTCCCTTCAAGGCAAAACCAACTTTTTCGAAAAACGTGTCTCCGATTACCAACGCGCTGGTGTCATGACCAAGGCTCCCGCCGAAAAGGAATTCACCTTGGATGCCGACTTTTAAAACTATCTATATACATATACATACTTATCGCTTGCATTTCTTCCCGCCACATATCCCCCCCACCTCCTCTTCTCTACCATACATTTAGCTGCTGTAAATAACAATAAAAAAATGTCACATGTCTCATTTAAACAGGCTGAGTTTTATTAGCGTTGCACAAACGTAATGCGGCATGATGGTGGGATGTTTAGAGGGTGTTGGTGGGTTTTCACGGGATATGGAGGGTCGATCTGAGATAAGGATCAATGGATGTGGTTGACCATTCGTTCAAAGCGGCGTCGATTTGCAATGCACTCATGTTGAACTCGATCACTTTGCATAGGTTGTCGTGGTCCTTTTCACTTTTTGCTGTCATGTTGTATCGTTGCATGCTGCTACTTGTAGTAATGTGGCCCAACACTTATTGACAACAGGACGCCTTGGATCCAATGGGGTGTACAGGTGTTCCTTAAAGCACTTGCAGCAAGCAATCAACAAGGAGGTGGAGAGTGTGTACCCATGTAAGATACATCATGCACAAAGGATCCAGGAGGGGATAAAGTGTCGCAAAGAACAAAGGCTCGCGTTGTTGATACTTGCCAAAAGACATGGGTGGGTCGTATTGATATACAATGGGAAGAAAGGAAGGTGATAGAAGCAACCTTGCTTTTATGCTCATGGCCATGGGTATCGTTGTCCACACAAAAGAAGGTCGTGATGATCAATGATGGAGATGCAAGCATGTTGACAACGAGTTCACAATTACGTATTGCAAATGCGTGGTGATCGTATTCTCAAATCGAAGAAGAAGGCATAAAGTATACATGTCCGTAAATGTTATTTGGATACTTAAAGGTACTGCTTTATTGAGAAAAAGAAAGTCTAAGGGGTACTGCTGATGATATTCATGATAACTGCTACAGAAAGGATAAGAGAAAAAAGAAAAGTGGAAGGTACTGATGATGATAATCAAGATTTACTGCTAGCGATGAGTTTCGTAATCAGGGATTGTCGTAGCGATGAAGGTGTCTTGTGGTAGTGGCCGTGTTGGTACAGCGATGAACTTGCCCTTGGCAACGGTCTTGCCTCTCTTGGCGGGTGTGACATTCCAACCATGCTTACGGAAAACGGCGTTGAGCGATTGGGGCTTTTTGGCAACAAGCGATCTGAGATAAGGCTGGATGGATTGATGATCGGCACCCCACTTGTCGACAGCAACATTGAATTCTTCCCAAAAGCCATAAGTTGCATCATTGTAATCAAGGTCCAATACAGCGCCAACTGGATACCGCTCTTTGTGTACTTGCCACCAGTATAGAAATGGATTGTGGTCATTGATCGTATAGTCTCCTCTTTTGCGAGTTGTGAACGTTGTTGCGATGGTCTCATCAAAGGATTGTTGCTGTGATGATGAAGCTTGGCCTTGAGGTGGTTGAGATGACGAAGCTTGAGCTTGTGCTTGTTGAGATGATTGAACTTGAGGCTTCTTTTGAGGTTGCTTCTGTATGTGAAGTGGTGGTGGTTGCTGACGAGGCCGGTTCTTCTGTGCTTGTTTTGATGGTCCAGCCTGCTGTCCTTGTGATGATGATTGAGTCTGTGCTTGAGATGATGACCGAGCCTGCGCCATTTTGGACGATTCAGCTTGCTGTGGTGCTGGTTGCGGCTGCTTTTGTTGTGGTTGCTTTCCTTTTTGCTTCTCCTTTTGCTTCTTCTTTTGCTTCCCTAGCTCGAGTGGTGGAGGATCCTCACGAGGGTGCAATCGAGTCGCTGATGATTGTGCCTGCTGCTTTTCTTGTGGAATGACACCATCATACTTGGGTATAAGCCAAAGCCTCTTGTTATGATCAACGCGTGGGGTCTTATGCACCTTGTCAACTCGATCCTTGAATTGCCTATTGATAATCACCATAGATTAGACACATGAAAAGGTAAGAGTAGAGTAAGGTAACTTACTTGTAATTTCCTTTGGATATCATTTCTTGCCATGCAACCTTTTCCAGTGGGGTGCCATGCTTCTCCAAAGTGGAAGTTAACAGTTCTGCAACCGTGGGATGCGTGGTGCTTTGGTTGGCTGTCGAAATCACTTTGCCTTGTTGAGAGAAATGATCCACCAAGAAGTAAGGCACCAAGCGATCGAACGAAAATTCCTCATCACTTGTCAATTCTTGTCTCACTGTGCCTCCAATATGCTCGACGGTCCTTTGGAAGACCTTGAAATAGGGTGGTGTGTGGGTTCGTAGCCAAACATCAGTGATCTTGTGATAATTCTCCATAGATGGCAGTGGTACACCTTCATCATTCTTGACAAGCTATTTTACAAAGTGAGAAAGTTGATACAATATATACATAAATCTTTCATTCGACTTCCCAAACCATGCTCGTAAATTTCAGGATCGTAATCGATGTAAACAGTGCCTTTGAATTTTGCACCGATGTAGATGCCATCGGGTGCTGCATACATCGTTCCATCGTCAAGCACCACTCGAAAACGCACCCGGCCATGACCATCACATTTGCTTTTGACCATAAAGAACATGGTGGTAACACCTTTGTCGTGATACCAATAATTCAATATACGGTTTCGGTTCGCGATCCGCATACTTTCTGAACTGGAAAGACCACTCCGCATACGTTCCATTGTAGCTTGTCGAGCCCAGGCAACCAATTCAGGATCATGCATCCATTCAGTGGACCCTCGTTGGTAGGGTGGTGGTGGTGGACACGTTCGGAGATAGGCCACTTCAGCAGATGTCAAGTCACCAATGGGGGCTGTCTTATCAAGCATGATATCGTGGAGGGCTGCTTGAAGAATGTTGGTGTTTGGACGCAAACCACGAAACCAAAGACGCCATTTGCCAATATCGGTGGTGAAAGAACGCTGCTTTCGAAACATGGCCCAATTGCTTGCCTCAAGACGCTTGCATTGACGATCACGCTCCTCACTGTATGGTTCTCCAATTGTATACCCATATCGCTCAAATTGCCGCTGTCGTAAAGCAGAAGCTTCTTCTGATGTATATGCTCGTTGTGGGTTGTCACGAGATGTTGATGCTTCATGTTGTCCTATAAAATAAAAGAATCAGTTATCAGCACATTGGTGATTGTAATAATAGATAATAACGCATACCTGATGCAAGATCATGGCGCAATCGTTGGTATGTGCTACGTGCAGCTTGAAGCAAGTGAGGCAAATTTGTTCCTTCTTGACGATGCAATTCTTCCAGCACCCGTTGAGAGAACGCCTTCGATCCAATGCGGTGGGTGGGAGGTCCATTGAGCACTCGATACAAACAACCATAGAGGATGAGAGTGCGCACCCATGTAAGGTACATTAAGCTCAAAGTTGCTGGGTTTACTGATCCATAGCTCACTGGTCCAGGGTCAAGATGTGCGATAGTGATAAACCAACCAGTAGTAGGCTCATCACCAAAATTTGCTGCTTCGTAATCAAAAGTAGTGTCATAGTGGCTGATTACTGGTTCACCGATAACGCTGTTGTATTCGTATGGACCCAAACCATATCTAATCAAGTCATTGCCGATGTTAATGGTATGCATGACATCATATTGCAAGTTGACACCTACCGATCACGAAACTTGGATTGTGCAACAACCGCTGCTTCATAACCAAGAGTTACAATAACTTGGGCTTGCAAGGTACGCATCAAATTGGCCGCCGTTTCCATAAAGCAAGCAGCGTCAGGATCGTCCAACCGATGGTGAGATGGTAGCGGCCACAAATCGTAAAAGGGAACATCACCCAATTGAGACATGGAAAGAATATTCTTGATCATGTCGGCTGTTATGGTCCCGGAATGCGAGCCACCGAAAAAGTGTTGTTGAAGATGGTAACTTGTCAATGAAATCTCCGTACCAAGAATGGTGAATGGTATCACGTTTTCTTGATATGTGTACCCGGATGTAGCTTGCTGAGCAATGAAATCGATGTGGCTGTCGGTAAGCATTTCTGCTGATCTTGCTGCCTTGGGTGAAGCATAGCCACGGAGCTGACTATGCATGTTGCGTAACAATGCTTGAACTCTTGTGGTGATATTGCGTTGTTGTACCGACCTCGTAGACATGGGGGGTCTTGTACAATCCATGTCAATGTGGTAAGTGCACTCCTTTTCTTGTTCTGTCGGGTTGTAGGAGCGATAATAGCCACCTGCTTGGGAATTCAAGAGGACATCTCTCCCGAAAAGGTGAATGAGAAATATCTCAATGCCGTCGACAATATCACGATCCATAGGGAGTCTCGGCTGCTGACCTTGAAGGTTCAATCGGGTGAATTCAAAGACGCGAGTGTCCATAGGGCGTCCAAGTGTGGTCTGCAAGATGGCACAGAAGTTGTTATAGCGAGTTGGAGAGGCACCTCTTGGAACGTCATCCATATGACGATCGGATGAGGTAGAAGCAAAAGTGCACCCAATGTAGCGAAGCCAAACTGAATCTTTAGGTCGCATATCTTGAATCTGGGCCATGAATGAATCACAATAGTTGTGATCAAAGTAGCTTGAACGATATTGTTCTAACGCTCGCCGAAGGTCTGACACTGAGAGTTTGATGGATCGCATATAATATCTTGTTGCAGACAGCGTTGATGTGGACGTGTTGGGAACATCTGGTCCATGCACTTCGTCGAGGGATAAAATGCTACTGATTTCATCATCGCTCATTCTTTCAGAGTGCTGGGCCAATCGTAACAACTGAGTGAGCGGTTGGGATCCTTCGGGGAAAAGCCTTCGAAGAATCTCGGCAATGTCGTATTGAATACTGTTTTGGCTGTCATCAAGTCGGTCTTCGATAAGGTGAAGAAGTTGATCCCATTGATTGAAAATATCAGCCTCAGTCGATGGCTGTGCCTGTTGACCAACACCAAGCATTGTGAGGCTGCTAAACAAAATGAAAGTTAGCATATGATGATGCCAATATTGCTTGATAGATGCCTACCTTGTTGTTGGATTGAACGAAGAGGAAAAGGCAAGTTGGTATCGATCACAAAAAGGTGGGGTATTTATACTTGACGATGAACAAAGAGCTATGAATCAACAAAAACATCATCAGCGTGGTCCTTTGTCATTCGGATATGGCCATCGAAAACAAAGGGGGTGCATAATCAACCGCATCCACGTACCATAAACGAAATGATTCATCGCATTCTTGATGATAAAGCTCATCCCATACAGCCTGGAGCCATGTGCTTACGGTGGATCGTTGATGCACCAGTCGAATGATTGCGAGAGGGTGAGGCGTCCTTTTCTTCCTGCTGTCAGAATACATATATGAGATTGATATACCATACGATGGCTGCCCATTCGCTTACATTGGCTTGCTGAAACAATGACGCTTCTTTGAAAGAATGAGCGGCCAACATAACAGGAAATTCTCCCGATCGATTGTTGACAATGACACCATCTCGTGTGAACTTGTAGAATGATCCATTACACAAAGAAGCTTCTTCCCCCTGCATAAGAAATGTGAGATGTCTATTTATATCACCTTCAAATCTAAGGCAATTGTTACCATTCATTCGCCTGCACGCCTTCGTCGTCTTCAAATGTCGATTGAGACCATGCCTTGGTGTCATGAGTATCACCCAGGTGTTCCATCTGCAAGTACAACGATGTGAGATACATCCTACAACACGGCAAGTAAACCATTGTTTTACCTTGACGAACAATTGGAAGATAGGACGTGTATGGGAGCTTGCGTAAAAAGGAGAGCAGCAACCTGTGTTAGAGTTGTTAGAATCATGCCAGTTTAACTTGAGCAACAAAGGAATGCAGTTTGTACTTACGCATTGTATCGCAATGGTATGCAATTATGTCACCCACAAAGAAGTCTCAATTTTCCCATTAGTCCAGGCATCCTTTTGATATATAAATGATAGTTGTACCTACCACAAAGGATTCGCCATGGAACACAGCGTAAAGCAATGAATTGAGCTACATGGATGGATGAACGCATGAGTACCCTCATTTTGGGATCACATAACAAAGGACATCCTTGAGACTTACCAAAGGCCATTGATGATGATATGCAAACAAGTAGAAAGAAAGGACGTATGAATCATGCAAAGAGCCTTGTTTATATATGATTGGGCGTGGGGATCGTTGTCATGATTTATCAAATTGATAAAGTGGTCAAGCATCTTGAAGAATCCAGTCGACCTGATGGAATCCAAACCAGCAGCTGATCATGATAAATCCATTGTAGGTGAAAAGTTGTCATGATGGATTGAATTGATAAAGTGGTCGAGCACCTTGGAGGACCGAGTTGAAGTGATGGGAAACCAGCAGCTGATAAATCCACCTTCGCCTTGAGAGGGGATTTTTTGTAGATGACACAAGTATGACCCCTTACCCCCATGCATGTGAATGGCTCTGAGAAAAGTTGTCATGATGGATCAAGCTGATAAAGTGGTCAAGCATCTTGGATTGCCGAGTCGAACAAGTGATGGAAAATCAGCAGCTGATAAAATCCACCTGCGCCTTGAAAGGTGATCCTTTGTAGGTGACATAATTATGACCCTTTGCCTCCATGCGTGCGAATGGATCTGAGAAAAGTTGTCCATGTCATGATGGATCAAATTGATAAAGTGGCCAAGCATCTTGGATTGCCGAGTCGAAGAAGTGATGGGAAACCAGCAGCTGATAAATCCACCTGCGCCTTGAAAGGTGATTTGTTGTAGGTGACATAGGTATGTCCGTTTGAGAAGAACAATACTCTGCTGTAAAGCTGCCATTCGGCGTATGTAGAGGGTAGCCGATAAAGAACTAGGAAAAAATGAAATAAGGATCATGCATGGAATCCAACACTCCCATGCCACACTCCCAAGATAAGAAGACAAAGATATATACGCACCCCTTTTTGATGAAACATTCTGGTTACGTGAATCCCTGCAATATCACATGCGCCATATTCCACGAGACTAGTTGCTTGTATATGACACGCCTCGTCACCTTGCCTCCATGCATGCGAATGGCTCTGAGAAAAGTAGTGTCAAATGCTTAAGCTATATACCATGCCCGTTAACACCATACCACAATCGCCCCTCAGCAATGCTATTGTCTTTTCCTCCATGGAATGCGGCTCTGCTTTGAAATGAGGTGCTGCCTGGCACGATGTCCCCTTGTTTGAAATGACAGTGTATTAAAGAGTTGTCGTCAAAGTGAAAGAGTTGTCGTCAAAGTGAAAGAGTTGTCGTCAAGGTGAAAGTGTTGTCGTCAAGGTGAAAGCTCCAATGTGCATGCTGCTTTGCAATGTGCAATGGTGCAAGTGCTGGAAATCGCGAACGGAAGAAAGAGTTGCTACCACGCGTTGTCTCCCAACCTCGAATCCATCTATAACACAGCCCCGCATAATATAATCTGCCCACCACCTTAGATACCTTTCATTCCACAAAATAATAAACGAACTTACATAAACCATATACACGCTTGTTGTCACTAATGCAAAGATGCATAGACATGTATGCATAAATCTGAGCTGAGCTGCCACTTGCTCACTAAGATCGGAGATGTAGTGCCTGATTCATGCACATCTGGACTTCAAAAGCCTGTTTCAATACCCTTTAACAGAAATTACATGACTTTGACCTTCCCAAACACCATTTTAATGGCTTCATCATCTTTCTCATCGATTCCGCTATTCGTAGACACTGTTTTGATTTCATTTAAACCACCTTCTTAATATGGAAATTTTTTCTTATATTACACTTCCATGATTCCCCCCATTAGCATCGCTCCAAGTTGACCGAGTGGTCTAAGGTGTCAGACTTAAGATCTGATCCTCGAAAGAGGGCGAGGGTTCAAACCCCTCACTTGGAAACATATAACTTTTGACTCGTCGAAGATTTGTGGGTCACGTGATCTGGTTTTTGAATTCGTGTATCTTGTTTTGCGTATTGAGAATGCCTCGCAGGCTATGGTGGGTGTATATATAGGCCAAAACAATGTATGCGACAAGGGTTTGTTCCTTGTAAATAGAGGAGTACCCATTTTACTTGCAAGGTCTTGTTGTGAGACAACCCATGTTTTATGCATGACATGATTGTATAGTTGGGCGTAAAAGTGCATACGTCGTGGATGTAATGCCAATCTTTTCTATTGTCGCGGTATGTTTGAAGCATTCAAAAATGGATGCATTACCTTCACGCGTATGCATACATGCTATCTCGATATAAGGATAACAGGTAAAAGGGTTGAATTGGTGATTACGTAGTTGTAGCTTGTAGTGATTGACTAGTGAGGACAAGATTCTTTGCAGTATCAAATAAAGCGGGGGTAATCGTGATGGATCGCTGTTGATGCCAGATCAGGCTTAAGAAAGGTGTGCAAAGGCTGATAGAGAAAAGATGGTATTGCCGATTCAGGCTTGTATTTGAAAAGTGGTTTGAAAGAGTAAAAGTGGATGAAAGGTGACGAGCTGACAAAAAAGGTTGACTTGAGAGGTGTTCAAGATGTTGGATGACAAAAGATGTGATGATAATTCAAAGAAAGATATGCCTCAAGTAGTTCTCTTAGCTTGCAAGGTTCTTGACAGAGATTTCAGATAAACTCAAAAGGTGAACGGGAGCTGTTTATCCCATCTTGGTGTTCCTATACCTAATGATGCTTAATCCTTATAGCGTTGGCATGGAAACAACGTCCTTAATGCTATTATCGAAGCATGCGTCATGGATGATGGCACAGGGGATGTCACTTGAAAGTAAAAGGTAAAGATGAAACGCTGCACGTCATTGGTACAGGGATGAAAACGGATACAGAGATGGGGATACAGCAAAGGAAAAGATGTTATTCAAACAATGATACGAATTGGGTCGCGATTTTGAGGCTGCATTGTGGATAATGTAAGAGGGTGCTACGTTGAAAGGTGTCAAAGATAATTGTCAGCAGCACGATGTGATGCACGAATGGTCACCCGATAGACGAAAAAAGTGATGAATGTATGCCGAGATTTGAATGGTTCCGAAAATAGATGATTGTTCTTGATGTTTGATGGCGCATTCATGCATGAATGTGGTAGAATATGCATGCACATGTTGACAGGTTGCACATAATGATGGTTGCTGCGGTAAGATGGTAGGCAAAGATAGCTTTAAAAGGTATGTAACCACCCCTCAAAAAGTAGACGGATACCCTTCTTTATTACCATGAGACATGTAATCCATGTCCCTGCGTAGGCATATAGTTTGCATGCTGCAGGGTAGAAGGTTGTGAAAGTATACATGATGAAAGGATGGCACGGCATTTACCTATGCATCATTTCTGGTGGCAATGCCCGAGAGTATTTGGTTTTCTTATAGATCACCATTTACAAGTTCTTATCACAACATTCAAATGGATGCATCAAATATCAATGTCCCAGTGGTTTCGAGTGATCCAATAAGTGGAACTCCATCGGAGTAACCCACCATAATCCGCAAGTAACTAGGTAACCAAGGAAACCAAGTGAATCGGTCAACTTGGTCTAGTAAATCGGTCAAGCCAATAGTGTGCCAAGCGATTTGATCGTGTTGAATTCTTACTTGCTCTAATGCCTATTCCAAGTTGAATGAGTTACTAGCCCAAGTCATCCAATCACTAACCCCAGTCAAATGAATAAAGCAAAAGGTTACATGATTGGATGGGTCAACATTTGGTGTTGCTGCTGTCCAAAGATAAAAAAGTACGGCTTTAGGGTTGTCTCTACGCAGCAGCACATCACTTGTAGTAATAGAAGTCCAAATCATCTCTTTGTAGCAAAAGATGCCTATTAATCACCATTACGGCGATACAACAAGGTCGAGAATTGTGGGGTTGGTCACAAGGAAACATAGATGATGAAGAGAAATGGCATGATGTTTATTACAATAAGGGGGTATCTTGGATATGTATACGTGGCGAAGGATGAGCCACAGGCAGCGGTATAATGTCATCATCACCAATAGAGCACGTTGCAGAAGAAGCAACGATCGAGTGCAGGGAACCAAAACCAATTCTTGTCAAAGGTGAAATACTGAAAAGACGATGAAAAAGATGGCAAAGAGTTGACAAAATGGTGATGGAAAAGGCGCCAAATCCTAACGAATACCTGTCAGAGCACCTTACCCACCCATTCTAGTCGTCAAACCATCACACGGTTTATGCATGGCTTATTGTTGTGTAAGGCATGGATCACGTAATGCTGACTCCGAATGGAATCATAACCCCCACCCACATCTTTTTTCTTCAAAGCTTTGAATGTTACCTCGTGTGTTGCCCCGTCTTTTTCTCTCAAGGTCGGTTACACGTACTTCCCAACGCCTCTTTACTTTATCAGCATTCGCCATGGCAACAAAAGTCAACAAGACCGATTCAGAATGGAGAGCCATGCTTTCTCCCGAGCAATTTAGAGTGTTGCGTCAAAAGGGTACGGGAAATGGGTGCAAGTCAATGGAATGTTTATTGAACGAACACTCTTAGGCACTGAACCTCCTGGTACTGGTGAATACAATAAGCATTACGACAAAGGTAAGTTGAGTAGTGGATATGGGTATGAAGGTGATTCTCACGCGTGGTACAATTGTCAAGGTGTGTATCATTGTGCCGGCTGTAATGCACCGCTCTATGTTTCGGATACCAAGTTTGACAGTGGATGTGGATGGCCAGCATGTAAGTAGATGAGTAAGGATCTTTATGGATGAGCTGCTGATAATGCATTTGGGTATATGAATTATAGTCTTTGACGCTATCCCAGGTGAGTCATGTGGGGTAGGGCTGTGGACGTTAATCACATGCTTACATGATATCTTGCAGGTGCTATCAATCGCCATGAAGACAACTCTCTTGGTATGAAGCGGATTGAGATTACTTGTGCCAACTGCGGTGGCCATCTTGGTCATGTATTCCAAGGCGAAGGCTTCAACACCCCTACAGATGAACGTCATTGTGTAAACAGTATTAGTTTGCGTTTTGCAAAATAAATGAAAGATGTCATAGAGCTATAAGACAAGTCGTTGGTTGAGATGGCAAAGACCTAAGCGGTGGTTGACCACTTTTTTCCCTTGTACAATCAGCAAAATCCACGCATATGGCTCATCCACTCATTGTCATTTGTGTGTATTCATTGTCATCATTGTGCCAAATGGCTCTTTTTTGCCGAGCATCAATATTGGCTATATATACCAGCACGATCCCTCCATCGCTTGTGCCACTTACAATTTCTTTCTGCAAGGTACATTTACATTGTCTCCTTTTGGAAGAGGCTACATGATAGAGCAGGCATACATTTGGGGGCCCTGTACCTGGGGTCGTCGGGGCTGCATGAAAATATAGATAACTTTGTTTCTTCATTTCCCACAAATCTCAAACATATGAGTCCTTCGACCTCGGACACCCTTTTATCAGACCAACAACAAGCAATCACAATCAAATGCAGCAACGATTCCTCCCGAGTCAAGGTGGACTTTATTCGACGCATTCCTACCGAGCTATTATGCACGGTGCTTAGTCATCTCGATCCCAACCATCTTGTCACCGAATGTCTATTGGTATCCCAACTATGGCGTGAACGCTTGTTGCATTGTCCAAAAGTATGGTCGCAAATCAGAGTGGATCGTATGGAGTTCAGTCCTCGTGCTCTCTTGTTGGTGGGCAAGTACATCCAGCTCCTAAAAGTGCATCATTGTGGTGGTCGTTGGTTTACTATGCTGTTTGAATACATGATTGCTGGTGCATTCCCCAAGCTACGCACACTGAAACTCTCGCCAAGTATGTTTCATGCATTCTTTTTATATTGATGCACATGGATGGGCTAATGTGTGAACACCAGTGGGACGATATCACATTGATCAAAGGGTCACCGAAGAAGGCTTGCGACATTTACAAGGATCGTTAAAGACGCTATGTATTGAATGCCCGGCAGGCACCCTCCTCAATTTGCAATCCATCTTTACAAGTTGTCCTCAGCTCATTACGCTTGACTTTTGGCATACAGCTGGTCTTGGTATCTATGATCCATTGCCATACATGGCATCATTAACAACATTGACAGTCGTGCAAAGAACAACCGTTTTATCCGAGGAACCACTTCAACGGATCGTGGATGCTTGTCCTAATCTTCAACGTCTCAGCTTACGACTATGCGAACCATCCCAAATGGCTTTTCTTGTACGCAGCTTGCCCAAGCTTGAGATTCTCTATTTCAACAATTATGGCGCATCAGCATTTGCAAAGGATCCAATCACTACCGATAACCAGCCAACAACCATTCAAGACCAGCAACCTGTTGGGTTACAGCACCTTGTAGCTGATGCCATGCACATTCCTGATCTTATCGAGGTGTTACAGACGCATTGCAGCACATTAGAGACACTCGTTCTTGACATGACAGGATCAACAGGCAATGAGTGGAGCCAAATTGAACGACTATTGGAACGTCCTTTGAATATGATAAAGTTACACACATTGGAATACGACGCACAGTATATGGATCATGGGGAAAATGTTCTTGAATGGCTGCTGGCCGGCTGTACAGCTCTTGAAAAGGTCCAAATATCACGTGTCTATGATACCACCAATGATGACGACGATGATGAAACCCACCATAGCCATCAAAACACCATTCTTTTCCAGCATCTTTCTCGCATGTCACGACTCAAGTATCTTTCGCTGCAAGACATTGATAATGTGGATGGATTGGAAGAATACGCACGACATTTGGGGAGTCTTGGATCAGCGTGTCCACTTGAAAGCCTTATGCTTCATGAATGCATGTTGACTGACAGGCATCTCAACGTGCTTGGCAAGATACGAACGCTCAAAAACATCAACATTTTGTATCCTGACGATTGCATTTCAACCACAGCATTGAATCGATTCTTCTCAAGACATCACCATGGCTCATCCGTGCTGGCACGAGTAAAGCTATTTGCCGTCAATTGTGCGACTCGAGACACGCTGGCTGCGATCGGCAAGATGCCTGCACTAGAATCGTTACTCTTGTACTTTCATGGAGGATCGAGGATATCCAAGCAAGATGCTGTAGAGTTTGCTGAGCAACATCCACACGTTAATCTTAAATGTTTTGGAAGGCATTTTGAAGAGTCGCAATAAAAAAGGTTCTTGTCCATACGTTTATTGATCAGTGATCCACTTGGCCACCATTACCTTTCCTCATGTCGCCATGACGACGCTGTTGCTGATCAACACTGTGCCCCCACCTTTGAAGCTCTAGAGCAGCTGACGGCGATGCCATCCCCCGCTCCTATTGGCTATTCATGGTCTCATCCACCGGTACCTCTTGTAACTGGATTCAATGTTTAAAACGGCGAGTATAAAACCAAGATCTTCTCACGCTCGAGCGTGGGTGGAATTATGCACATCGCGTATTAAACATCAGCACCGACCGAATAAAGTTCCTAGATTTTCTCACGACAGGTTTCAAGATATCCTTTGTTTCTCTTTCACATTTACAAACCATGTCCCCTACTCTCGAAAGCTTTGTCACTGTTGCTCCTGAATCCCACTTTCCTATCCAAAACATCCCCTTTGGTGTCTTTTCAGCCGCACAAAATGTAAGTCCATCCTATTGTCTGTTATCACTCTTGCTGACGAATACCTTAGGAAACCCCTCGTGTTGGTACTGCCATTGGCGACTTGATCCTTGATCTCCACGTTATTGCCCAAGCTGGTCTCTTGGATGGCATCGAAGGTTTAAACAACCCTGCTAGTGTGTTTGGACAGGTATAAAGTGGTTATCTTGTGTTCATGGAAAAGGAGATTCTTAATACGCGTGTCGTATAGTCTACCTTGAACGATTTTATGGCACTGGGTCGTCCCACTTGGCGTGCAACTCGTGCTGCTATCCAAAAGATCTTGTCCAAGGATAATGCACAATTACGTGATAACCAAGAACTAGTGAGCAAGGCTCTTGTCAAGCAAGCAGATGCACGTATGCACCTCCCTGCAAAGATTGGGTAAGCTCACGATGATCTTTTTTTGTCATTTGTTTTACTCATAGCTACGTTACATAGTGACTATACTGATTTCTATTGTTCCCGTGAGCATGCCACCAACGTTGGTATCATGTTCCGTGGCAAGGATAATGCTTTGCAGCCCAACTGGTATGGTTGATGGATTGAAAGGATGGGCATGTGAACCAACTCTCTAAATGTGTGTGTGTGTGTATTAGGCTCCATATCCCTGTTGGCTATCATGGTCGTGCTTCATCCATTGTTGTTTCTGGTACCGATCTTCACCGCCCTGCAGGTCAACGCATTACTCCCCAAAACAAGACTGAGCCCTTCTTTGCCCCATCTGCCAAACTCGATTATGAGCTCGAAGTCGTACGTGTATACTATTATGGATGATTGAGCAAGGCTCCTAATGTATATTGCAATAGGGTTGGTTTGTTGGTACCGGTAATCCTCTTGGCAAGCGTATTGAAGTGGCTGATGCAAGCGAACACATTTTCGGCATGGTCCTTGTAAATGACTGGAGTGGTAATTATTTTTAAAGCAACGCTTCAAAAGACATGCTCACCAACTTTTTTTTTCTGCAGCACGCGATATTCAAGCGTGGGAATATGTGCCACTTGGTCCATTCCTTGGTAAAAACTTTGGCACCACCATTTCTCCTTGGATTGTCACCTTGGATGCTCTTGAGGAATTCCGTGTGAGTGGTCCATCACAAGCATCCCCTGAACCTCTCGCCTACTTGAAGGAAAATAAGGATACTGCATACGACATCAATCTTGAAGTCCAAATCAAGCGTAAGTTGTCATGAGCCATTTCATTCGTGGATGTGATTGTTGACTTGTTTTGCGTGCGTGTATAGCATCCAACTCATCCGCATATGAACGTGTCACCTTGTCCAATCTAAAGTACATGTATTGGTCTGTCACCCAACAACTCGCACACCATACCGTCAATGGCTGTAATATGCAATCCGGTGACATGTGCGCCACTGGTACCATTTCTGGACCTGTAAGTTGCCCACAAATGTATGTGACATTTGCGAGATCTCACTGTTTATTCTTTTAGGATAATGAATCGTTTGGCTCATTGCTCGAATTATCATGGAACGGCACCAAAAAGATCAACTTTAAGGATGGTAATGAGCGGACATTCTTGGAGGATGGTGATGAAGTCAACATGACAGGATACGCCAAGAGCTCTGCTGGTTACGTTATTGGCTTTGGTGATTGCCGAGGCAAGGTCTTGCCCTGCCTATACCAATAGTCCTATTCAATACAACAATAAACGACGTTCAATGTACAAATAGAGGATTGGATGGCTCTTGAAATATGTGTTTGTTGCAACCCTCGCCTTTAAGAGTCCAAATTAAGAAGGTTTGCTTGCATCAAGGGGTGATATCAACTTTGTCACAGCACTCGATCACTCTTTCCTGAGACAAGATTAAAGTGCAAAACCAAGACCAACACCACGCTATTGATTTGTTGTCCTCTAGTTTTAGCCTGGATGAAATGTGGTAATAGCCAAGATGTATATACATTGTAGGACTACTCAATAAGGCAGAATAAGGGGGTAAGACTATAAATACGCTGGAAGCTATCTACCCAAGGATACACCTTTCTTGACCGAGTCTATATAAAACATGAAGAAAACCATCCATCTGGGTCTCATTGGTGGGCAATTCGATCATCAATATACCTTTGACCTTCAAGGCTATGTATGTCTCAACCTGCCATTGAATGCTACACGACCTCCATTTGCTCAACTTAAACGTAACCTTAGTTGACGGTGCATGATTTCCATTCTACATTATGTCTATTCAATGAAGCTGCAAAGAGACATCCACCACCTGGTCACAAGGGGTTGTGGTGTACCACCCTATTTGCATTCTGGGCATTGATAACCGCCATCACATACACCATTTGGATGTACATTTTCAAAAAGACCAATGCCTTCATTCTATTGATGGTGCCGAGTACAATGCTTCTCACGACGCTGTTGTGGGTATGGCGATATCGACGTATGCAGCGAAGGGTAAGGCCCAACTTTTTTTTACATGTCATCGTTAATGCCCTGCACTAAAAACCCCCAAGTTCCAAAGCCGGCTCATTGAATTGTGCACTCGTATCAATGCAACCGAAAACATTCGAGGTATCAATTATCGCTTGATGAAACGTGGTGTTGACATGGTGACACAAGCCGATCAAGCAAGGGCTGTGTGGCATGCTTCCTATGCAAGTATACACAGACCATCATGATGATGCTGCATAATCGATTCTAATTTCCCCCCTTTTTTCACCTCCTTTGCTATTATAGGCATTGTTGATTGAATTGGATGATCGTTATCTTGCCCTTGGATCGAGTCCATCTCAACGTCTAGACATGACTACTATTCCAATCCCATACCGACCACCATCACCACTCCCACCGGTTGCCTACTCGTTGAAACATGATGATGATGATCCGTATAATAATGATAGCAGCTTTTTTTATGACAAGGAGAAACAATAATAGATGATGACCGATTTTATAGAAATGGTTGGATTATTATATTGTGTCATTGATTGCGAGGAATTAGAGTACATCCTAAAGGATATACAGAATACTATAGTGTTGAGAATGCGAGGGGTGTGGTGTGGGGGGGGGATAAAAGGGGATAGAGAGATTGGGTGTATCATACAATGCGTCGTCGTTCAAGCAGGCGCCGCTTTCTTTTGGGCATACGCAAAATGGACATTTTCAAAGGTCTTGTATTCATCCGCTTCACGCCAACAGGACTCCATTTTGTCTTCGTATTCTTTGAACGGCATATTGACTGATCGACATATCTTGGGACCAAGTGCATGATAATAAGCTTGCCATGATTGGAGCGCCAGTTGACCAAGCTAAATAAAAAAAAGCATCGTTTATCATCCACATCCATCCATACACTATGCGATTGGTATCTTACCTTGCCAGCCCACTGACCACCAGGACAAGAAATAAAGGTAGTTTGGATATCTGTCAAACAGCTGATCTTTTCAAGTTTTGACTTGAGAGTACGGCCAGCGTAAGGATCAATGTGTAACATCTGCATGACTTGAATCAATTGCTGATTCAATTCTCGGGTATTGGGACCAACTCGATACAGCTCGGCATCCACCTCGGTCAATTCGATCCAACCACCTGGTTTCAATACACGCGCCAATTCGGTTAATGCAGACTCCCATTGCTCGGCTTTGATACCCATTCCAATGAATCTAAATAAAATAGCAACAATGAATATCCCATAAGCGTGCGTATGGGGATCACAACATACCGCATGAAAATATAGTCAAATGTGTCATCTTCAAAGGGCAAGCCGTCGTGTAGATTGAGCTGGTGGAATGTACAATTGGAAGGCTTAATGTCGTTGGGGAACATTGGGCTAATGTCGACACCGACTACTTGTGATTTTGGGTATTCGCTTGCAATCTCCATGGACCATGCGCCTGGGCCACATCCCATGTCGAGGACTTTGGCGCCTTTTCGTAACACTTCGCTCACTGGGGCTAGGTAGTTGCTAAATAAAGAAATGAAAAGCAGCCGTGAGAACGGTGAAGTCCCTTATGCAAGGGGGGTGGGGTCACTTGAGTTGTGCTTATTTACCCTTGGATAGCGAATCGCACCATGAAATGTAAGAGATGCAAGCGGCTCACTTCATCCTCATCACAAGGGAGCATGTACGATGATGCTGGCACCAAATTATACTTGCGACCAGCTATCCACACATATTGATGACTATTGGCACTGTTGTTGCTATTGAAACTACTAGTCTGACCTGTTGTTGGCTCTTCATTCACCGCCAATGGATGCACAGCTGTACTCAATGTCGTTGTACCACCTGATGTCATATCATTTGCTGCTTGTTGTTGCGATGGTAACCCATCCGAAGGAGCACCACCACCACCAGCTGTTGATGCTGCTGCTGTGGTGGAAGAGGTATGACGAGGAGGAGAAAACACTGGGTTGTGGTCGAATCGGAAAGTGGAGAATGCACGCAAAGGTTTAAAACGAGCACGTGCAGGCTTGCTGTTGGTATGCGATGTAGTGCTAGGTGATGAGTTCTTCCGCACTTTGACACGGCCGTCAGATGGCATCAGCACTGGTAATGGATACTCTCGTTGATATGGGTTCTGTGACCGTTGCTGTTGATGGTAAGGTGGTTGATCACCAGGATGGTGCCACGAGGAGGATTGCTGAGACGGATAATAGGTATTGGTTTGGCTGACGGTACTTGGACTTCGTGGACGGGATTGTTGACTGCCCATGATATGTTATTTGCTATTTGGATATGATGGAGGAGGAATCTAGAAAAACATGAAGGGGGTGGTCGATTTCGGGAAGAAAAAAAGTGGAAAAAGAGGTAGAAAAAGAGCGGAAAGGGGTTCACCGAGGAACAGAATAAGAAAGCGTATTTCACTGTGGAAGAGGAAAGAGAGAGAAGGGGTATGTGTTTGAGCGGGAAAGCAAAAATGTTTTATTGCACACTTCATGCGTGTTGTACAATCGATCAATCAACACTCTGCCACAGCCGGGTTTCGGTGGCAACAGCATCGTGCCCAATGACCTTTTAGAGCAGCATGTCCACACATCAATCCCCTGCCACTGGGTATGCAGTCTCACTTCATCATCCACTCATTTTGTTTCATTATCATTATCATTTTCTTTGTTGTAAGAGGTAATAATAGTATACAGTAGGATTTTGTTCAGAAAGGCTGTGTGATGCCAGGGTAGCTTTTGAATCACAAAGAATCATAAAAAACCCACAATTTCATCATTTGAGAAAAAATATCGAGAGGTATGCCGTAGCATCCTCTACAGATAAGTTTCCTACTGTATGGATAAAGAGAAAAACAAGGGTGCCTGGGTTGGACGCCTTTTTATAAACGTGCTTGGCGGGACGTGAAAAAATTTTTCTCTCTCAAGCCTCGTTGTCCGACGCAGTCCCTGCTCACTCGGGCTTGCAATTGGATAGTTTAGCGCCCTCCATTCAATGACTAGTGGTAGACTTGGATCATTACTAGACTAGCGTTGTGCTGATATCCATCACTGCCATCTCCGATAGCAGGTTGACACTTTTGAATCCACACGCTGGATCCTTTCACGTGAGTGATATCCCACAATAAGATCGACAATGCGTGGATCGTTCATGCAGACTTTAACAACGGCACTCTATGAATGCGATGGGGTTTCTTGACCATGAAAAGTACATCCATCACGAAATGGGTTGATGACCCTACCTGCTACATGTAATCAAAAGCTACCTCCCTCATTTACAACTTGGTATATATAACCCTATCCTTCCATCCAATGTACCAAAGTAATATCCAAATCCAAATCCAAATCCAAATCCAAATCCAAATCCAAATCCAAATCCAAATCCAAATCCAAATCCAAATCCAAATCCAAATCCAAATCAAATTTGATTGTATTGAAGCAAATTGCTACACGTAAATAAAGCTGCTTTTATACAATGACTATCTTTTGTTCGCTTGAAAAGGAAGTAAGCCAAGTTGCTGCAAGTAACTTGCGACAATGGAGTAGACCCCCTTGCTGATAGAAAGTGCTGTTACGTTTGGTGGTGGCAGACGAGTGGAGGGTGCAAGAACGTGTGTTGTAGTAGAGTGACAAAGTTGTGAATGCTGTTTGATACAATGAAGTGAAGCCTTCGCTAACGGCAACTGCTGGAATGAATGCTGTTACGTTTGGTTGTGGAAGAGAAGTATGGAAGACATCGTGTTGTATCAAGGAAGGCACGTGTTGTAGCAGAGTGACAAGAAGGCTGTGTACACGCCATGGATTTGCCATGCAGTCAAAGGCAATCGGATCAAGACAGTTGTAGGATTGACATGATGAGTTGAAGGAGGACAATCGTTCGCAGGTGGTAATTGTACTTGAATGGGGCAGCAGTTGGGAATGGGAGGAAGAACTGGAAATTAAGTAGATTTTTCTTTGGATGATGTTCCTTTGTTTGAGCGTTGCTCATTCAAATCCCATCGAACCAAGAAAGTTGAAGGATGGATATGATGGGCTGGAGCAGGACAATCGTTCATATGCATTGGGTGGGGCAACAAAGGTGAATGAGAGGAACGGGCTATTAGCTGGCAGTTTACAAATAACTTACCAATTTGATTCTTCTGATATTGGATGATGTTTCTGTGTTTGAACGTTTTTCAGTCAAATCTCATCGGATCAAGAAAGTTGAATGATGGGCATGCTGGGCTGGAGCAGGACAATCGTTCGTGTGCATTGGATTGGACAACAAAGATGAATGGAAGGAATGGGCTATTAGCTGGCATTTTGAACTATTCCTAAATAGTGTACAAGAATCATGCATCGCCTGTGCTGAATGACTCAAGTTACACAAACACGCCCTCTGCATCTTTTGCTCTATTATAGTCATACTACTTTACATTAAACAAAGACCACTTCTCATATAGCATCACCCTTACAGCATATGTGAAACATAAAGGTGCCTGTATCTCCAAACTTTACAATCAAACGTGGGCTCTTTAATAGATCAACGTGCTTGTCGGGGTCAAAGGAATCTTGTGTCAAAGTATGAAGTTCATCGTGGGCGATCCCAGATTTCGCAATGTCGCTACCAGCCAAACTGGATCCGGGGCTCAACCTCTTTCGACGACGACCAAAAAATATTTTTTGGGCTAGTTGCGACATTGAACGTGAAAATTTCACACAAGGTGCTGTTGGCCAAGCCGAGCCCATTGCTCTATTCAAAACTCCACGTTTCATTGTAAAGTTTGGAGATACAGGCACCTTTATGTTTGTAAGCGTGATGCTATATGACAAGTGGTCTTTGTTTAATGTAAAGTAGCTAGACCCTGACAGAGCAAAAGATGCAGAGGGTCGTGTTGTGTAACACAGCTACGTTTGCATGAATGAAAGGGTCAATGTATAATTACTTTATGGATCATCTAGGAATAGGCATGTATTGCTAGCTAACAGCCACTTTTATCCAATCATCATTGTTGCGAGATCCACTGCATGGGAACGATGCTCCTGCTCTAGACATTCATTTCCATGATTAAAGTAGGTTGATCCGAGCTGATTTGGTTGAGCTGCGGTCAAAGAGAGATTACATCACTCTGGACATCAAGCACGCTCGATGTAGCTCAACCGATGTAATCTTGTGTGAGCGTAACTCAACCAAATCAGCTCGGATCAACCTACTTTAATCACGGAAATGAATGTCTAGAGCAGGAGCATCGTCCACCTACAATAGAATGCACAAAAGTTGGGAATGCACCAAAGTGGCCATTAGCTGCCAATGTATGACATAAAAGTGAGAGTTCCGTACCTTTCATGCATTGTCCCTGAAGTCCTGACTTTTTAGCTGAGTTACCCAAAGAGGTCCTTCTGCATCTTTGGCTCTCCAGGGTCTAGCTACTTGGCAATGAACAAAGACCACTTCTCATATAGCATCAGGCTTACAAACATAAAGGTGCCTGTATCTCCGAACTTTACAATCAAACGTGGGGTCTTTGATAGAACAATGTGCTCGGCTTGGCCAACTGCACCTTGTGTGTAAGTTTCACGATCAAGCTTGCCAATCCCAGATTTCGCAATGTCGGTACCAGCCAAACTGGATCCAGGGGTCGACCTCTTCGACGACGACGACCAAAAAATATTTTTTGGGCTGTTTGCGACATTGAACGCGAAACTTTCACACAAGGTGCTGTTGGCCAAGCCGAGCCCATTGCTCTAATAAAAACCACACGTTTCATTGTAAAGTTTGGAGATACAGGCACCTTTATGTTTGTAAGCCTGATGCTATATGAAGAGTGGTCTTTGTTCATTGTCAAGTAGCTGGACTCTGGCAGAGCAAAAGATGCAGAAGGACGCCTTTGTGTAACTCAGCTACTTTGCATGACTGGAAGGATGGAAGGATGATACTGTATACCATTGACAATTGCCCATGGATTGCGAGCTATTAGCCATTTCCTCACAACCGGCACTGTTTTCCACTCTATGACATGTGAGCGATTCTCCTGCTCCAGACATTCATTTCCATGATTGGATTATCTTGATCCGAGTTGATTTGACTGAGCTACGCTCAAACAAGATTACATCAGTTAAGCTAGATCGACAATGCCATATGTGTGGATTGATGTACTCCCTCTTTGACCGTAGCTCAATCAAATCAGCTCGGATCAAGAAAGTTGAACGATGGAAATGATGGGCTGGAGCAGGAGAATCGCTCACATGTCATAGAATGCAAAACAGTGTCGATTGTGAGGAAATGGCTGATAGCTCGCAAGACATGGGCCATTGTCAATAGTATTCAGTATCATCCTTCCATCCTTCCATTCATGCAAAGTAGCTGAGTTACACGAAGACGTCCCTCTGCATCTTTTGTTCTGCCAGAGTCCAGCTACTTGACAATGAACAAAGACCACTTGTCATATAGCATCACGCTTACAGCATATGCAAAACATAAAGTCAGCTGTATCTCAAAACTTTACAATGAAGCGTGGGGTCTTTATGAGGACAAACCTGCTTGGCTTGGCCAACAGCACCTTGTGTGCCAGTTTCACGATCAAGGCGGCCATTCCCAGATTTGCCAAATGTCGCCACCAGCCAAATTGGAATCGGGTCGACCTCTTGAATTTTTTTTCGACGACGACGAAAAATATTTTTTGGCTGGTAGCGACATTTGGCAAATCTTGGAATGGCCATGACGAACATGAGACTTGGGCAGTATATGCTTTCGACCCCGCCGAGCAACTCTTTTCTCTTAAAGACCCCTCGTTTGATTGTAAAGTTTTGAGATACGAGTACCTTTATGTTTCACATATGATGTAGGCGTGATGCTGTATGAGAAGTGGTCTTTGTTCATTGTCAAGTAGCTGGACCCTGCTAAAAGTTGTGTAATAAACTGAGAGGGGCAGGGCTTGAAGGATTCTTATTGGTGGAGAGTGCATGATTGACACTTTCCCCTATAGTAAGGTCCGCCTATGGTAGACCCTTGGGAACTTTTTTGGATGAACCATGGTATGGATAGCAAGCCAAAGTGATCAGTGCATCCAAGACTATGAGCGGTGATGGTATTGTTTGTCTCCAGGGTTCGTTCTTATGTAAGATTATACATACAAGGTTTTGTCCATGCTGATAGTTGTCATAGTTAAGCATGTGCATGTACTCATGCCACATGGTATCAGAGCTCACTCCTAGACGTAACGATTTAAGCTTACAATGGACCATGCTTCTGTAACAAGCACTGTTGTTGGGTACCATAACTATGGGTTTATTATCTTTGAGAACGCAAGCGTCTATATAAACATGTATACAATCCCTTTCTGCCACTGCCTATCGTATATCCGCATATGAATAAGGGAGCTTTAATGAATGTAATATGGCAAAAGGAAAAAGCGTCTCGATACAATGATGTAGGTAATCCAATCTCGCTTTCCAACTTTCTAATTTCTATCCATCCTTTCATTTCAGAAGCCAACCAGTGGACCACATAGGATCAGCGGGTATCATTGTGTCATTGTATTCTTGGCTGCTGCCGTCATAAGCACCTTCATCCATGATTGCAAACTACTTGCTGAGCATGCCTTGACTTCAACATTCCAATATCATCCATGGCGGCAAACCATCTCTCGTCAAAGATACAAGCCCTCTTATCCATGCCATCCAATCCATCATCATCCTCAACCGTATCCGTGTGGAATAATCCATCTTCCCTGCTGACGACGTGCCAAGCAACCCAAACGACATTTCAAGATCACCTGACACTATGCTTGATTGCATCCACCCATCCATAACCATTGCAAGCCCAACATGTTGATAGAAAGAACTTCTTTGATCGCTCCCTTTTCCATCCGGCTGTTGGTCTATCTCTTTCTTGGTCATTTTCATTGCAGCTCAACCAGGTGAAGATTGCTTGTATTGCGGTGCATCTGATAGCTGATATGGGGATCATCCATTGGAAGTCGTATGCATCAAACCAAAGTTGCCACGCGTAAATAAAGCTGCTTCTATGCAACGGCTATCTGCTGGTCCACGCAAAAGAGCTGTAAGGCAAGATGCTGCAAGTAACGTGAGACAATGGTGACCTTGCTAATAGCAACTGCTGTTACGCTTTGACGTGTAGAGGAGAGTACGATAGCGTGTTGTTGTAGTAGAGTAGAGTGACAAGATGGTGAACGCTGTTTGAGACAATGGATGAAGTGAAGACCTTGCTAATGGCAGCTGCTGCAACGAGTGCTGTTACGTTTGATTGTAGAGAGTGCGAGTATCAAGAAACGCGGGTATTGGAGTGGAGTGTACACGCCATGGACTTCTCAATCAGTCAACGGCAATCGGATCAAGACAAGTGTAGGATTGACATGATGAGTTGAAGCAGGACATTCGTTCGCGGGTGGTAGTTGTACTTGAATGGGGCAACAGTTGGGAATGGGAGGAAGAGACAAGAGGCCGGGAGTGGAAGGAGTGAAAATTAGAGCTGTCATGCACTCATTTATAAATCCATGTACGTTTTTCAATCATGAGATTGCCCCTCTCGAACTTGAGACTTTCACACAGATGCTCTAAGGAAAGCTGATCAACTTTGTTCTCATAATGACTCCAAGCTTCTATTTTGAATGATAGGATGTAATGTGGGAGAGGTCATGAACGGAGGAGGATGGTAAATTCCGTTCGTGTAATAAAGAGGAATGTCATCGATTTATTGTAAGAATCATCCATGTGAAGCAATGCTTTGCTAACGAGCAACAAGTGTTTTAATACATGCATGATCAGGATCCCTTTATGATAATAGGGTCAACTTTTGAGCAGGTTATGAGGTATATCGCTCAAACATCAGCTGGGATATAGCATTGCTACTAGGTCATTACTACAAGGATGAGATCATTGTTGGGAATTACGTTATATTGATCGTAGAACCTCTTTACGTGGTGGGGTCGATCTGCCAAAGTCAAACATTGTTATTGCTATTTTAATATCGGATGAACGCTTCCTAGCACTTGCAATTGGTTGAGACACCAAAAGGGCACCTGATTATATCAGCAACCAACAATAATAATGGTGCCTATTTCCAAAAAGAATGCCTTGGATTCCTCGTATGGCACATTTCGAAGAAATTACTTAAGCAGCACCGAAATAGCTTATCGGCAAGCGATCCCGGTGACTGGTGATACTTTTTCTGCGACGAAAGGGAGAATCGGGTCGGCGACCCTGAATCGACGAGATCGATTGGGTACTGGTGATCCGAATCGTCTGTGCTTGCCACTTTCCATTTCCATTGTCGAAAATCTCGATTTTGGTTCTCCGGTTCATGCAATTGTATAAAAAGTGTGTTGCATGGCAACCATCAGCGTATCATCATTTCACGCATCGTTTCTTCTTCTTCCATCATACAATAACTTTGCCATCATCATGGAGATGCCTGCACCCATTCCACGTTCACCCAGTGACCAAACCTTTGTCAATATGGCGGGAAGTAGTCGCCCCACATCTCCCAATCCCAAAGGCGGTGATCCATTCTCCCATCACTATAATGAAGCGTTGCGCCTAAGTCCAATGCATCTTGATCCTGGTTACTTTGATCGCTCACCACGAGGAAGCTTTGATCCCATGTTGCCATCACCTATCATTACTTCAGAGCTCCAAAAAGGCCAAACCAAATTCCATATGGGCAATCCTGCACCATTAGGTAAGGTATCTAACCCCTGCTTTTTTTTGATGATTCCTTCATTGCTCATACGCATGGGTTTTTTTTATGCTATTAGCTCTATGGTCATTCGCCACTGTTACCGCTCTCCTTGCCACATTCAATTTGTTCTTGCCTGACCAACCAAATTCCATTATCCTCCCAACGGCCCTTATGTTTGGTGGCCTTGCACAATACATTGCAGGATTCCTGGACCTCTTTTATGGTGGAAGTTACACCGCTATCATCTTTGTATCCTACGGTGCATTTTGGGCCGGCAACGGCTTATTGATGCTCCCCAGCGTTGCAAGCAGCCTTCAAGCCTACACGTCTGAATATGACGTTAACCGCGCCAACGGCATTTACCACTTTATCTGGGCAATTTACACACTTTTGCATGTTGGCATGTCCTTCAAGATTAAGAATGGCACCTTTATGAATACATGGCAAGTATACATATGATGAAAGCAGTTATCCACATAGGATCATTCTAACATTTGCTTTACAGGAACTTGACCATGGTCTTTATTACCATCCTTTTTGAGGGTGTCCATTACATGACCAACATTACTGGCCTTTTACGCTTTTCAGGAGTATCAGCCTATCTTGCAGCTCTTGGTGCATACTACGTTGGATTAGCCGACCTCATGCGAGAACAAGGTGTTCGTATGTGGGTTGGAAAGTACAAGTGGAGTGCTAGTAATAAGTAAAAGTTGATGTTGTATTATAAAGTTGATACATTGTAAATATTTACACGGATGGGGATTGTTGTTGTGAATGTAAATGATCACTTTGACTAAATACAATGGGTCCAGAGGATGTCCAATTGTGTTCGGCGGTGGATGTTGAGCTTGCTTGGCTTGATCGATCATCTCCATCATTCATCTTTAGCTCTTCATCTTCTCGTTCATGTAAAGGTGGTTCAATCGTAATATTCAAATCCGAAAGACGACGCATATCGACACCTGATGGGAAGTGATGCTTCAATCGTTTCTTTTCAATCTAGGATACACATATGGATATTAATCGTCTTTTGTGTACATTCATCAATCATCATCGTCTTACCAAGAGTGCTTGATTCTCCAACTTTTCTTTCATGTCCTCAAAGCCATAAAGGCATTCATGGATAAAATCGGCCAGATCTATTAAAAAAGGTGCTCCTTGTCAAATCACTTGCTCTCAACACAATCCATGCAAACTTACCAACATCATGTGATTCTTGATCATCATCATCATCACCGCCTTTGCCAGCATCATACTTGACATCACCATCTACAATGCCTCGCCAACCATCGCCCAAATCAACGACTTCATCTAAATCTGAGTCTTGTTGTTGCTGATGTTCTTGTGTTGGTTTTTTGTTGGGAGCGTTCAATGCGCTGATGCTGCTTTCAATTCCCACAATACGCTCCAATGCTTCTTCCACATCATCATCAATGGTATCAATGAAACCGGTGACAGGTCCAGGAGACACTCGTACGTCGTAATAAACATAAATCTGATCCTCAAAGTCCACATAGAATAAACATGGCACATTGTGTCCTGGTGCCACAGCATACGAGCCTGTGAGTAGTAGTAAGGTTCAATATCAGTGATACATCAAACATACACACATACACCCATGCATTGACTTGCCTGCTGTAAAAGCGCACACACGACCTTCAAAGGCGAATTTGACCAATTGGAATTTGACTTTGGAATCTCCTCCTTGTTCCTCAACACGCTGACTCCAATCAATAAGATATGTGACACCGTTCCAAGCACACGCCACAAACAATTCAGCTTGTGTCTCCTCCTCTTCTTCATTGTATTCGATATCCTCATCGCTCCATCCTGTCGTAGTATAGCTGCTACGTCGACTGCTGCTGGGCTCGGTATTCGAATGATTTGCTGATGAAAGACTTATATTATCCACACCCGAAACTTCAGGATGTTGCTGCTGGTGTTGTCCCACATCTTCATCCAATTGTTGATGGTGTTGAGGTGATGGTTTACTTGTAGGGTGATGATGTTGCTCTTGTTTATCATATTCGCTCGTGTCGGTGGGGACTCTTGATAATTTGGACGTTGGGCTATATGCTGGTGATCCGGTGTTCGAATGAGGAGTGGGCCCTCCTGATGGATATGGTTGTTCAGGTGCAACAGGTGGTGATGGAAAGCGTAGCTGTGGCGAACTTGAAGGTGTTTGAAAGGCTGACAATTGACGAATGGATGATTGTGCAGTGGGAGGACTTGGCGATAATAATGCAGACTTTGAGATATCCAATGTTGCCAAGCTGAATAATTTGTGTGTGATAAAGAGATTGCGTTCTGAGATCTCCCTCGTACTCAAATCATAGATGCTGAATTTACCTATGGCCAAGAAGGGTAAGTGATTGATCTATGCTGCACCTTTCTTTCATAAACAAAGAAACTTACCATCCATACTTAGCATGCCGACATGTGTCCCTTCTTCATTATCTTCATTGTCCTCTTCGCCATCACTGTGCAATGCCAATCGTTTGCCAATCACAATCTCGGTAGCCACAGCGCCATTGTCTTCGCCCATAATATCATCACCATCAACATCAGGCCAATTTTGTACCACATAACTCGATCGATTGATGTCTTCTCCTGCCACATCTTGGATCTTGCCCTCGCAATTGACAATGATATTATCCGCTTCCACATCCGTTTCCACTTGCACGGGGACATCTTTGGTACTGCTGTTACGTTGTAAAAAGGTGCGAATGGTTTGGGTGGCCTTTCTCAGATTGGATAATGGACCCTGATTGGCGACCGAAGCTTTGGGTGTAGTTGACATGTCATCTTCTTCATCCTTGTTGGAAGTCGTTTTAGGCTTCTCCACATTGACTGGTGGTGTTGTTGTTGTCGTCGTTGTAGTAGTGGCATTGTTGGCTTTGGGTGTCGGCATCTCTTTGGTCTGATCAGGTGTACCAGGCTGTGATCCATAATAAGATGGCTTTTGATGTCGACCATAAAATGTCCTTGGCGTGTATTGTGGTGTAAAATCACGATTGTAACGGTTGCCATGGCAGTCGATAATGGTGAAGGTGTTTCCTGGTTGCGCAACAAGTAGAATGGGTTCATTGGGTCTTTCGGGATGGGTGGCAATCGAAAGGGATGTGATCTATGTAGCATATCAATATGAATTGAACCAAACAATACACACACTCACATCCTTAACATACCTGGCCATCGAATATCCACACATCCTTATCCAATAAATGTGCCTTCTCATCCAATGTCTGTGATGATTTACGTGCCAAGTTGTCGGTCTCCTTAACATCCTTGGATCGTGAAGATTTGGACCATGCCATGCTCTTTCTCAACACGTTCGTCTTTTCCTTTGGATCCGACATGGGACTTTTGGAAGTGGTGATGAGCTTGGGCTTGTCTTTGCCGGAAGATAATCCAGTGAATGATGAGTGCAATGATGTCGATCCATGTCCTTGTACGCTGTTGGTTGCTGACGAAGATGATGGCGTATCAATCGCCTTGAGAAGTTCAGAGGCTGCTGTTTGCAATTGAAATGCATGCAAAATACGATCCGTGCGCGCCAAAATCAATTCATTCAGTGAGTCGCCGTCTAATAGAAACAATACTATTAGTCGATGTTTTCCATATGTGTGATGTTGTTGTGTTTTACCTATATCAGCAATAAGGACCTTGTTGACATTGACAGGTACATTGAGAGTCAAACTCGGCTTTTGTAGGTTGTAGATGGATTGTTTGTCGCTTCTGAATCCTTCATCGAGACCAGCACCTTGTGCCATCATTGTACGTCGAAATGCTTGGATACTCGAAGTCTCTGATGTGCGTCGACCATGTTTGAGATATTCTTCGGCAGATAGATGATGTCCCAAGTGGTCCATGGTAGCGCCTGCAGGATGACGAGGTATATCAAGTACGTGTGCTTGTCCTTCAGCATTGATACACACCACAGAGTTCTATGTATATGAAACCTTTGTCAACATTGGACCCCTTGACCCATCCGCTGATATGCACATCATACCCTTCCCCAGTTCCTTATGTCACCAATAGCCAGACACGTGATCTAAATAGCATGTCAGTGAACTATAATCCTCTCTTGCAAAGCATTCCCCTTACCGTTCCAAGACCTCGACACACATAGGTAGGCAGCCCATTTGCACATTCCCCTTTGAAGATAGCTAGATCGCCGCTCAAGTTACCAATGACAAACTCGTTTTCCTGCAAGATAACATGTTGGCTTGATCGGATGAAAAAACATAGCAAAGACTTACACCGTCATTGTCGACATCGCCAAGCACCAGGGCGTGTGGGTTCATGTTGCCAGAGAATGACCATTTGAGACGATTCACCAGCGAAATAGTTCGCATAGTTGTTGCGGGAAGGAAACAACGCCGTTGTCGCTGTTATGCAAGAGCCAAGTTGTGAAGAGAGAAAAAAGGTGGAGACGCTCTTCTCCGATCCTTCATTCCATCTCACGTCCTGTTGACAACAACCATCATGTGATATAGCATATTAGACATACACACACAAGTAATAAACATTCATTATTGAAGAGAATGAAAAGGAATGGTTTATGCTCTGCGTCTTGTTAACAAAGAAAAAAAGTACAACAATGATGATGGTATAATACTATAGACGGGTTTTCTTTCCTTTATACCCATTCCCAAGTACCCTGGATACGGCCATCTGCAAACTCTCCTACACGTTTATACGCGGCTGGAGAAAGGTCCAAATCGCCTGATTTGCAAGGAGGACATGTATCAACCTGATAATGAGACAAAGAAAATGGGTAAGTAAACGATCCATGTAATCATAAAAAGTGCCTCAAAGCTTACAATCTTGACAGTAACCGAGCCTTTCTTCGTTTTCACGCGAGCTTTGCGGCCACAATTGGGATTCTTGTTTGGGTTCTCACCGTTTGCCATTTGTGGGGCATTCAAGGCAGCAATCAAATCCGTAGCCGTATTAGTCTCTCCACATGAACCGAGACCAGGTGTGTAGTATGTAAGGTCGCCGCTAAATTGAGAACTTTTACGCCTTTCGATGGGTGCTGCCAGCGCACCAAGAAGAAAAACAACCAAGAAGCAAAGTTGGTAACGCATAGTCATCATGATGTCAAGTAATGAACGCCTTGCGTTTGTGGATGGTAGAACGAGAGGAAGGGGGTTATTGAAAAGAGAAGGAAGAAGAAGAAAAGGTAAAGAAAGAAGAAGAACGCAAAACGACAGGGCAATAAATATGGATGATGGGGTGGGGTATATCTGGTCTTCATCCGGGATAAAGCATCATCATCATCTTACATGACAACCTGACCCCTTCCTCCTTTCTCTGGACATCTTTAATGACTTTATACCAAAAATGAGCTAGTTGAGCGGCGTGTGCATTAACAATCAAATATATAAATGTCAGCAGCAGCAAGGAGGCTTTCTTTTTTGTCAACAGATGAGGATGATCCATTATCTCTTTTTTTATTTAACAAATATAATAAAATCAAGAATGAAGGAAGGCATCGGTAATGAAGAATAAATATGATAACATTGCGGAGATGATAAACTTCTCTCTTATCTAATACGCGTGCGACATGGAAGGTGCTTCGGCAACCACGGGACCTGTATATAACGAGCTGAGTCGATGATTGATTTGTTGTGGTTGATTAGGAACAAGCTGGTGGGATTGTTGTTGTTGTTGTTGTTGCTGCTGCTGGTGGGAAGGATCAGGGACTGTGGATGAAACGGCAGCACCAAGACATTGCATGGGGAACATGCCATTTTGTTGACCTGTTGTCAAGTTGGTACCCATACACCATCCATCATCGTATTCAGCTAAAACCTGTACATGGTCGCCTATTCGCACCTCAATCTCGTCAGCTAATGTGGGTGTATAGCCTGCAGCTACTTGATAAGTGCCAATCACTTGTTGTTGATGATGTTGTTGGGATGATGGCATAGTAGGAATAGCAGCCATCATTGGAGGAGATTGTTGTTGTTGTTGCTGTGGCGGTGGCGGTGGTTGTTGTTGTTGCCAAAGTGAATCAGGGTGTTCAGGAGTGGTTGGTGTCGTGATAATGGTTGCTGACATGGGTTCAGGGGCTGATCCAGCAGCCACTGTCAAAGGTTGGGCACCCATACATGGTTGAGATGCAGAAGTAGGAGGTGCTAACTGCAATGGCTGAAGATGTTGTTGTTGTTCCATAGGCTGTGGTGGTGGTGGTGGTTGTGATGCCATCATCATGGGTGGTTGAGCAGGTTGTGCCATTGCAGGATGCGGTGGTGAATATGGAGTAGGCATACCCATGGATGCATCGTTATTGTAATAGCCTGCTGCCATATTATTGAATGCCTGTTGTTGTTGTGGTTGTTGTTGTGCAGCATTGGTAGTGTAACCAGTAGCATTGTAAGTGGGACCCATCATTGAGAATCGAGTGAGACGGTCATTGCTGTTATTGTTGTTCAACGTTCCATCAGCTTTCCGTTTCTGTCGTCGCTTGATGAAAAAGAAGGCGGCAAATCCAAGTATAATAATCACTACAATGGCCACAATGGCTCCAATGGCACCTCCAGAGATAGCACTTGAATTATCACTTTGCGTATCGGATACAGCGGTTGGTGTTCCAGTGCTACTACTACTACTACTGCTTGAGCTGGATGGTGGATCAGCACTTGAAATAGATGCTTTAGTTGTCGTTGAAGCTACACTGCTACTGCTGCTTGGTTGACTAGACGACGTCGTTGTCGTGCTGCTGGGTTCTGGAAAAGCGATAACCGATTGTGAAGGGTCATTGGCAAATGACAGCGAGCTTGGAGATGGGTTCGGATTGGACGATTGGGTCGACGATGGTGTTGGTGTTGGTTTTGGTGAAGCTGAAGAGGAGGAGGAGGGTGGTGGTTTATTCACTATACAACAGCCGCGAGATTAAATCCTTGTTGCGGCGCAACTGTGCCCCTTAATTCCATACCTTCGGTCTTGGAAGAGACAGCTGAAGAAGGATCAATTGATTCTTCAATGGGAGCACGCTTGAAGATATCAACATGCTGTGACATGGAACGACGTCGTCTCACCATATGAAAGGAATGGGAAGGGGGAGAGAGAGAAAGCTAATGATGAATTGGGGGAAACAAGGAACAACGACACCAACACTCGCAACTTGTCTCTTGCAACAATTGGAAAGAATTTGCTCGTGGCACATAGCCTTTTTTTCGGTCGACATGGAATTCCGCTCATTCATCGCATGCTTTTGTATACGTAAAAGTATACGTACAACAATATCCTCGGGTTCGTCAACATGTCATCAATGTGGTGGTGCGTGCACGGTAACGCCATCAATCCAGTGCATCGGCAACTCACACTAAAAGCTACTTTAAGCTATACCTTCTTTGCCCCCTAATTATCCTATCGTGGTTACAATGATGCCCTACTTCCCACGTGCATATCCTTTATTCTTGTTGCATCACCCCAGCCTTTTTCTTCATCAAATTGTTAACCACCGACACAGCCTCCGACTTGCACACACACACATTTATATAATCGAGTATAAAGTACCGCTCAATTCCCTTCCACACCGCACGCTAAAAAATTCTACTCCTCAATGCTACCAAAATGTGAAGAATGGTGCTAAGATCCATGCATCCACAAAAGGATAGAACCATCGCTAACCATATACGGATTATCAATGCCATCGCATTGACGTTGTCAATATTGAAGGCAAGGGGTAAAGTGTGTGGCATTGGAGAATATAGATGGAGCTAAAAGTAGCACCACCGCCGGTGCAAAATGCTGAGATCGATATCTATAGTAACTTGTCAGATATCTTCCACAGCACAATGAGCGTTCACTTATTCATTCACGTCTTGGTGCTTCATTGTGCTTGAATTTGAAATCATGTATACCGTGAAACGTGTCGTATCATCCCATGTAATGATCGATCCCAACGGTTGCTGTATTATCCTTCTTTCGAGGATGTCTTGATCATTCGATCGCAATTGACATGTTCCATCCTCCTTTATTGAGCCATTACTACCTCCTCGTGTCTATCTTTTCCTTTGCCAGCAAAGTACATGATCCGAATTTCGGATTCGTTTATCAGCTTTCCCCAGGAGCCTATTATTAGGTAGGACGACATTCAATCATGCACAGCACATGTGTACTTTGACAGTCAGTAAACTTAACAAGTACCAAATTCTTCTAAACAATCGTCATAGCAACCATACAGCAAAATAAGAGATACAAAGGAGCATGACTACAGCGTATCCGTCGGTTGCTTATTCACCGATGTTTCAAAAGTCATGCATCCGTCACCCCGATGCTTCCCTTGCTTAGACTTTTTTAATCTCACTCCTTTCCTTGTATACAATTTTTACGTGTGTGCGTGTGTGTGCGTGTGTGCATGAAACCACCAATGCAGCTATATGTCACACAAACGATCCCATCATCATCACCATCCCAAACGATTCAGACGCTTTCTTTCCCAGCGCCTACAACAACGCGATACAACAACAGACAACAATGACGACGACACACCCAAGCCATTAACCAAGGATCAGCAAGAAGCCATTGACACATTGTCACACTATGCACAACAAGAACTCGGATTGACTTCGTTGGATCGCCATGTCTACAATGTCATTTTGGAAATGTGGTCGTGGGATATGGACAAGGCTAGGGAAGAAGTCATTGACTATCGAGAAACTGAACGCGGGATGCTATGGTCGTTGCCACGGCAACTGGGCTATATGGCTGGCAGCGAGAATGATGCAAAGACAAGTTGTTACATTGATAGCTTGTTGTTTGCCATGTTTATTGGATTATCGGCAAGTAGTCATCTCCCTCTTTCTCTTTCTTCATGCACGAAAAGCTTATGGGATATGATGAATAGGCATTTGATCCTCTATTGGCACACAAGATACCAGAAAATGATGAAGCCAAGCAGCGTTTGCTTTTGTTGTTGCGGCTATTTGTCAACAAGCTACGCAAAGGCCACTTGATCCGCACCCAGCTTGTACGACAATTACGATACGCTTTACAAATGAACGCGTGGATTGGCGTGGATGAACGTGGAAGATGGACCCAAGAAGATGCCAGTGAATTGTTCATGTTTCTTACGCAAACATTCAACATGCCGTATCTACCGGTAAAGGTCCCCTCCCTGATTCTCATTTGATGGGCCATAGCATTCATTTATTATTATTTTATAGTTTCAACGGCGACTATTCCATGGAGCAGAGCGTGATAAAGAAGATGATCGCGTGACCACCGATCGTACATTGGCCCTTTCTGTACCACCTGACATGTCCAGCACTACGGTTGAGCAATTACTTACGGATCATTTCTACAACAATGTGGTGACTGATATTCGACGACAGCAACCCACTGACCCTGAAAAGAAAAAGCTGATGATGGGAGAAGAGGAGGATGGATCGGTGACCGTGGCAGCATGGCAAGTGCTTGAATTACTCCCGTTTTGCAGTTTCCAGAGTGAGCAAGGATATACCAACATGAGTCAAGGACAACAACAGCAATTTGTGCTTCCGTTAGTATTGAATCGATACCAATATCATGTGGTGAATGGAAGAACGACGTATCGAAAGATCAAGACCTTGGTCGATATTCCCCAAACGATCAGCTTTCGACAATTCATCAATCAGAATACTGAGGATCCTTATTGCTCAATTTGCAAACACACGACTCCTTATTTGCTTCGTTTACGGGGTGCAGTATGCCATAAGGGTGACTCGGTTCATGCTGGTCATTATGTTGCTTATGCAAGGACATGTCATGATGAAGAAGTGGATAATAATGATGCATGGCTCAAATTGGGTATGTGTAAAAGTTCATGTACGTACAAGGAAGAAGAAGCTTATACATTCTTTTATGGTAGATGATATGGATACACGCCAACGTGTCATGTCCCTGAAAAGCTACGATTCTGCACGAGATGATTTATCCAAGGATGCTTATATGCTGTTTTATGAATTGATTAAATCGTGCAGGCACACGGATGATCCCAAGAATGGTGGCCCCTCGGTTCAAACAGTAGAAGCTGTAGCCTATCCATTCCCCGAATCTTCATCCTCATCATCCTCCTCCTCCAAACAACGACATTCCCATTCATGCATCATTAGTTGAGAATAAAGTATATAGATACACCATTCATTATAAAGATAGGATGAAGGAAAAAAGGAAAAGAAAAAAAGGGTAGCTTTGCTTTAGTCATGGAAAAAAAGGAGAAAATGATACATGTACAAGATCAGAATGTTGAAAGGGAGAATGGGAGACACACGCCAACGTTCGCACAAAACGGAAATAAAGTAGTAGTAGTAGGGTGTTTAATCGATATCCATGAGATCACGTAAAGGTTCAGATCCACCACCACCACCACTGCTATCGGCAGCATCAGCCTCTGCTTCTGTAGATGAACCTGAAGGAACACTGTGGGTGATACGGGAATTGCGACGTCTTCGGGATGGATCCGTCAACAAAGAAGAAGACGATGACGATGGATGGTGATGATGATGATGATGATGGTGATCATTGCTACTGCTTGTGTTATCAGGATTGGATGAATGATGATGATGGGTGGTAATTGAATGATGTGTTGTTGTTGTCGTGGTTGTGGTATCATTAACAGTGTTGGGAGGTTCAACATCCATATCGTTTTGTTGATTTGTGCCATCAAGCTGAATGGGCAAGACATCCGGTGCCGTGCCATGTTGAGTGGTATCCAAGGGCATCACTTGAGCCGTGTCTGCTGGTGGTGATGCAGTCGCAACAGTATGGGTTGTCGTCGTGGGAGTTGTCGCTGTAGGCGGAGTTGGCGTAGCTGTGGTTACTGCAAGATTGGTATTGTTGCCATCACCACCACCATCACCATGAGTAGTGGCTGTTGTTGTCGTCGTGGTAGCAGTAGCAGTAGTAGCAGCTGTTGTAGCTGTTTGTTGTTGTTGTTGATCTTGCGTTGCTGTGGTAGTGGTCGTGTTGGGTGCATGATGTCGTTCTACACACCACCATCGATGTCCTTCTTGCCATGCTCTCGATTGGCATTGTTTGGAACAATACTTTGCTTTGCGACTGAATAAGTGATGATTGAGGGGTTTAATTATATCATCAACAAATCCATATTCCATACACCCAAACTTACCATCGACGACATTTTGCAAATTCACGAGGAAATCGTTCCCATTTGCCGCAATGCATGTAAGCACATTGACGAATCCCACCTCGTGCTTCATCCTTTCTACAAGCGTTGCGCATAATCACACTGGCCCAATAAGTGACATTGGTAGGATGCAATCGATGGGTGAATCTCTCGACAACAGAAAAGATATTGCGGCGATAGTTCTTGTGAAATGATTCTCGAATATGGGGGTATTTGGAAAGATAGGCCAATAGCTGCAATGACAACAGGATATCCTCTTCTCGATGTAAAACAGCATCCGATGATAGATTGTTGAGCATTGGTATCGATGATAAAGATGGATCGGCAGGTTTGAATTTCTGCTTTGGACTTCGAGTGAGAAAAGTGCGTCGCCTTGGTGGAGATGCAAATGGTCTTTCAATTGAAATCGATGATAACGATGATGATGGTTCCTCATTGTTGTTGTTGCTATTCAATGCAGTTGGGCTGAAAAGACTCCGTGGTGAAGGAGATGTGATCGTGCTTGAAGTGATGATAGGCGTAGATCTTGATTGCGTAGGTGGAAGTGTAGTAGTAGTAGCATTGGCAGCAGCAGTAAAGGATACATTGGATGAGGGTGGAATAGATTGCTGCTGTTGTTGATGCTGTTGCTGCTGCTGATGATTGCGTTCTTGCTCACTTTCATTCCTCGCTTGTTCCAATGCTTGTAAAAAGTTCTCTAGGATAGACAGCACTACCTGTACTGCTCCCGTTTCCACCACACGACTACGTATAGCCTCAGTGCCTCTGACACCAACGTTGACTACACACTGAAACGCAAGAGACCACTTCCATAACGAATGTCGGTCTGTATGCTGACAAGTCGCGAGTATCTTGACAAGTCGTTCCAAACCACCATCAGCTGCAAGGATTTCTCGTATACGGGGTGACGTTGATGTCATGTATGCAAGATGTGTAAGCGAATTCACAAGTGGTAACGTTGCTGTGCAGTCCAACGCCCGTCGATCGTAGAGTGCAGATGAGATGACAACCGTTGCTCTGTTTTGTGCAGGAAAACTGAAATTGGGCTCACGCATGACAAGGACTGATTGTGCGTGTGAGTGAAAAAAAGAGTGAGAGAGATGAGAGTGGAGTGGAAAAAAAAGAAGAGAGAAAGAGAGAGAGAGAGAGAAGAGAGAGACCAATATACACACACACACAAACGCACACACACACACACACACATACACACCCAACACACTTACACTGACTAGAAAAGGAGCAACATCAACAGCGATATTATCTCCGAATAAAGCGTTGTGTATAATGCTCATGCGGTGGTTCGATCAAGACTTGTTTATGTGCCTGATAATAAGAGAGCGAGAGAGGCTGTATATGTCATGGATCATTTGTTTGTTCAATGCTGCATGTATGGGTGGCGTTGTTTTTCCGTGGAGGCTTTCTTGGACGGAATCAACATCATTATCTCACATCATATAATAATACAATCCGCCTGATTTGTATCAAATTCTTGTTCATGCAGTGCACACAAGGAAAGGGGAGATCCATCGGACGTGTTTGCATTCGAGTTTCCTTTCATGTCCATATTGTACGGAGGACTTGTAAACCCAAACATGATATAAATCGTTTCGTTCTTCTTATTATTGCATGGTGTGATAAAGCAATCCTTATATAACAACACATGACTACATGGTATTGTTGTTTGTCATATGCAATAATAACTTTTCTCCCCATGGATCCATTTAAATGCTAAAGCATTCATTTCTTTCTTTCATTCGATTGTTGTAGGTAGCAGGTTACAAGAATAGGCTGTCGTCTTGTGAGACTCGCATATCAGCTTCATGTATTATATAAGGTGGATCTTATCTTGCAGCAGTAACAGGGCTTTGCTTGCAATGGTATTGATAAATCAGAGCACATCATGATGTTGGTGACGTCTTTATATCACATTTCATCCCTTTTGCCTATATGCAGATCACAATGATCGACTATGTAACAAGGTCATGTGATCGAATCGTATCACAACAACAACAATGGAGGTATAGTAGAGTCATCTTGTAACTTGATGCATTTATTGCCATGATTATTCAACAAGAAGTTAAATGATTTTTGTAGAAAGTAGAATGAATGGATGAGTAAGGGAGAAAACTAGTATTGGATGATATACATAGATAGCCGGGGAAAGAAGATGATGAGAAGAGATCATCACTATGGGTACAACGCGGACAAAGACGGGAGTATTATCGGGTTTGGCCGGCAATCAATGGAGCGTCAAAATTGTTTTCCAACCGTTTCCCGCACAATTCCACCTTTCTTCCATTTTCATATACCATCCATCATGTCCTGTGCTAGACGTCAGCTTTTGAGAGCCACCTCCAACCTTCGATCCACTACTATCCGTGTATCTTCCAGAGTCACTCCTTTGTTGGCTCGTCAGGCTACTAACTCTGCACGCGCTTTCTCTTCCTCGAGGTATACATAAAAAAGACCACCACCCACCCACACCATTCGAGTAATCTGATTCCATTGTTGTTGCAGCCAATCCAAGTTTGTTGCTCTCCGTGCTGTTGGTAACTCGATTGCTTCCGTCAATGCCAGACATTACAGCTCCAAGAGTAAGTATGAACATGTCAATAGTTTGGGGGGAGGGGTATATGTGAAATGGTGTATACTCAGACGCGATGTTATTTGTGTAGCCTACCCCGAGCATCAGCTTATTGCCATGCCAGCATTGTCCCCTACGTAAGTGTGAATCATTGTTGATACGCGAACAATAACGAACATGCATTGATGATGGATTCATTTATAGCATGACCCAAGGTGGTATTGGTGTCTGGCAAAAGAAGGTTGGTGATGAAGTTGTCCCTGGTGATGTTCTCGTCGAGATCGAAACCGACAAGGCCCAAATGGACTTTGAGTGTCAAGAAGAAGGTTATCTTGCCAAGATTTTGGCTGATACCGGTGCAAAGGATTTCCCTGTGGGCACGGTATGGATGAAATGAAATGGCTCAAAAAGTGTATTTAGCTTCTTACATGATCATTTTACTACTACTAATAGCCTATTGCCGTCCTCGTTGAGAACGAGAGTGACATTGCTGCCTTTGAGGATTTCACGGTTGAACAAGCTGCTCCTGCACCCGCTCCTGCTGCTGAAGAAAAGCCTGCTGAAGCTCCCAAGGCTGAAGAACCTGCTGCTCCCAAGCCTGCTGCTGGTAAGTAAATGGGATATATAATAAAATGTGAGCCTCGATTCCTAATCACTTTATATAGAAGCACCCAAGGTTGAGCAACCCAAGCCTGGTATGTGATGGACACTTGCATGTAAACAAATCAATGGCTAACATTATCATTTGACAGCTGCACCTGCACCTGTTGCTGCTGCACCCTTGCCTACTGCCTATGCTCCTCAATCCGCTTCTGGTGATGCTTTCACTGATATCCCTACCACCAACATGCGCCGTATCATTGCCGATCGTTTGACTGAATCCAAGCAAACTGTGCCCCACTACTATGTTACCACTGAGATCAACATGGACAAGATCACCAAGCTTCGTGAGGTCCTTAACAAGGCTGGTGATGGTAGCTACAAGCTCTCCGTCAATGACTTTATTATCAAGGCTTCCGCTCTCAGCTTGAAGCAAGTGCCTGAAGTCAACGCTGCATGGCAAGGCGACTTTATCAGACAGTGAGTATTTTAAGGAATGGAGGGAAAAAATCAGCATGCTGATGATGAATGTATGTGTCATTTAGATACAACAATGCCGATATTTCTATTGCTGTTGCCACCCCTACCGGTTTGCTTACTCCCATTGTTACCGGTGTTGAGGGCCGTGGATTGTCTGATATTTCCAACACTGTCAAGGATATGGCTGCTCGTGCACGCAACGGCAAGCTTGCTCCTCATGAGTACCAAGGTGGCAGCTTTAGCATTTCCAACCTTGGTATGTACGGCGTGAAGCACTTCACCGCCATCATCAACCCTCCTATGGCATGCAACCTCGCTATTGGTGCTACCACTCAAAAGGTGGTTCCTGATGCTACCAAGGAAAAGGGTCTTGCTGTTCGCAACGTTATGGAAGTCTCTCTTTCCAGTGACCACCGTGTCGTTGATGGCGCTGTTGCAGCAACCTGGTTGAAGGCTTTCAAGGGCTTCATGGAGAACCCTCTCAAGATGCTCCTCTAAACACATACATCCAATACCATGTCAACTACAACAACACCCATCCTACCACGCCTACTATCGCCCATCCTCCTCCTCCTCCTCCAACAACAAAACAATCTAGAGCCGTTCACACCCCAGGATTAATGTAGATCGAATCATTTTGCTTTAGCCTGTTGCAACATTGGGTATTTACGATACTACGTTGCTCTTAATAAAGTAACATCTATTACATATGATGATGATGATTCGATGCGATTTCTTGATATCGATGTAATTGGATCTTGGCTGCATACAGGATTCGAAGTCGCAAACACACACACACGTATAGAGTTGAATCAGGATAGTTGACAGGTTTCACAAAGGACGATGATAGTAGCTTCCATGCAATAGCTTGAAGTGCGATAGCTGGATGCACCACTCATTCAGGATGAAAGCATCAAGGTCAAGTTGACAATGGATACATACACCCTTTTCCCACATGCTGTATTTATCCAATTCCTTCCATCCAATGCACCAAACCAATATTCAAATCCAAATCCATATCCATAAGGAGACGTATGTATTGAGGCAAGTTGCTACACGTAAATAAAGCTGTTTCTATATAATGGTTATCTGCTGTTCACGTAGAAAAAGGCTGCAAGAAAGGTTGCTGCAAGTAAAGAACGCTGCTTGAGACAATGGAGTAAGGCATCGCTAATAGCAACTACTGGGATGAATGCTGTTACATTTGGTTGCGGCCAAGGAGAGTGCAAGGCGTTGCGTTGTATCAAGAAAGGCGAGTGTTGGTAGTCAATCTCTTGCTTCGTCATTCTTTGTGGCAGCCCAATCACGTTGTGATATGTATCATCCATTGCGAGAGTTGGCTGTATTGTTGCATACTTGATAATGGATATCAATGGCCGTATGGTATACTCCACGCCAACCATCACGTCCTATGGTTCACGAACGATCCGCAATATTAGTTATCATTCCTTGATCAACAAACCTACCCATACTCTTCTATACCTTGTTCTGGGTGACATGATACAAATCTCCTGTGGTAGTGTGCTGTTGGATAATGACGCGTGTCTTGGGTGGGTGAAGAGGTGATAGTAATGATTACATGAAATGGATGTTGTGTGATGGATAAAGCTGAACAACATGCTGCTGCAATATTACGCAAGGAAGACATCCCCTGGAAGTAGTTGCTCGTTGTCACCAAGCTTGAAAAAGAATCCGAGGCGCTAGTTTCTTTGCATGTTTGCGGCACAACGCGTAAAGAACGAGTAGGGAAAGGTGCCATGTACGTGCTGTCATCGTTTGAGAATAAATCGTTGCGAAGAAGTTGCTGTGGATGTCATTGTCCAGTGGAGTGAAATGCAGTTGAGGAGAAAGAAGAGTAGACGTGAAAGGGATGCTCAAATTTTGCTCTGCCCAACTTGCCTTTCTCACCGCCTGATTGGAGAACACTAGTGTAATCACGTGATAAAATGGTGTGATCAAAAGCAACCCTTCAACATTGATTGATTGCAAAGAAAGCCTTGCTCCATGGTATTATCTTGACGTATGCTGTAGATTATCCGTCATCTTTCCCACATCAAAGTATAGCTATTAGAGTACTGTTAGTGAAGCTCATGAATGCGTAAAAACTATATAAATGATAAGGTGGCAAATTAGCTTCCATGGAAACCCATGTACTGACAAGGATGGCCACGCGAAGGCTTTGCCGTCACCCTCTCCCCTACGGTGCACCAAGCCGGATAACGGGGGCTGCCATTGTAAACAACAGCATCTTCTATAGGTGCTGCTCGAGCCAACATGTTCGGTCTGATAAAAGGATAGCATCC